GCTATATATCCGTATATACATATATATACAAGGGAGGGTTCCGTTCCGTTTCGTTTCGAAAAAGCGAGACAAAGTAAAGCGCTATAAGAGCAAATATGGCTGCCAACACCCGAATTCGACACGTAAAGTGACGCGTTAGCTGCGTTGCTATGACAACCCAAAAGGCCTCCTGACTTTCCCCATTTTCCGTTTCCCGCTGCCCGGAAAACCCAGAAAGGAGGAAAAAAGAAACGTTGGAAAATCTGACAAAAAAAGAGCCCAAGATATAAGAGCAAAGAAAACGGCTTGGGCTTTTTCCTTTTTTTTTATTTTCGGGGGTTTTCCCTTTGAACTGCACGGCACGTAAATAAAGTTGATGCGGCGGTCTATATTGGTGGGTCATCGGATTTCGTTTAATGAGATTTTCCATACACGTCGTCGCCAGTCAGGTGAAAAGAAGAACAAGAAGAAGAGGCGTACCCGGCATTGGAAAAGTTCGCCATGGTGACGCGAATTTCCCGGGGGAAAGCAGCCGCCGAAATCTCTGGGGAAATTCACTGGGAGTGCGAACAATTGAAAGTACACGCCACAATTCTTCGGTCAGCTGGATAAAAGGATTTGCCGTCTTAATTAGATGGATTTTCATAATGACTGGTTCTATGTAAGTAATATTTGGGGGCTTAGATATGAGCACACTCATCTAATTTTAAATATTGGGAGAACCCAATCGGGAATATTTTTGAACATATTTATATAGTGGTACAATATTACATTTAGGACAATTGAGTGTTAAGTGGTATTGAACAACAAAATAAGTAAGCTTTTTGTAATGAAAAATGTGTTTATATATTATTATTTATATTATAAAGTATTAATATATTTTATATTCTTGCATATTCCAGTATATTCTTTATTATAATTTCTAGTAAATCTAGTATATTTTTAACACATCGCTTAAATTTTAAGCTTAAACAATAAAATTGTAAAGTTCCTTAAATTGTCACTTGATCCATGATACATGTTGTACATTTCTAGGACTGTAAAATACATTTGTAATACACCATTTAAAAAATGCTTATTAAATCATATGCTCTATTTTCTAGGCTAATAAATATCACCCCACAGATGTTATGTAAGTGGAAAATCTGCCCAGCTACCTTCACTTTTGACACGACTCCCTCGAGCGGGAATTAACCCAAATTGCTGATATGTTCGCGGCACACGGAATTCACAATACGAGATGGAAAAAACACAAAATACAAAAGGCTGTGCAGGGTGCAATCCATTCAAATCAAGCGAATCGAAATCCGGACGCAGTTCGGTGCACTCGCAGGATTTTTATTTTGTGTTTTCCTTTATTTTCGTTTCGGTTACCCATCTTCTGTGTTCTGTGTTCCGTGTTCTGTTTATTCATATACCCCGATATGTATATATTTTTTTATCGTCGCTTATCTGTCTGTCTGTCTGAATTGAGAACTTCCAACTGCAATCTCGCTCGCCCCTGGAAAAAACAATTGTTTCGATTGCGCAAAACGTGAATTTCGTTAGCGATCCGCTGGGATAATAGCTCAAGGCTGTGTGGCTCTATTGTTGCCCTCGGGAGTTCTCAGCTCGAAGGCCTTGAATAAACACAGTTTGTCGGCTAAGCAAACAAAGTAATTGGGTTGCCAAATATTGCGCAGGGATCCTGGATCCCGAATCCCGAATCCTGAATCCTCACCCTCACTTATTTCTTTATTTCATCTCCCGATTCGAGATCTCAAGACTTTGATAAAACAGCCGAAGGTGCATCCTCCTTTTGAGTCGGCGGAAACAGACGATTGTCCTGGCTTTGAAGAGCAGCAACAAGGGATCCTCCTCATCTACTAAGTAGAGGCCTACGAGAACCTAAGCCGAGAAGCTAAGTAGCTGCGATCACCGCTCTTAGATAGATCGATTTACGGAGATGCCGCGATACGAAAGAGTTGTCGAGGGATTACATTCGGATCTCGAGGATCTCTGATCTGTCAAATTGTGCGTGGGCTAATATGGATCCTAAAAATCAAGGTGTCGCGCCAGCTGTCCCTCATTCAAAAAGTCGCCGACCCAAAGGATCCCGCTGAAATCTTTGATATTTTTTTTTGGTTTGGGATAGGAGGTACGAGGCCCGTCCGAGTATTTCCACAAAAGCTCAGGGCTTTGAAGTGGCCGACTATACAATGCTGGCTTTATAGCACACACCTAAGGAGAATTATTGGTATTCTTAAAAAAAAATATATTAATCTAATTATATGTTCGACTTAATTATATTGTGTAAATTCGCTGACTTGGAACAATTTGTTAATCTATTTTATTAATAATAATAATAAAATAATAAGATAAGTTAAAAAATTCAATTTAGTAAAAGTCTAACATATATTTCCTTAAATATTATAAATAGCTTTAAAAATAATATTATTTTATTTACTTTATTATTATTTTAATACAAATAATATAAACTCCATAAGTGAAAATTTTCAGTTAAAAAATAAGGGCGGAAAATACGGATTGATATTTTAGAAAAGAATACAATTTTTAAGCGTTTTTTTCAATCGTAATTTGGATAAATAAAAAAAAACCCTTAATTTTACTCGTTTTTTATTTTCTTTTCAAAAGACCTCTCTTCAAAAATAAAGATTAAATTTTTACACGAAAAAAAATCGTTATTTTTTTGGTTTTCCAGTCGTTATTTGGACAAATCGTGGCCGACAGCTAAACGACCGACTGTTTTGCACAGCTAACAACCTAACTTTAAGTATTTCCTGTAGCCAAGCTGTCATATCCTTTGGCTCCCCGGTTCGCAAGTGACTCATCCGGAGCTCCGTACAATTAGCTCACTTCAACGTTCGAAGTTCGAACATTTCCCCTTGGGCGTGATGATGTGTGTGCGAGCGATTCGGCAGGATCTGTGGGCTCAAAAAGGGGGACGCCTGTCATAACTGCACAATGGGACGAGGGACGCGACTCGCAGGACTCGCAGGACTTCCTTCCTTTGTTCAGCGATTCGAACAGCGGATTCCCCATATAGATTTCATTCCGCTCAACAGAGGTAACCGATACGGATGCTTGTTCTTTTAATTGCTCGGGCGAAAACGATAGGCAATCATCATCTCGTCCAAAGCTGAATTTGAATCTGAATCTGAATCAGATGAGGAATCAGGAATCAGGATGCGGGGCAGCGGCGACCATTTGGCGTCGACTGTTGGCGGTCGGCGGCATTTTGATTGTCGGCTTTTGCGGCCGGCACAAAACTATATCGAATTACATATCCAGCTAGTCCATTCGACCGACCGAATGACTGAATGACTGACTGACTGATGGACCGAGTGTCACTTTAATCCAAAAAATCGCTCGAAATCGCTTGTCGCGACAAGGGGAAAAAGGTTCACCAGTTTAACTTATTTTAAGAACTTTTAAGGGGGAAAGGAAAATGTAGTCTTAAGCATAATTAGCCTAATATTGGGTTTTTTTTACTTTACACTTAAATACAAATGTTAATTTCTTAATTTTAATCAGTTAAACGTTAGCTTTACGAGCTATCAAAAATTGTTAAAAATTATCGTAAATTTATCTATTATTTCTCATAAACAAATCGTAAAAATACCTTAATCATTAAATCGGGTTTGATTACCTTTTCTTTTAAATATATAACTTAATTTTTTAGATTATTAAATAATTTCAAACATTTATGTATATATTTATTTCTGTAGCTGAGATAGATAAAAATATCACTTGAATTTGTATTTTTTTTAATGAACATTTAATTTTAAGCGCTCCAATTCAAAACAAGAAAGGAAGCTAGCTTCGGCCAGCCGAAGCTTATATACCCTTGCAGATCATTCCTATTAATTAACAAATCGCAAAAATGTTCAATTTTCTAATATTTCTCATTAATTTTCCGATCGTTCCTATGGCAGCTATATGATATAGTCGTCCGATTTTGATCAAATTAAAATTGAAATTCGAAAATATTTAAAAAGAGTCATATCCTAGAGTAGAAGATAATACAATAAAAACCAAAGAAGCTAGAATTTATTTCCTATTACTTTTCCATTAATTTTCCGATCGTTCCTATGGCAGCTATATGATATAGTCGTCCGATTTTGATTAAATTAAAATTGAAATTCGGAAATATTTAAAAAGTGTCATATCCTAGAGTAGAAGATAATACAATAAAATCCAAAGAAGCTAGAATTTATTTCCTATTACTTTTCCATTAATTTTCCGATCGTTCCTATGGCACCTATATGATATAGTAGTCCGATTTTTTAAATAATTAATTCGAAATTCAGATATATTTAAAAAATAACATCCCCAAAAGTAGAAGGTAATATTTCAAAAAACACCGAAGCTAGAATTTTTTAAAGTTTTTTTTTTTCGATTGTTCCTATGGGAGCTATAAGATATAGTTGTCCGATCCGGTCGGCTCCGACATATATACTACCTGCAATAGAAAGAAGACTTTTGGGAAAGTTTCATCCTGATAGCTCAAAAACTGAGAGACTAGTTTGCGTAGAAACAGACAGACGGACAGACGGACAGACGGACAGACGGACGGACAGACGGACAGACGGACAGACGGACAGACGGACAGACGGACAGACGGACAGACGGACATGGCTAGATCGACTCGTCTTGTGATGCTGATCAAGAATATATATACTTTATGGGGTCGGAAACGACTCCTTCACTGCGTTGCAAACTTCTGACTGAAATCATAATACCCTCTGCAAGGGTATAAAAAGGACTCAAATAACGACCCTGTCTTTCTCACAAAACCCGCAACAGCGCCATCTGGCAGAACTGAGCACAAGCTACACCCTAGCCAAGTTGCAGTCTTAGCCTATACCACAACCAAGTGCCGCGCGCTGCTTATCGCTTATCGCCCATCGTTTTATTATCGGCATTTAAAAACCGATAAGTGTCCTGCCGTACATTTTCGGTATTTAATTGTTGGAAGTCCTGTGTCCTTTTTTAGCATATTTAAACCGAAAGAGCTGGCAGCCCCGTAACGGACGGTCTGAGAAAACATTGAAAATCAAAAAATCGCAGTTAACGCAGGCGAAAACGCGAAAATCGAGAAAACTAACCGCCCCCTTCGCCCCGCAAAAATCGCCAAAACGCGAAATTAAACATCGAAAGCGAGAAAAAAGAGAAGAGGTCCTTTAAACCGACAAAAAAACGAAGCAAATCGGGGCGACTAGAATCGAAAAAGAGAAATTCCAGGACTTTCGAGTGGCGAAAAGTCGGATTACGGATTACATGGAAATATATATATAGACATAGAAATACACATATATATATATAGTATAGCCTGTATATAGCTTGATTCCGGGACTCGATTTGCCCTTTATCCTTGGCGGCTCGTCCTTTGTTGTTATTGTATTATTATGTAAGCTTTTTTGGAGTGTGTCGAGTGTTGTGTGTTGTTGTCGCAATGAACTCTTTATTGTCAAAGGCAATTGAACGGCCGCAGCTGCCGCACCCCACGCCCCCTTATCCGCCCACTTACCCACCCACTTTCCATCCCCCACTCACACACACACACGCACACTTAGACATCCGAATACAAGCGCACACGCAGGACACGAAGGACCTTTGTCTAGAAAAGCCAAGTTGTTGCTGTTGCACTTATTTGATTTGATGACTAAGTGTTGTGTGTGTGCTTTTGGTTGTTTTTTTTTCGTCTTTTCTGTTTTTTTTTGCCTTCCAAGGGATATCGATCGCCAGGTTGCCAATTATCGATAAGTCGCATGACGTGTTTTGCTGCGAAATTCAGTTCAAGGCAACGCCTCGAGTCCTGTGTCTCCGTCTCCGCTTTGTGCTCATCCTTCGCCACCTCCTCCGCCCCCCTTTCGCCCTCTAACTACCCAACTATTATTGCAATTGCGAAAGCGATAACTTGGGCACGCTTCATCGATTATTTCGATAATATGAATTATGGCTTTTGAAATGGGAATTGACTTGTAAATCTCTCTTTTGCTGTTGTGATTGTAAGCTGATAAGGCCTAATATTGATATAAGACTTCTTTGTCTCCTTTTTCCTTCTATTAAATCAGCTTTTTTAAGCAAAATGATAAATATTTTGGAGAATTTTGAAACTTTTCAAATATTTCTTTGGCTTTAAACCAAATAAATATTTTAAGCTTAATTAAATTAAATTTTGATATGCATTTCTTGCAGAATTTTCAGCAGGATGTTGTCCCTGTCGTCGCCGCCGTGGCTCCTGCTCCTGGTCCTCTCCATCCTGGCCACGGGCTCGGCCACGGTGGTCTCCCTGGCGGAGAACGCGACGCTGGCGACGCTACCCTCCTCCGCTCCGATCCCCGTGAGCTTCAGCACGACCTCAGCCAGCGAACTGGAGAACCAGACGATCAGCAGCAGCAACCTGAATGCCAACAACGAAGCCAGCGACGAGCAGACGGGCAGTGCCAGCAGCAGCAACATCAGCAGTCACAGCAGCAACATCAGCTCCTCCAGCGGCAACATCAGCTTCAGTCAGTCTAATTCCAATGCCAACAGCAACTATAGTTCAGCTGTTATTCCGACCACAACGACATCTGCTGGCGGGGATCAGCAGGAGGCGCTCATCCTGGCCACGCCCCCGGCGCTGAACGGAAGCAGTGCGCCCGGGGAGCATCAGCATCACCAGACGATTGGCCAGGCGCCGCCGACGAAGGGCGAGCAGGAGGCCATTTTGCGGGCCTTGGATTGGCTGAAGGAGAAGCGGGCCTCGGACTACGGCTGGGGCAACGACACCCATGTGGTGATCCTGGCCAAGGAGCTGAGCGGCGGCAGGGATCCCAACGACAGCGTGGACGCACATGTTCAGGTGATCCAGGAACTGGAGGACACGCTGTCGGTGAAGGAGATGGAGATCGAGATCCTGGCCATGCTGGACCGCCACCACACGCTGCCGAAGCCCCTCGATCTGGACAAGCTGGCCCGCTACGTGCTGGCCTTGGGTTCGCTGTGCAAGGACCCCAAGCACTTCCATGGCCACGACCTGGTGGCCACGCTGCAGCACCATGAGCCGGCCCAGGACATCGAGTTCGCTTTGACCACGCTTTCGGCCTGCAGCTCGGCGGCCCACGTGAGGAAGCGCCAGATCCGGCGGCTCCTGGACATCGCCAGCGGGGTGACGGACCAGAGCGTCGACGCCATCGCCATGGTCATCCTGGCGCTGCGCTGCATCGTCACCGACCACCGCCACCGGCACCTGCAGCACTTTGTCCGTCGACCGGCACGCGGCTTGGCCAGCCTGCAGGATCAGCGGGGGAGCTTCGGCTCGCTAAGGAGCACCGCGCTGGCCATGCAGGCCCTCCAGGATCTGGAGTACGACCCGGCCGGCCACTGGAACCGCACGGCCGCCTCGCGCTACATCCTCAGCCGCCAGCGGGCCGACGGCGGCTGGAGCGAGGAGCCGCTGCAGGATGGCCAGGAGCCAGACATCGGCGTCGGTCTCACCGCCGACATCATCCTGGCTCTGGGCTGGAAGGGATTGGGAGCGGTGCGGGCACTGCAGTGCGACCATGTGATACGCGAGAGCAGCGATCCCACGGGTGAGTGCAGAATAGCCAATCGGAGGCACCGTACGTTGTATAGCATTCGTATTTCACCACTTTATGTAGTGATCGGGTTCACCATTTCTTGTATACCTCTCGTTTTTCACCACTTTTGGTATTGATCGGGGTCACCATACCTTGTATACCTTATCGGGGTCACCATACCTTGTATACCCTTCGTTTTTCACCACTTTTAGTAGTGATCGGGGTCACCATACCTTCTATACCTCTCGCTTTTCACCACTTTTAGTATTGATCGAGGTCACCATACCTTGTATAACTTATCGGGGTCACCATACCCTATATACCCTTCGTTTTTCACCACTTTTAGTATTGATCCATAGTATTGATCCATAACACCATAACTTGTATACCCTTCGTTTTTCACCCATTTTAGTAGTGATCGGGGTCACTATACCTTGTATATCTTTCGTTTTTCACCACTTTTGGTATTGATCGGGGTCACCATACCTTGTATAACTTATCGGGGTCACCATACCTTGTAAACCCTTCGTTTTTCACACATTTTTTATAGATATTTAGTTTAATACCAGAAAACTTCTATATAAATCCTAAATTTGGGGTCACCATGAATGATATGCAATTTCAATAATCATATATTCATCATTTGGTCTTAAAGTTATGGGCTTTAGAATTGAAATTCGGGGTCACCTTTCTGTTAGCCATGGGATATACATATGGAAATATTTAAATATAAAGCTTATAAATGAGATTTCTAGAAGGAAACATACTTGACAATAAGAAAAGAAGAGTCGATTAAGGTCACCATAGAAATTAATCACCATTTCTCCAACCGCACACAGAGAACGGCGAACCCAAGCTGGCCGTTCCGTTCGGCCTGAGCTCCTCCGCCGAGGAGTCGGACGCCAAGAACATCTCCTACACGTACACACTCTGGGTGGGATCCAATGTGACCGAGGCCTTCTCCCTGTCGCTCGTCTCGCCCAAGAACACTAGCTTCTTCAAGGCCATGACCCAGGCGGCCGAAATGGATCCCAGGTGGGTGGTATTCTGCCTTGAGAACCACTCCATTACTCATGCTAATTCCTACTTTATATATCCAGATTTATATTCGAGGCCCGGGAGTGGCCCAATGGTCACTACGTGCACACCCTGTATGGCAAAAAGGAGGAGCCCCGAGGGTGAGTTCTAACCAGATTTTGGTTTACCTCTGCAAATACTAATGGGTTCCGTATAATCGATTAATCAGGTATCACTACTGGCTGCTTTACCGATTGCCAGAGCTGCCCGATCCCAATAATACGCCCGGGAATCAGCTTATTGCGCCTGTTGGTAAGTAGAACTTGAACTTGGGTTTATATAGCAGTGGAACTTCTCTAAATTGGATCTAATAATCAAAGAAGGAGGGGTTTTACTTGAGAGATACTGAGAACTCCAATAAAGGTGTCTAAAAGTATGCAATGGTTTCATTTTACCAATTCACTGCATACTTTTAAGCACCAGAAGTAATGATTTCATTGATTACCAATCAGAGAAGTTCCATTACATAATTCAGCCCTCCCAAAACAGATGATAATCCACATGGGAAATATTACAGGTGTGGACGAGCTAATGGTCGAGGATGGGGAGCACTATCTGTATTGGTACAAGAAGCTCTAAGCACGCGGCCTTAGACGGAGCTGCAGTTTAACCCACTAAGCAAAGTCGATAAACACCCGGTGCTACTGGACTATATCTATTCTATATACGATATACGATATATGGCCATGTCACGTCTCACACACACACAACACACACGCAACAAGCTAGAAGGCACACAGACACGCGCGCAGGAATACCTGTGTGTAGATCCCTATGTACTGGTATTCCTGGGCGGGTGCATTGCTCCCTCTCTATATATATTGCATATATAACTGCATAAAATAATGGCGTAATCAAAAAAAAAAAAAAGAAAAAGAAAGAATGAAAAAAATAAGACACCCAAAACCACAATACACGGAGATCACAGAAGAGTGAGTGAAAGATCGGTGAAAGGAAGCCCAGATTTCTAACGGATAACTAGGATACAACACCCAATATAGTTAATTGCTCTAGACCTCACAACTGATCTCGATTCGGAGCACCTCAGGCTAATACTTATGCATAACGATAACTAAAAACGATAACGAACCGATAAAACAGATAACAAAAAGGAAGAGGCAGTGATGAAAAACAAAAAGTAACGACTTAAATGCACTAACAACAGGCATCGAACGGTTAGCCGTTGACTAACGGTAGCAATCCGTCCGTTTTTGGCCCTCTCAATGCTTCGCTTCGCAGCGATCGATGCTAATCGATACTCGGTTATCGACAAAATCGACATAATCGGGCGAATCGTTGGTGCGATGAGCGATAACTATTTCGTTGCTCGTTTAAGACACCCAAAACAAAAGAATACCTAAAACCAAAATGCTTTATATGTTATTGAAGTAAAAGAGTAGGGAAGGAAGGAAGGATCTAGTGGGTCTAATGGATCGCGATCTAATCGATCTGAGGGTAGAAAAAACGGAGGAGGAGGAGAAAGAGCTAGTCCAAGCGAAGCATGTTATACCAAACACCGTACGTAACAATAAGTGATTGAAAATCATCCTTAGACATACACACATACTGCATAAATCGATATATACATCTTGCATATACATTAAAAAAAAAGTACGCTAGTTTTATATGAAGTTAAGTGAACAAAGGCCGTGGCATATTATATAACGAGTATACAGGATAGCAGATAGCAGATAGCAGAGCGGAGGAGAGAACGATACTACCCCAGGACACTATATACAAACGCCTAACTATTCGCTCCCCATTAATACGCACCTATACCCATGCCATACTATCCGATATTACATTAGCACATATTATTCGTACATACATGCTATCTATCTCTATCCCCCGAAAAACGAAATATATAGCTAGTATAGCACCCCCAAAATCGTATCACCACCCGCACTTCTTCACTTATCACTCGGAACTTTCAGCCCGTTGATCTTAACGCCTAGCCTAACCGAAAACTACAACTACTAAAACTACTACTTGAGATCTTTAAGTGCAGCAGCGAATCCAAAACTAAACTAAACATTACTAACCTAGCGATCTAACTAACTCGTTTATATTATAAGCATGAAATTGAGCTTTTTAATTGTGCAGAACCCAAATTAGAACACGAAAAACAACTTACAATTTACAACTTACAACTACACCAACACCGACACCTAGAAAACAGATGGATTTGGAGAAAGCAGCGTAGGATTTGAGATTTGCGATTTGAGGAATGTGTTGTGTATGTTCTATGACCCAGTTTGTCCCCTTCTACGATTGCCCATATATATTTATTTTCGAGTCCCCGACATTTGAGCAGCAGCAGCAGTAAATCTACATGCAGAATTCTTCGATTCCACTCGAATCTAACAAAAATTCAGATCTTAACCTTCATTTTGATCGATTAGAAATTGAAAAATTAATCCTAAAAAATTTAATTGGTCTCGAAAAAGCTGCATTTGAATCCTGCTGCTGCTGACTTCTTATATTCTGTTTGGTGAGTGGAGAAAGTAACAAGAACAAGCGTGAATAAACATAAAAATAATTGAAAACCAGTTAAAAAGGTATTTTTACTCAAGAACCCACAACAGGTAAGGCTTTATCAATTTAAAATGTAAGCTTTTATTTCAGCCCTTCAATGCGGAGATTCAGCTTAGGTTTTCAGGCAGAAGGCAGATTAACATTTTGGTATTCTTATTATTGTTACGTTCTTTCCTTTTTCATCTTTTCATCTGCCAGATTTTGCGCTGTATATTGTTTGCATATAATATATAATATATAGATTCGATATTCGTTTGTCTTTGCTACGATTTGAAGAAGGCCGCATAGAGCACGAAGGCAACAGATTTACAACATCAAACACTTTACAAATACGTTTCGATTACTCATGCACACATTACACACACGTCTAGCTAATTGGAGGATTTGATTTGGATTTGGATCTGGATTGGCAACAAGTCGAGTTCATCTCGCTTCATCTGGAATTTGTGGTTGCAGTTTGTATATAGGAATATTAAAAGCGATAGAATCAGGATTCATATTAGGGCGGGGCGAACTGGAAACTATGTTAATCTCAGGTTGAGTTCGTCCATTTGTAAAGGGAAATGGCGATTCTCGGATGGAGAAAATATTAGAGAATATTTGCGAAAGTGAATAACAATAAATATAGATTTGTAGCATTTAAGTTTTCAATAACAATTTAAAGGGAATTCTATAATATTATAGTTCGCAAATGATTCCACTCTTAAACCAGAGATTCGATCGTTACATTGCACCTTTAATTAATTAAAGTTTCGATCGAATCTTTCGGTTAGTAAATATAAAAAATGTGGACTTGCATATGCCGCTTGAAACGGTTTAAAGATTCGCCCCGCCCCTTACAGTATATAGCTAAATACGAATGCTTAGGTTTACGTAGTGAGGCGGCTTCGCTTTGCTTTGTTCTCAGTTGAGTAGGTTTCGCCCACCGACTTTCGCTTCCTTACATGGCGAAGCTGAGCTGCAGGGCGTTGCGCAGTTCGTTGAGCACCATGGACCCGATGACCATCTTCTCGCAGTTGACCAGCAGCGTGAGCGCCTCCTCCGTCTGCCAGTGGAGGGTGAGGAGCACGAGACTCTTGGAGCTCAGCGTCTGGCCGGCGAAGCAGTGCAGCTGGCCGTTGGAAGAGCTGTGCGTGTGCGCCACATTGATGGACTCGAAGACCTTTTGCCGCAGGGCGGATACATCGATTAAATCGCGCCTTAGGCCGCGCAGCTCGCACTGGTGCTCGTTCATGCCGCGCAGCTTGGCGCGCTCCTCGCGATGACAGCTCTCGCCGATCTGGACGGATCTCACCAGCTCGCCCACCGGCGGCTTCAGCTGCAGCCGCGAGCTGCCCGCACTGGAGATTAGCTCCAGGTCGACGGCGTGCGTGGAGTCATTGAAGTCCACGCCCAGCACTCCGCTGGCCGTTTGCTGCGGCTGGAGGATGGTGACCGGGGCAAACTCATTCAGCTGCATGCCCGTTGGCAAGGTGCTTGGGCCCAGGCGAATGGCCGTGATCTCCTTTTCGCCACGATTCTGGAACTGCAGCTCAATGGAGCACATGCTCGAGGAGTAGAGATGCGGCGAGCGGGTGAAGCGGTAGGCCAGCTGCAGCCCGTGACCGCTGACCTTGTTGAGCAGCTCCTTGTGCTTGAACTCGATGTGCGAGGGACCCACCAGCTCCACGCGATTGCGGGCGTGCTGCGGCTGCAGCGGAGGAGCCTGCGCCTGCCCAGCCATCAGTGGAGTGCCTGCTGGGAAGACATGCATGTATTTTAGGGTGGACTTTGTCAGCAACTTAAATGGTAGGTTTCTGTGTCCAATAAATTTATGCGAAAACGGGAATATTTTATTTCATCGTTTAGGCGGTGCTAAAAATTAAGTGTAAAACTTGGAATTTACCCCATTCCATTTCTTGTCAGATTTAATATTTTTCTTCTTTTGGTTTCGCTCGAATAAAAGAGTCAAGTGGAAATTTATTTCATGTAGAGCTTCTATCTCCGAACAAAAAGGACCGAGTTCGATCCCCCCGACTTATCGTTTTTTTTTTGTGACTCACAATAAAATAGAGATTATGTTTTACAATTTTGAAGATTAACCATCACTTTTGCGTTCGCCAATAAAAATGATCATCAAAGAAATGCTGGCTTGGGATACAACGATAATGACTATTATTTTTTAGGGACCGTAAAAATCATTGATTATTCGTTATTATTGTTATTTTTAAGTTGTAATTGTCTTTCGAATTTTATCAACGACTTCATCCCTTGTTAAAAAGCTCGGGAAAGTGATTAAGGTACTTTTTTAAAATACTGTCAAAGTATAAAATCAAGTCTACGGCATCTAGATGAATCTGAAAAATGCGTAATAAACTTTAAAGCCGTTGCTCACCGACTAAAACTAATTATTTTTTACTTTTTCTTTCTTTTATGGATTAATGATACAAAAAGGCTATATATGAAGGGGTGAGAGCATGGTCCACCCTAATGTATATAGTGGGAGCATCGCTCATAGCAGTTAGTTTAGTTTACCTGGCGTAAGAAAGCCTCCCAGCGAGGGCGTCATCACAGGACCAATGGGCGGAATGTCATCCAGATCGAGCAGCAAATCCAGGTTGCTTTTGGAGGCTGCCTTCTTCTCCTGCTTCTCCTTCGTTTCCGTTTCCGTTTCCTTGGGCTGCTTTTCGTTGTCGCTGCCGGAATCGCTGTCTTCACTACTGCTGCCGCTGTAGGCCGATGAATCCTCGCTGTCCGAGGTTCCAGAGAACCCAGCCGCATTGTTATTGTTGTTCGTAGTGGCTTTTGTGGGAGTTGCAACCGCCACTTCATTGTTTCCAGCATCAATGAGCTGCTCCTTCTGCGCGGAAACCTTTGCGGGCTGCTTCTGCTCCTCCTCGTCGCTGCTCCCGCTGCCGTCGCTATCCGACTCGCTGTCGCTGGTGCCGCTGCCACTGCCGCTGCTGCTCCCTGACTCCGAGTACGCCGACGACTTGTCCTCCGACTCGGAGAGGAAGCCCTTCTCCCCGCCAGCGGCAGCCCCCTTCTCCTTGCCCTTAGCCCCGCCGGAGGTTTCCTTGGGCGACTCCCCGCCGGGCAGCTTGTCCGGCATGAAACCGGCTATGTTGCGCACCGACGAATCCGGCGGAATGGCCGGAAAGGCGGGCAGCTCCTTGTAGCCGGCCGCCGGCATGTTCAGGTAGTGCGATAGCGAGCCCAGCTGAAAGGTGTTGCCCTCGCGGTACTTGCTCTCGGGCACGGGGGCCGGCTTGCTGGCCAGGAACACCTGGCGGGCGTGCTGACTGAGCACCGAACTTGAGCCGCTGGCCGGGAAGATGATCTGTCGCAGGAAGCGGGCGCGATCGCGCACATCGTAGTTGGGATCGTAGCGGGCCAGCGTGAAAACGTACTGGCAAAGCAGCGAAGTCTGCTCCGGATTGGTCAGATAGAGCTTCACACCGAGATTGAGGACCTGCAGCTTGACCACATCCTGCTCGTCCACAAACGACTTGGCCATTTTGCGCAGCACATCGGGCGCAATCAGCGGCACCTTCTCGTTGTACTCGCCTATTAGCCAAATGATGGCCGCCCTGGCTGCCGGCACATTGATGTAGTCAATCAGCTTGGCCATCTGGGTGATGATCTCAAAGTGCTCGGCGGCTTTCGTTTGCAGCAGGCGCTTGATCACCACCACGCTCTCGGCCACCACGTGCTCTAAAGGGGGAAGATAAAACGGATTACTAAGAGGTTCTAGAGAAAGAGAGGCTTTACACACCATCGTGATTGGACAGCAGATGCACCAGGCCACTCAGACAGGTCTCGGTGACCTCCTTGATGCTGGACGCACACCTTCCGATGGCCTGAATGGTGGCCGCCACGAAGGAACGGTCGCTGCTGGAGATGTAGGTCTGAAATTCGCGTAGGATAATCGAAATGCTGCCGGCCGACGCCAAATTCGTGAGAATATCCAGCTTGAGGAGCTTCAAATGCGTGGGATCGCTGGTGCGCACGAAGAACGACTTGAGGTGCGGCTCGAAGATGGCCTTGCGTCGGGTCGACATCGAGGCAATGCAGTTGAGCACCACGCTCTGCACCTCCTTGTGCGAGCGCAGCAATCGTATCAGCGCCTTGGCAATCAGCTGCACTTCATTCTTGGGCGCCACATGATGGTAGAGCTGCGCCACGGCCATCACCACGGAGGCATTTCGCGACTGCAGCAGCGGTTTCGTTTGCCGCAACAGCAGGCGATGATCCACATCGATGTGGTAGCTGTTGCTCGGGGAACTGCCGCCATTATTGTTGTTATTCTGGGCACGAGACTTCTGCTTCGACTCCTCATCGCTGCTCCCATCGTCGCTGTGCGAGGAGGAGTGCGAGGATTCGTCGTAGAAGCGTTCGTTCACGGGCGCCTCGCCCAGACCATCGTTGAGCAGCTCCTCCTCATCGGCATTGGGATCCACGAACTGGGTGCGCGCATAGCGGGTGAGCATGTTGATGATGATCACCTGGCCCCACTCGTCCACGTCCACGAGCAGATTGCACAGCTTGCGGTAGTTCTTGTGGATCAAATCCACGCGTTCCGGGCAGACCTATGGATGCAGAAACTTAGTAAGCAGAAGGGAAAGGGGCTCATAGAAACCGACCTCATCAAACGCCATCACTGCGGAACCCACGACCAGAGTGGTGCGATCCGAGAGCAGCTTCTCGATGACCATCACCAGCTCGTCCTTCTGCTCCGCGTCCAGGGAGTACAGCTTGGGGATGGCGTGGGCCGCCGTCTTGCGCACATAGGGACTCAGATCGGCGGCGCTGTCGCGGATGGCCAGCATAACGATGGGCACGATCATGCTGACCCGAATCGAGGAGAGCACGCGCAGCGCAGAGGCGCGTATCAGTTGATTCGGATCCTTGAGGGCCCGCTGAAAGGTGGAAATGGAGAGCAGGGCCAGATCCTGCTGCTCCTCGGCATATCTCACCAGATAGACATAGACCAGCTTCTTCACCTCGATATTCTTGGACACCACGTTCTTGACGACGGCCGGGAAGAGGTCGCTGGCATCCCTGCCGCGGGCTATCATCCCGATGATCCGCTTCATGGCCTCCAGCTTCAGTCCGTCCTTGTTGCTGTCCAGCATCTGCTTGAGATCGTCGTGCTTGCGTCCGTCCGACTGGAAGAAGGCTGCTCCGCTCGCGGGATCCGCCCCGAACTCCACGTCCAGGCCCATCTGGGGCCGCTCCACGTAGGCGGACATGGCGAACGGATTGCTGGCCGTGTTCTGCTGCATGCTGGCTGGGATTCTGGGATTATCCCCGGATTCGGATGACCACTTGACCTTTTACTTTCTTTTCTTTCTTTCTTTTTTTTGTGTGTGGGAGTTGGCAGTTTTTTTCCGCTGGGCAAGGGCGTCCGCCGTGAAACCTGTATGCTCTTTTGCGAATCCCCGAGAGGATCGGCCTGGTCAGCTGCTCGTCCTGCCACGCAGCTTGCGAATTTCTCAAGGGAAAACTATTATTTGTGGCGAAAATTCGGCCAATTTTTGCATTTTATTTTAGCTTGATTTACAGTGTTGAGCAACTAGCGTTGGGGCGATAATACCAGAAAATATACCAACTCACATAAAATACTAGATACTCGAATAGGTATTTTATTATTTACTTGTTGTGTACATAAATTAAATGAGTAATCCTATCTGGGCAGGCTAAAATGAGTCTTAAAAAAATTTAATATAATATAGTCTTAAATAAATATAATAACTGCAATAATGGGTACAATTTGTGTTTACATGGCCAAAATACCAATATACCAAATTTCAGCACCGGTTGACAGTGGTATTTCAACAGCCCAACGATCTGGCATCACTCCTTCGCTACAACTCGACAACTACGTGGCTGCTGCGCGTTTAGAAGTGATTAAAAACAGGCAAATTGCACCCAGAATAACCATGGAAGGCCCGCTCGCCAAGGTGCTGCTCCTTGTGGGCAGCCTGCTGATCCTGTTCCGCTCCAGCCAGGCCTTCATCGTCAGCGTGGACGCCCACAACGAGGAGTGCTTCTTCGAGAACGTCGAAGGCGGCACCAAGTTCGGTATGTGCGATATGTAGATATTTGTTCTTGTCCAGGGGATTTCACTGATAAAACGATGACTCCTTCGCAGGCGTCACCTTCGAGGTGATTGACGGCGGCTTCCTGGACGTGGACATCAAGATCAGCGGCCCCGAGAACCATGTGATGCACGAGAGCGAGAAGGAGTCCTCCGGCAAGTACACCTTCGTGGCCCCCGCCAAGGGAACCTACACCGTCTGCTTCAACAACGAGCGCAGCAGCATGACGCCCAAGCTGGTCATGTTCTCCATCGACGTCGGCGAGGCGCCGCAGCGCGCACCCGGCGCCCCCGGCGAGGAGGAGGTGGGCCACACCAAGCTGGAGGACATGATCCGCGAGCTCTCCGGCACGCTGACCAGCGTCAAGCACGAGCAGGAGTACATGCATGTGAGTGGGGCGGCTAAAGAATCAAGAATCCACATTCCACATCACCTCCCAGTTGCCACATAATCATGGTATCATGGAATAGGCAGCATCTTTATGAGCATCTAGTCTAGATTCAGTCAACTTTCATGATTAGATTTTGGTTATACGGCTATATCCTTAATAGCTAGTCATCCTTGTCCTTCTCTAGTTAGTGGAATTAATTATTTCCATTCCATTCCAAACCATGGCTTTTATAGAAACACGTCAGGAGTAGAGTTATTGCTATTTCTTAATATTTAATTTGTGTTTTCCCTTCTAAACATTGAAAATATCGAAAAGCTCTGATTGAAATGGGAAAATTAAATTGAAAAAATAATATTTAGCATGAAACAAACAAACAGTTAGCTTCTTTGGTTAAATTTTTGGCCTTCTGATTCATGATTTTATGTAATTTTTATTATTCATCAGAACAATTCTAATTATATTCGCTTTATAATTTAATTTTCGAATTGTCAAAACATTTGCGAAACATCAAAACATCGATGTTATCAAATCAATATTGTCAAAATATCGAAAATATCGATCATTTTCAAGCTTTAGACAGAAGTTCAAGAAGAAAGTGAAACCAAGCATTCCACATAAACACTAATTACAGACTATAAGCCTAGGATTCCATACCATTATCTACAAAACTAATCTCCCACTCTATCCACTCTTTAGGTCCGCGACAAGATCCATCGCTCGGTGAACGAGAGCACCAACTCGCGGGTGGTGCTGTGGTCCACCTTCGAGGCCCTGGTGCTGGTCCTCATGACCGTGGGCCAGGTTTACTATCTGAAGCGCTTCTTCGAGGTCAAGCGCGTCGTGTAATCCCGACCGGAAAGCCAGGAGGAGAAGAGGAGAGGAGCGGCGTACTGGGGGAATGTGTGCGCAATGTGTTGCAGTCTCAGATTTAATTTAAACGATTAACATCCTTTTGTAATTAAAATAAAATACCTTGTAAAAAGTAACTAGTGGCTGGAAATATTTTCAACTGTCTTGTTTTCGCTTCGAGAACCATTAAAAAGCACTTTCAATCTATTAGAGAAATCACCAAGCTAAATTAATATTTGTTTACTAAAGACCAAAAATTGAAACGAATTTTCCAAATCGAAAAGGGACAGAAAATATTTTCAGACACACATTCAATGGGGGAAATACCACTTTGTGTATGTTTCAATTAAATATTATGAAAACGATTTATGTTTTGTAATAAATGGAAATTAACACGAACGGTGGGCAGTGGCCACTTCAAAAACAAAATGCTGTGGTAAAAATATGGAAGAAAATCCAGACTTTTATTCAAATTGAAGGTACTCTTAAACAGGTATCATTATACCATATATATATATCACATATTTCTTTTATAAAAGTATTTCAGTAGATCGCTACCAATGGCGTACTTAGTAATCTTTGGTAATGTTTTTTTTTTTTTTTTTGGGAGCTTTCTTGTCTTGAACATCGAAAACATTTGTTATAAATTGATATTAAAATTTAAATTCATCCGTTAGTGTTTTAAAATTAGAATCCCAAAGAACACATTCATTGATGTAACATGGGTTAATAAGGAGTAATTTTTATTAAATTCTACTAACAAATAAATAACGCTAACATGTAGATGTAGAGAAATTCAAATATATTGTTATCGAGCGAAAAGCTATGCGTTTATCGATGTGTGCATTGCCTCACACATGCGCTCGGACCACTAGCAACTGGATAAGGCGATGAATAAATGCAACAAAAAAAGTTTTCCCCTTATCAATGACGAATTTTGGACTCCGGGGGGATCTACTCCGGAGCAGAATCATTCGTCTGCTTTCGATGAGTGCTATAATGGGTAATTTGTGTGTGAGCACAGCCGCTTGGCCTGGAACCAAAGCGAATCTCCCCGAAGGAGATTTTGGACAACGGATGCTGCAGGAATGTCGTCAAATGGAAAAACCCAAAGTACCTGTGGATCTTGAGAAATTTAAGGCGCTATCGCAAAAGTTTCCAGCCAGGGTAGAGTAAAGGATGTCCTTGAAAAATCGTAGATAATCCTGGCAATTCCCCCACCTCAGTTTGGCATCGATACCTGCCGGGTGAAGGCTCAACCGGCGGATCGCAGTGAGATCATCCGGGAACAGATTGCATCCGCCTATCCGGTGATTCACGAACGCACCCTCCTCCTCTACATCAGTTTCCTGGAGCACAAACTCAAGTTCGGTGGGTACATTTCCTATATTTCAAGAAACTAATCAGTATTTTGGTTTTTAAATTGTCACTTTAGCGAGTGATTAAATATTTAAAAGTTAATATTCCTAAATGTACAAGTAATCCCTAAGTAATTTCCAAAAGATACCCTTTTTTCGAAATATAATTACAATTTAATTGCAAATTATTAGAGATTAAAACCACTAGGAGTGATTAAAAGTGATAAAAGTAAATATCCCTAGATGTACAATTAATCCCTAAGGAATTTCTAAAATATACCCTATTTTCGAAATATAATTACAATTTAATTGCAAATTATTCGATTTTTAAACCACAAGGAGTGATTAAGCATTTCAAAGCTAATAATCCTAGATGTAAAAATAATCCCTAAGTAATTTTCAAAATATATAATATTTTCGAAATATAATTACAATTTAATTGCAAATTATTAGAGATTAAAACCACAAATAGACAAATAATCCTTAAGAAACTTCTAAAATATACCCTATTTTCGAAATATAATTCCACTTTAAATGCAAATTATTAGATATTTAAACCACAAGGAATGCCGCTTTAAAATCTGTATAAGATTACCCACGTTATACTCTTTATATGTTCAGTTTGGGGTCACCTTTTTAGCAATCCAGCAGAAACTTTGAAAATAGGAATGCAGATTAATAGACAACTAAACAATAAACTTTTAGATACCTGCTACCTCAAAATCGGTATTCGAATTGTTGAGATATTCACTACAGATGTGCTCTTTTGGGTCACCCTTTTTCAATTTTCCAATTTCACAGGCAGCCAGCAGGAGAAGAATGTCTACAGGGACATGACCGTGGCGGACTTTGTGCAGCGTCTCCTGGCGAAGAGATGTGTGTGGTTCTTCGGCGCCGGCGACTACTATCACACCATGGACGGGAGGATCGGATACGAGGGCTTCGAGGCGGTGGGCACAGCGGCGGAGGCGGATCCCCTGACCCTTACCTCGGTGCTCAGCTACGACGAGATCAAGCTGGCCGCCCTGTTGTACGCCTCCACCCACTCGGAGTTCATCAACGATGGTCGCCGCTCGAACGCGGGTGTGGTGACCCAGAACAAGAGCTCCATCGAAAGGGAGGGCGTGATCATGGGACTCATTGGAGCCCGATTCGAGCGTGCCGATGTGATGGAGTACCAGGATATAATGATCACCCAGACCCAAAATACCCAAGCCAGAGGCTACGGGCTGTCGAGGTCCACCAATGGTACGGATACGGCAGCTGCGGATTTGCGCAGAATCTGGCGGGAGTTCTACGAGGAGCCCAGGGACTTTATCTACGGCGATGTGCCCGCGAATAAGGATCGTTTCGAGGAGGTGCCCGAGGGTGTTTTCGATCACCAGGTGATGCGCAAGCGATATGCCATCAGTTTCGACACCCTGCTGCTGGAGGCACAGGACAGGGCGGCCAAGGTGGGCAAACCGGCCTACATTCATGTGGTGGGCATCGGTTTGGGCGTTTGGAAGGCAGCTCGACGGCAGGAGAGAAGCTTCTTCGAATCCTTCGAGGAGCGGTTGCGCACACTGGGCCAACGGCTCAGTCACATCGGTGTGGTGCACTTCTCCTGGTTTCATTCTCGTGGTTCTAATGGCCTGTACGAGGGAGCCCTGTTTCCCGTGGAGAATCATCCGCAGGGCGGCATTCTCATCCGAAATTCGGCAAGAAATCCCAACGAGAAGCTGGCGGAGGACATGCTGCCCGTGGTGACCTACGCCTGGGATGGAAACGCCCTGCCCGGCAACGAATTTTGGGCTGTAAGCTGACTTTTCTATATTGTATTATTAATTATTATTTTTGGTCTTATTAATAGAGAATGCTGGTCAGCACTGGAGATCCGGCTGCAGCCTGTTCCACGCTGATTACCGAGCTGCAAAACACCCATATTAATGTGGACTACATGAGCGGGGCCAATCTGCACATCGCATCCGTGGAACATGGACTACTTCATGTGGGCGACTACGCCAGGCGAGTGATCGTATAAGCTATGTTTTATAGAAATCTTATACTCTTTACGCTACATTAAATGTGGGCATTTTTAACTTAATATATAAATTGTATACAAAATAGTTACTTAAGCTCATGGGACTTGTGTTTTTAAAATAAATATACATACACTGGTCGGCATAAATATTTTGACAGATTTTAAAGTTAAATCTACTTATATTTTCGTAAAAAATTCAAAATATTTTTCCTTTTTACTGAGATTGTTCACTTTAAAAAATCATAAAAAATACAAGAAAAAATATTTAAACATTTTTTTTTTTTGCAGTAATCAGTAATTTTGATTGGGGAAAAACTTTGCATCAAAACATTTTAGTTTTAAGCCCCAGGAAAAAGTTGAAAATTTGACTTTCACAAAATGTCCTAACTTTTCAAAGGGTGCTTAATGGGTGAAGAACATTTTTGTGTTATTTAAACAGATTAGAAGTGATCTTTCTATAGGTGCCAAAAGTTTATATTAACATTCAAATCTGTCAAAATAATTATGCCGACCAGCGTATACTATTTCAAATTATACAACGAAATAAAATAATGACTGAGCATTGATATACATTTTATCGTTATTAATAAAAGAGTGTTGAAAAATAAATGGTATACTGGTGTATTATGAGTAAGAATTAAGAATTGTGGTACATATCTCTTTCGATTTGATAAGGTCTTTGTTTTTTCAAGCTGTCTTGCGATCCAATGGCACTTTATCATCGGGGTGTAATGACAGCTGTAAAAATAAGCCACCATATTCTCAGGATGATTCGGGGCCCGCATTCTGGGAGTTCCATTGAATAAGAAGTTGATTGTGTGTGTGTTAACCATTACTGAGTTCGTTTATTGAAATTGAATAGAATTATTAGCTGTCAAATGACAGAAATGTGATATTATTGTAATGTACTGTATATAGATAGCAACAAGTAACACAAGAGCCCATCTCCCATTTATTTCGGCTATGGGTCAAACAATGCAATTCCCTCATCTCATCTCGCAATCCCAAATCCTAGTGTTTTGTGTTCGGTTTTTGGCATTTGGCATTTTCGTTAAGTATTAAAAATTATCTCGTATTTAAAACACTTTGTTCTGTATCTGTATACTTCTGAAACAGCGTCGTATATCGAAAACAGTGATATAACATTCACAACAAGTTTATGCTCAAATATAATATTATTCTTTATCAACAATAGCGTTTTATCTGTAACGGTGCGCACGGCCCACTCTCTTATCGATTGCACTACGTATGTACACTTGTCTCTCTATATTTATATTTATATTTATATATATGTATATGTATATAATATATATACGATATAACTAGATACAATATAATTTCGTTACATTATTCCGTAGGTAATTAGTGCGAGAAACAGTACAATAAAATCGAAAAATCAAGCATGGAAACATGCTCCAAATATGATTTAGTTCAAGGTATATATGCAAGTAGGTAGGTATCGTTAACGCTTTTAGGTTTAGTTCTGTATTTCTAGGTAATATATAGGTATATAATGATGGCAAACTGCATGAGGATCTGTGTGCACTCCATAAAAAAAAGACCTGACAACTACGCAATCGAACTTTTGCTACTCAAGCTCCGGAGCTCCGGACTTAGGGCTAAATTCTCGTATAACAAATCGTAGACTAAATTGAATATGTTTATTATTTCAGTTCTCACTTTGACTTTCAGCTGGAAGTGCCATTCAATTTGTTTATGATATTTTGCCTATTATAATTCTGTTTACTTGACGTCTTGAAAAAAATATATGTATATTATTCTAAGCACGAAATCCACACTGAAAGCGAAAGTTGCGACCGAATGAACACAGAAAAATAGCTTAGTTGTAGATTCGCTGGGCAAATCGAAACAAACAAATATATTTAATAAACGTAATAAAGAAGAAATACATAAAAAAAACAGAAAATGCTTTAAAGCTTCTTATCAACAATATTCTTTGTGATCTAATATCCCCGAACTTAAGGCTAAATATGTAAATCAAATACCCAAGTACAAATTCGTTAGATCGTTATTTTTGGGGGCTCATTTTGGAGGAGGAGGAGGATGGAGGGCAGGAGTAATACCAATACCAGATCTATAGCATACAAAAGCAGCTGTTGCGCCGCAGCTTGTTAATTAAACTCAATTGAGAACAGCTTTTTTTGTTGCTGCTTTTTCGAAAGCAGTTAGGCCAACAACTTGGCTTGAGTCACCCAAGTTCGACTGCATATAGATACATACATATATGTAATATGCTTTCCTTATATAACATATGCATAACAGAGTGGCGATAACAAGAAATCACTCGTCATGTCCGTTTATTGTACTGCGTGTGTTGCGTTGCGTGTACGTTGCACGTCATTCTTTGGTGGATGGGCGTATATCTTTATGGAGGCGCCAGCGCTTGTCCATCCGCCTCCGTTTTTTCCGTTCTCTCTGTTTTTTCCCGTAACCCGTAACCATATCGGTCCACCCATAATTTTGCCTCCATTTCCCATGCCTTCTACTCATCGTAATCGCTGATGAGCAGTCCCCGCTTGCTGAATCCCAGCGAGGAGACGGCGGACAGGTTGGGCGTCGAGTCGATTCCCTCGAAGAGATCACTGGTCGCCGAGCTGTTCAGCGAGTTGAGGGTCACGTTGAAGGTCGACCTGCCGCCGGCCGTGTGGAAGCGCTCCTGGAGCTGCTGCTGCCTCTTCAGGCGGTCGAGTTCCTCGCGCAGTGCCTGGTTGCTCGCCCTCAGGCCGTCCGCCTCCCGCAGACAGTCACGCAGCCTTTTGTGGGTGGAAATCAAAAGAAATCAAGAAATTGAGATGTTTGTTTAGTTTCGGTGATCATTAGGGGGAAACCGCAGGCCAAGATTATTATGAAAGTCTCATTTTCAAGCCTTGAATCACCGGGGGACATTCGAGAGAGTCCAGCTCATTTTGCATGAGATAGCGGCGAAAAATAACCGCTTCGGGGGTATTTTGTTTGTCCCGAAGATAATACGCCCTTTATCAGCACTTTAAACACGCATACCTACTGCCAAGTAACTTTATTCCCCCGGTTATATCTGAGGAATTATGTAAACAAACTTTGGAGTTGACTTTGGAGAGGGAGAATATACACTTAGAAATTATTTTTAAGCTATAAAAGATCTTTTAATAGTAGAAAACAGACTACTATTAAAACGTATCTATTATTTATGATCAAAGAACGATTAAAAATTGCAGTTTAAAAGCCAAATCAAATGGGATAACCTTTATTGTAGGAAACTACAGCTAATACGCCCTCTATCAGCACTTTAAATATGCATACCTACTGCCAAGTAACTTTATATCTCAGGCATTATGTAAACAAACTTTAAATTTTAAACTTTTAAATTCTTTTTATACCACGAAAGATCTCTAAATAGTCGTATCTATTATTTATGATCAAAGAACGATTAATACTTGCAATTTAAAAGCCAAATCAAATGGGAAAACCTTTTTTGAATGTCCTACAGCTAATATCTCCTTTATCAGCACTTTAAATACGTATACCTACTGCCAAGTAACTTTATATATAAACTTATATAAAGAATATAAACTTAGAAATTCTTTTTACACAATAAAAGATACCTAAATAGTCGTAGATTAAAACTTATCTATTATTTATGATCAAAAACTCATTAATAATGGCAGTTTAAAAGCCAAATCAAAGGGGATAACCTAACCTACAGCTTGAGAAGACTTCCTTTTCGGCTCTCCCGGTTTCCCTCTGCAACGATGACCCCACTCACGTGTCTATTTCGCCCTGCATGCTCTTGATGTACTCGCACGCCTTGATCAGAATCTGCGACTTGGAGTCGTTGGGCGGCGTGCGGCCGCTGGAGCTGCTGGGATTGCCCTTGGGTGCTTGGCTGCTGCTGCTGCTGCTGGCGGCACTCGTACTCGTACTGCCGCTGGTGCTGGGACTCGTGCTGGCCTCGCTGAAGCCCGAGCTGGAGCTCAGGCTGGGCAGCATCTCCTTGAGCTTGAAGATCCAGCTGTTGATCTTGTCGCGACGCCGGCGCTCCACCTCGTTGTGCGTGGCCCGTCGCTTGTCGTCGCGCTTCTTGTAGGCCTCCAGCTTGCTGCTGGGCGTCTGGCCAGCGGCCTCTGGCTGGGATCGGGCCTGGACGTGGGTGTGGGAGCCGTAGAGGACACTGGTGGTGGTGGTGGCGTTACCCGAGGGAGCAGCAGCAGCAGCAGCAGCGGGAGTCATCACCTGGGGCTTCGGACGGCTCGGCTTCTCGCTCAGCGTGTCCAGCTCCAGTTTAATGGCCGCCTTGGCCGGCGGCTCACCCACCAGACTGGCGGTGTCCTTGACCAGATAGATCTCACAGCCGGTGGGCAGCTGCAGGTTGGTGGGCAGCAGCGAATGGACATCCAGGTCGGAGCCGGGCTCCTGCTTGATGGCGTAGTACTCCTGCGAGTCGTCCGAGTTCTCGTCCCCGCAAATGGTGAGGAATATCTGGGCGCCCTGGCTGCCCATCAGCGCATTGCCCGTGGCGCTGGTGAGGATCAGGCTCTGGTGGCCGTTGGCGAAGGTACTGCTGACCAGGGCCTCCGACAAGTCGGCCGTGTGGTGATGATTCCCGATGAGGTTGCTCATGCTGACGGAGGAGGACGTGGTGGAGGTGGTGGCGGTGGTGGTGGTGTTGGTGGCGCTGGCACCCAGTTCCATCTCCAGACGTGGCCGCTTGCGCACATTCATCGTGGCATCGATCCAATTCCAGTGCCAATCCCAGCCAGAATCACGTAACCCTGGATCCTCCCGGGATCTCCGATCTTTCTTTGGATGGTGTTGCGGGATGCGGATACCGATGGCGTGTATCCCCCGAGCTGGCCGATCTGCGGATTATTAACTCCCGACTGCCACGAGGATTTGCTTCCGAATCGAGCGCTGCGGCGGATTTCTGTGTGTTCGTGTTCGCACGGCCATTTAACAATACAATTTGTTGATTTTTTTTTAGTAACAAAAAAATTTCGTTTGGCTCAGTGTGGCCCGTCGGCGGGCAGCGAATAAATACCGACAAATACACACGGCAGGTGTTGCGAAACGCGAAAATACCAGATTCGGTATATTTTCAAAAACTTTTAAAACTAAACTATTAAAAAAACCGTTTTTTCCATTTTCGGAATTAGCAAATAAAGGCAAATTTAAAAAAAAATAAATTAAATCCAAATCTGATAAAAACAACTACATTTTTAGGAAAAACTGCCTTCCTAATTTTTTATTTACATGAAACAGCTATAGAAATGAATCCATAGGATATAGTTAATACAAAAATATTGTAAGTTCAAACTTTAAAGGCCCAAATAAATAAAAAAATACTTGATACTTTTTCGGAGTTAAAAACTACAAGATATAATATTACATGTAATATTAATATCTTTTTGACCAGAAAAAGAATATTACTTTAAAAAAAATAAAAAAACATTACCAACAATTGTTTATATTTTAGCTAAAATACAAATATAAATTCTCAAAACTCAACAATACCCACTGCGTATAAGTAATGGCTGGTATTTAAATACCCAGTATTACGTATACGCCACACTGGCGGCCAAAATGTCGTTGACTTCGCAATTGGTTACGAATTTGAAACGCTTTCGCCTGGTGACCTTCGACGTGACGGACACGCTGCTCCGCCTGGAGGATCCGCTGCGGCACTACCGCCGCACGGCGGAGGAGTTCGGGGTGACCGGAGTGGACCGCCGCCGGTTGGAGCACTGCTTCCGCCAGCAATTTAAGGCGATGAGCGGCGAGCATCCGAACTTTGGACGCTTCTCGCCGGGATTGGACTGGCAGCAGTGGTGGCTGCAGCTGGTGAGCCGAACCTTTGGCTGTGTGGATCCGGACGCGTCGCCCGAGAAGCTGGAGAGGATTGGCCAGCGGTTAATTACGCTCTTCCGAACGAGCGCCTGTTGGAATCACGTTGATGGCGCCCAGGAACTGGTGCACTGCGTCCGCAGCGCCGGCAAGTGCGTGGGCATCATCTCCAACTTTGATCCCTCGCTGCCAAAAGTCCTCGATGCCATGGGCTTCGCGGGCCAGTTCGATTTTATCCTCACTTCCTACGAGGCGGGCGTCATGAAGCCCGATCCGGGCATCTTCGAGATTCCCCTGAAGAGACTGCAGATCCCGGCGGATCAGGCCCTCCACATTGGCAACAAACTGGACCTGGACTACGAGGGAGCTCGCAACTGCGGCTGGAGCGGATTGCTGGTGAATGACGCAGACAACCCGCACTCCTTTCCCACTTTATCCAAACTTCTAGAGGGTTTAAAGACCCAACAGATCGAATGGTGATGCACCCAAAGCCGAAACTCGACTCAGGATTCGATTAGCTCATGGCTGTAGTTATTTTGTAGATTTTTTGTAAGTTTAAGAAACAGAACAGGATGTAAAACTAGTGTTAAATATAAATACTCGTCATTCTATATACTTTTCGGGACATTCGAGGGAGGTTAAACACAGTAAAATAATTTCTAGCCTAGGAAGAACCCAGAAATAACTTAATAGAATCCTTGGATTTGTTGGTTATTATTATTATTATTATTATCTAATGCTAACTTATAGTTAAAAACTATAAACTAACAGTGGTAATAATAATAATAATAAATAATAAACTTAATAGAATCCCTGGCTTTGTTGGCTATAATTAGACATCGGATTTTAGGTGAAATCGTTTTTCTTAAATATGATTTAAAGCCACATTTGATTGGTTACATTTTTATACCCTTGTAGAGGGTATTATAATTTCAGTCAGATGTTTGCAACGCAGTGAAGGAGACGTTTCCGACCACATAAAGTATATATATTCTTGATCAGCACCAATAGCCGAGTCTATCTAGCCATGTCCGTCTGTCCGTCTGTCCGTCTGTCCGTCTGTCTGTCTGTCCGTCTGTCCGTTTCTATGCGAACTAGTCTCTCAGTTTTAAAGCTATCGCGATGAACCTTTCCCGAAGGTCTTCTTTCTATTGCAGGTAGTACATATGTCGGAGCTAGCCGGATCGGACCACTATATCTTAAGGCTCCCAAACAAATATAAGAAAATTCATTGTAACTTTGTAGGAAGTAGGCGTTTTGATTCTTGACTACTTAAAAACAAAATTGAAATAAATCGAAACGCTGAATCTGGAATCCCTGGAACTGCACCGAGTGAGTATTCTTTTATCTACAAGGGTATATAAGCTTCGGCTGGCCGAAGGTAGCTTCCTTTCTTGTTTTTTTTAAAACCTCAATTAAGTTTGGCCTAAATCTAATTATATCCTAATAAATAAAATTTGTAACCAATCAAATGTGGCTTTAAATCGAATATAAAGAAAACGATTTCACCTAAAATCCGATGGGTAGTTACAATCAAAATCCAAGAAATTCGGCACTTAATTCTTATCGAATGTGTCAAATTGCTAGCGATATCTTATTTTTTTCCTTAATTTAACTTATCAAAAGGGTTTAAAATCTAAGAAATTTAATTTTGTCAGCCACAGTAAGTGAAAAATACAATTTTTAAAAGCTTTCTGAATGTTTAAACAGTTTCTTAGTTCAAATATAATGGTTTTAATGTGTAAAACTAGACAAACTGACAAAAATGGCTTGGAAAAGGCAATGAAATTTAATTGTGTCACTTGCAGTAAGTGAAAAATACAATTTTTAAAATCTTTCTGAATGTTTAAAGAACTTCTTATTGCAAATATAATGCTTTCAAAGTGTAAAACTAGTGACCTGACGAAAAATGGCTTGGCAAATGCACATTTATTTACCTATTTTAGCTGATTTAAAACGAAAACCTCCGCTCGAACGTGCCTGCTTAAACGCCTAGTCCGATTAAACTATTCCTGAAGGCTTATTCAGCATCTCGGTTGATATATACACACACGGCACTCGCACACAGACCTAAATACTATACAGATTAAGAGTAAAAGCTAGTTTGTGACCAGGAATGTGCCATCTGGTTGCCATTTCACCGCTGCTATGTGGCCTGCTTGGTGGCCTTGGCGGGCATCTGGGCCTTGGCCGCCTTCAGCTGCTCCAGATTGAACTGCTTGCGTATCTCGGTGGACACCTGGCGGATGACCGCGTCCGTGTTGGCCTTGAGATCGCGCTCCAGCACCTCGATGTCCACGTCCTTGCTCTCCAGCCGCATCTGCATGTCCGAGTAGAAGTCGCAGAAGAGCACGGGCTCATCGGAGCCGTTCGGCGTCCGCGTGCTGCAGTACTGCCCCCTGCGATGCAGATCGTCGCTGTTCGTCTGCGCATCCAGGCCGAGCAGACGGCGCGCTCCCAGCGGCAGCTGCTGCTGGATGAGCCGCTCGTGGTTCTGCGAGATGTGCTGCTTCAGCTTCTTGAACTCCTTCACCTCGTTCTTCATGTACTTCACATAGCTGTACATCTTGGAGGTCTTCTTGGTCAGGTTCTCCAGGCAGCCGATGAAGTTTCGCACCTGCTGGGTGCGCGGCAGCGTGCTGGGATCCAGGCGCTCGGCCTCGTCGAAGTGCTGCAGCGACCGGTTGAAGTCGTGCTTCATGGCCAGCGCCGAGGCGAGCACCACATGGTTCTCGGCCACCTGCGGGGCATGCTCCACGGCGGCGGAGAGTATCAGGTCGGCATCGGCCAGCCTGCCCATGCGGAAGAGTATGGTGCCCAGACTCAGAAGCGGTATGTCCTTGAATATCGGCGGAGCCAGCAGGGCGGCCAGGCGGGCGCAGGGCAGGGCCTCGCGGGCATTTCCCCGCATGCGCCAGTAGTAGGAGCTCAAAGTGTGGAACTTCCAGGAGGCCGGATGGTGCTGCAGTCCGTCCACCGCGAAGCGTCGCGTCAGCTCCACCGTGGCCATGCCCACATTGGTGTCGTGCTCGCGCTCCAGGAAGGCGGCGGCCAGCACCTCGGGCCGGAAGCTCTCCAGATGATCATAGGTGGCCGGACCGACGCTCAACCGGTGGTAGTCACTGCACACCGGCTCCAGGCCCATCGCAGAGGCACTCTTCTGCACGTGCAGCTGCCGCTGATCGGGCAGATTAATTCTCTTCAGCTGCTCTGGGGTGATCTTCAGATAGGACATGCGCTTCTCCAGCATGTAGTAGTCCATGGCGCACTTGGCCTGCTCGGCCAGATCCTCGCCGAAGCGCATGGAGAAGCGCAGATGCTCGACAATCTGCTCCCGCTTGCGCAGCAGGTCCAGGTAGGAGCGCTCCACGTACTCGCTGTACCTGATCTGCTCGAGAAATGCGGCCAGATTCTTGGGCTCCCGCATGTGGAAGGGCGAGTCCAGCTTGGGCACGATCTGCTCCTCGCGCAGCACCCAGTGGTTGCAGGCCAGCAGCAGGCGGAGGACGGCCAGGAGCACGGCCAGTGCCAGGGGGCACGGGCGCATCTTGGAGGAGCGGAGGAGGAATCGGGAATCCAAGATTTGGTTTTTGGTTTGTTTAAAAAAAAAAACAAACTCGCCTTAGAGGTGGGAAAACAGCGATTACCTTATCGATATTATTGATATTTTCCATTTGGTATATTTCGAGTGCGGTATTTTAGGGAGCTCGCTTTAGGGTCATACTGAAACTGCTTTTCGAAAAAACGTGCGGATTTCTAGGTGATATATTTGGATTCTATAATATATCATGGGTGGCCAGGGCAAGACCATCAACAGGAAGCGCAAGTTTGTGGGCCGCAAGGCGGACGATCCGGAGTTCGATCTGGACAAGAAGCAGTTCAAGGTGCTCCATCTGAATGCCACCGAAAAGCGGCTGATAATCGTTTTGGAGGGAGCCCAACTGGAGACGGTGAAGGTGGGTCCAAAACTAATATATATATAATATATAGAAAGGGAATCCTTATAGATATATACAACCCCCAGGTACACAACACCTTCGAGCTGCTCAATTGCGACGATCATGCGGGGATAATGCGCAAAAACCAAAGGGATCCCGGCTCCTGTCGCCCGGACATCACCCACCAGTGCCTCTTGATGCTCTTCGACTCGCCCCTGAACCGCGCCGGTCTGCTGCAGGTCTTCGTGCGCACGGAGCACAATGTGCTGATCGAAATCAATCCGCAGACCCGCATTCCCAGGACCTTCAAGAGATTCGCTGGTCTGATGGTCCAACTGCTGCACAAGTTCCAGATTCGCGCCAATGACTCCTCCCGCCGACTGATGAGTGTGATCAAGAATCCCATTACGGATCACGTGCCAGTCGGCTGCAAGAAGTACGCCATGAGCTTCTCCGGCAAACTGGTGGCCAATTGCCGGGATCTGGTGCCGCATGGCGAGGAGGGCAGCGAAAAGTACGACGAACCCGTGGTCATTGTCATCGGAGCCTTTGCCCACGGCGTCCTCAAGACGGACTACACCGAGGAGCTGTTCTCCATCAGCAACTACCCCCTGTCGGCGGCCATCGCGTGCTCCAAACTCTGCTCCGCCTTCGAGGAGGTGTGGGGCGTGGTCTAGGCCCGCTGATTATTGTCCTATAGTTTAGTCATAGCTAGTAGTTAGTCTACCATATATTCTTTAAATTGGTTTATATAAAATTTTGTGGAATTTTAATGACTGCATGTCTGTGTTTATATCTTTAGTACAGCGAATTTAACTGGGACCTGGATTTTATAATATTTACGATGCAATCCCTAGTAAAATAACTTATTTCTTGCAATCCTACAAACTGAATTAAGATTACAAAGGTTAAATAGAATTTGTAGTGATAAAGTACCTCCAGAAAAACTTACTTTTTATTACTTGTAATATAAATGCTGAAAACCATTTTAATATAGTTTGTTTTGCTGTAATATTCCCCGATTTTTGATAGATACTTGATAATACAAACTAATAAATGGTTGACATTTATGATAAATGATTTATCTGAACATTTAAATATGCTTTGTTTCCTCCAAAAGTAACTAACTGATTGATTTAACATTAAAAAGGTACAATAGGGATTGTAATGATAAGGTTCCTCCAGAAAGTTATTTAATTTTGAACTCAGTCATTACTTTGAATATATTTCTTGCTAATATAGACTCATTTTTGATGTGATTAATATTTCAACATTCTTCGTTTCCACTTAAAATAGATATAAATTAACCAGAAAACAAGCTTGTTATCCTCAATTTTAATTTTCCTTGACTGACTAGTAAAATCGCTTATTTCTTGTTTCCTAACTGATTGATTCAACTGATTTAACATTACAAAAGGTAAAATAGGGATTGTGATGATATGGTTCCTCCAGAAAATCATTACTTTGAATATATTTCTAGCTAATATTGCCTGATTTTTGATATGATTAATATAACAAATTAAAAAATGGTTGGCATTCTATATAACTCATCTAAATATATAAAATTATTCTTAGTTTCCACTTAAAACAGATCTAAAACAACCTAGCAATCCTCTATTTTCATTTTCCCTGACTGAAAGTGCAGTCGGAAACAAAGAAGACGCATTTCCCACACCGATTGCGCCCGGATTATCTATATCAGATTGTGGGTCATCACCCCATCGCCCACCGCGTTTGCTTTTTACAATAAGTTGGTTTATTTTTGTATAATTTGCAGTTACAAAAGACAGGCTTAGAAAACTTGAATAATTTTGAATGTGTGTGTGTGTGTTACGTTAATTTATGCTTAACTAATTGCCATAATAGTCCTGCGTTTTCCAGGGATTGAGAGCTCAATGGGTAGCATTTTCTGGGGATTCTGGGTTAGGGGATTGGATTGGATTGGATTGGATTCAAGGGAGGGATGCTTCATCTCTACTTGGCGCCCGGCTTCTTGGCGCCGCCGTCGGCGGCCTTCTTCTCGGCCTCCCGCTTGGCGGCCGCCTCCTCGCGCTGCTGCCGGATGAGGGCCAAGCGGGCGAGGTCGGCCTTCGCCTCGGTGGTCTTGCCGGCGGCATGGAGCTTCTCGTACCGCTGGCGCGCCTTCTGCTTCTCGATCTGTTCCCGTTCGCGGCGCGACAGCTCCGGCTTCGGATGGCCGCCACCCTTGGCTCCCTCGCCGCCCGGCGGCCCGTCGTCCAGCTTGATCGCCGAGAGCTTCTGTGTGGCCTTCTTTGTCACCCGATTGGGATTCTCGATCTCGATGAGCGAGGCCACGCCCTTCTTGGCGTCGCGCGCCTCGCCCTCCGAATCCTCGTCGGAATCCTCGCCGGACTCGGAGTCGGAGGAACTGGCTGCTCCGCCCGCCGCGTTTCTTGCCTTCTGGCTGCGATTCTGGGGGGCTTTTCGGGGCGCTGGCGCCTTGGCTTTGGCGGAGGAACTGGCGGCTCCCGCCTTCTCCTCGCTCTCGGAGCCCGAGCCGCTGGTCTGGTCGCTCTCCTCCTCCGACTCCTGCTGCAGCTCCTCCGGCGATGTGAAGTGGCGACTGCGGCCCTTGTGGTTGACGAACTTTCCTCGTGGCATGCTGATCGATCTACGGCCTGATCTGGGGGGTTGCCTGCTCGCGACTCGATTCCCGCCTTGCTAACTGCCGTCGGCTGTTCCTTGTCCTTGCTAAACGACCGCTAAAGCCGTCGAATCCCTCGAAAATAGGCTAAATATAATCACGTTGGCTATAAAAAAAATTTGACTTATTTCGCATGGAGGTGGAGAAACAGCGATGATTTTTCGGTATTTATATACCAGATACAGTATCGATTACAGTAAATATCGCGTGGATTCGATAGTGTCATCGATTGCCATTAAAGCTTAAAAATGAATACATTTTTCTAATTGGAATGTATTTTTAATTTCTAATTGAAGAATTTCTTACAAGTTTTGCCTTTTTAAAAATTATTTTTAGTCATCATTTTGTCTTGCAATTGCATTATGTATCAGGTTTTTAAGCAGGGTTTTATTAATATTTAAGTCGAAGAACACAATCAAAAACAATTCAATTTAATTTAACAGCTGATTTTTTTTATTTATTTTGGTCATCCCATTTGCCTTATTCAAATTCAACTTTGGCGCCAACAGAAAGAGGTGAGAATCAAACGACATTTAGCAAGGACACCCTCCGGATCTAGTGGAGACACCCACTGTTGAGTGGTGGAATCGTTGGTTTGAAATTTTGCACTTCCAAAAACTAGCCTTGGTATTTTCCAACACTGACTCTGACGTCTTTTAAATATAAAACTATTTTTTATGGCCAATTTATAAGAGAAATATCTTACAAAAACATTAAAGTTTTAGAATCGATCTAAAAATGGTAACCCTATTCTCGTTTATAAACTTGTAGATGGCGCTTTAGTGCTAGCAACATCGATAACCGAATATCGATGACTGTCCACCTCTAGTGCCCGACTATATTCGCTTTCCAATACTGTTTCCGACCGAATTGTGTAGTGCTGCGGCAAGAAAAGTTGTGAATTTCGAGGGGAATTTCGAGCAACATGTAAGTAGAGCTTGTGCGTTAATTGTGTGGAAAAAGGACTGGCAGCTGGCATTTTGGCCAGGGCGATGTTTGTTGGCGTCGCAGGGAGTGGAGGGCCGCCTGTCGACGCCTCTGACCCGGTTGCAATATGGACGACGGCGTCGCTTCGCTCGGAATTGTGTGGTTTGTTAAGGGGAATTTGGCTTTCCTGGCCAGAAGTCTTCTCTTTCCAACTGCCGGCTTTCATTTCCGGCCGGGGAAAAACGGCCAATAAGCCGGCTGGTTAAAGTACAGAGCTTCCAGAGATTTCCCTGCCAGCCAGCGACGTGGTGCCGCCTCGTGCTGTTCTCCCAGCTTTTCCCGGCTTGAAATCCCCGCCTGGAAGTTCAAGTGGCGGCCAGAACTGCTAGCTTTCCATTTCTAGAAGGCCTGCAAATGTCCTTGTTTTTGGCCAGCGGCCATCGAAAGGTTTCCCCCCGATTGCCATGCCAATCGCAGCGCCATCCGCATTTTGTGAGGTTAGACTTGAATCGCAAAAAAAAAAAAAGGCAATGAATTTGCTTCATGTTTCTTCTGCCGGCAGCGACGTCGGCGTCGGCGTCTGTCTGCGTGTTTGTGTGCGTGTGCGTGTATTAGAATTCGTTTTGTTATTTCGCATTTATTTAGATTGTCGATTTGCCGATTTGCCTGATTTTCACGTGAATTGCGACTGGCCTGCAAGCAAAAGTATCCCTGCACTATTTCTGAATATGTCGGCATTTTTTTTTTGGCGCGCTTTGCAGCGTCCACAGGTTACCACAAATACATGTACAGATATGTACACACACAGATATGAGCTGTAATCCGTCGCCGTTACAGGCCGACCTCCGTATAATGAACATTTTACTGGCGGCATGTTGCGCATGCGCAGGATTCGCGAATTTCACAATCGCAACATCCCGAAAATCATTACATCTCAATTTGCCAATGACTCATGCAAATAGCGTTTTCAGCGATTCACGAAAGTAGGCTTTATTCATTCGGAAAGTATTCCTATTCATTGTATTCATTTCTGTCTGAAAGGTCAGTTCAAAAATATTACCAATTGTATTGCAAAATGGTATACTAAATTCAGATTAATTAATTTAAAAAATATAATACTAAATCTATTTATTTTTGAATAACGGTTACAATTCACTCTTTTTTTTAAATTAAATATATAATTTACTTTATAGATCCTTTAAACTATATTGTTTATCATAGAGATTATTTGATATTCTTCTATCGCCTTTGCCTATTTCAAATGTAAATAAATCTGAACAGATTTGGTTAGCAAAATACCCAAGGGGTTTTCATAGTTTTGCGAAATAAAGCCAAACAAGAATATTTATTTGCGAATAGAAAACAAACAATTGGCTATATCCTCGATTTCTTCGGTATTCATTTTTCTGTACCTTTGTACAATATTTAGATTAGCTGTTTTACTTTCTCCAATTAAAAAACAAGAAAGGAAGCTAGCTTTGGCCAGCCGAAGCTTATATACCCTTGCAGATCATTCCTATTAATTAACAAATCGCAAAAATGTTCAATTTTCTAATATTTCTCATTATTTTCCGATCGTTCCTATGGCAGCTATATGATATAGTCGTCCGATTTTGATTAAATTAAAATTGAAATTCGGAAATATTTAAAAAGAGTCATATCCTAGAGTAGAAGATAATACAATAAAAACCAAAGAAGCTTGAATTTATTTCCTATTACTTTTCCATTAATTTTCCGATCGTTCCTATGGCAGCTATATGATATAGTAGTCCGATTTTTTAAAAAATTAATTCGAAATTCAGAAATATTTAAAAAATAACATCCCCAAAAGAAGAAGGTAATATTTCAAAAAACACCGAAGCTAGAATTTTTTAAAGTTTTTTTTTTCCGATTGTTCCTATGGGAGCTATAAGATATAGTTGTCCGATCCGGTCGGCTCCGACATATATACTACCTGCAATAGAAAGAAGACTTTTGCGAAAGTTTTGTCCCGATAGCTCAAAAACTGAGAGACTAGTTTGCGTAGAAACAGACAGACGGACAGACGGACAGACGGACAGACGGACAGACGGACAGACGGACGGACAGACGGACAGACGGACAGACGGACAGACGGACATGGCTAGATCGACTCGTCTTGTGATGCTGATCAAGAATATATATACTTTATGGGGTCGGAAACGTCTCCTTCACTGCGTTGCAAACTTCTGACTGAAATCATAATACCCTCTGCAAGGGTATAATAAAATATATGACAACCATATATTACTAGGTCGGTAAAGTTTTGAATATATGATCATCAGTCACAGCAATTATTTGAAATCAGTTTAATTTTGACTATATAATATCACATCAGTGCCAACAATTATTTGAAATCAGTTTAGTTTTAAATATATATTATCATCAGTCCACAAAAATTCTTTAAAGTTTGAAATAAACGTGGTATGTGTTTTATGTGTGAGGATGTGTGATTGCCTGCAAAGTATATCCTTCCGCCTCCCTGACATTGCTCCTTGTTGTTGTTTCAGTTTCATTTTGAGTTTCAGTTTGGTTTTGGTGCGCCAGGAATTTTCGCTTACCTGCATTCGCAGGCAGCCTCTGTGGTCGTCTCTCTCGCTCTCTCTCTCCCTCTCTCTCTCGCTCGGCATCCTGCGGCCCAGCGGGAGCGGCAGCTGCAGTATCCTTGTCGCCATCCCGCTCGCTCCCCTTTGCTCCTGGCCGAACAGCTGGTCGCTGTCCTTGGCGGGCTTTGACGCATCCTTTGTGCACGTCACACGAATTTGGACATTTGCTTCGTCAGTCGCCTGGCGCTCGCCGAACCAACAACATCCTTGCTGCTCGAAGCCTCTCTGGATTTTCAAAATACTAACACAATATTCGCACACCCACAGCTCACCGTTCCGCGCCGTCAAAGTCCAGAGGTCCAGAAGTCCAGTTGTCCACGAGTAAATCAATCACCGAGTGCTTAGCAGGATGGCTCAGGAAGGTCAGGATATTCCCACATTCAAGTGCGTGCTCGTCGGCGATGGCGGCACCGGCAAGACCACCTTCGTCAAGCGCCACATGACCGGCGAGTTCGAGAAGAAGTACGTGGCCACACTGGGCGTGGAGGTGCACCCGCTGATCTTCCACACCAACCGCGGCGCCATTCGCTTCAACGTCTGGGACACCGCCGGCCAGGAGAAGTTCGGCGGTCTGCGCGACGGCTACTACATCCAGGGCCAGTGCGCCGTCATCATGTTCGACGTCACCTCGCGCGTCACCTACAAGAACGTGCCCAACTGGCATCGCGACCTGGTCCGCGTCTGCGAGAACATCCCGATCGTCCTCTGCGGCAACAAGGTGGACATCAAGGATCGCAAGGTGAAGGCGAAGAGCATCGTCTTCCACCGAAAGAAGAACTTGCAGGTAAGTGACCTATTAAAATGCTTTCATTGCATTTTTATCTATCTTTTCTAGTTTACAATAGAGCCCTGCATGAATGGATTCAATGAATTATGAGAATGAATTAATTCGAATTTTGAGTTAAATAGAATTGAATGAATTTTGAGTTAAATAGAATTCCGAAATAATTCAAACGACAATTTCATTTGAAGAATTTATGCCTGAATTTTATTTACTAAGCAGTTAACTTTGATTTGTTACAAATTTTCCACTTTTTGTTCTCAAAAGAAAGTACAAAGAAATCATAAAAATTATTCTTTCATTTATTCAATTCGAAATGAATTAGAAAAACATTCAATTTAATCAGAAATTTCATGGCATACTATATTAAAACAAAAATTGAATAATTCACCCAGGGCTGCTCTAGTTTACAATACCAAAATAACCCCATATTTCTCCACAGTATTACGACATTTCTGCCAAATCGAACTACAACTTCGAGAAACCATTCCTTTGGCTGGCGCGCAAGCTGGTTGGCGACCCCAACCTGGAGTTCGTCGCCATGCCAGCCCTGCTGCCGCCCGAGGTCAAGATGGACAAGGACTGGCAGGCGCAGATCGAGCGGGAATTGCAGGTGGCCCAGGCGACCGCCCTGCCCGACGAGGACGAGGATCTATAAGCCTATTTATAGTTAACTGAGAGAGATGGCCGGCTTGCACACACCACACACACTACACACCACAAACACACAACATGTCACGAGTCGGGGCAACAGGATAGCAGGATAGCAGGCGAACGGGCAAACAGGAAGGAAAAGGAACACCAGCAGCAGCAGCAACAACTACAGATTAGGAGCATCAGCAATAGCTTACCAATTGCCAGCAGCATACGATCGACCTTTAACACTCTACCAATTCACCAGCAAGCCCTGCCAGCCCTTCTGCCGTCGATCGTAAAATATTTTTAAATCCACTCATTTATAAGTCGGTTATAAATTTTTTTTTTGTTTGTTTCCTTTTGCGTTGGCTTTTGGCAGATAACAGATAACACATACAGATACTGAAATTGTCTTAATGATAGAGAAACGAGAAACATAACCGAAAACCAAGTAAAATAAAAAATCGAAACACGTATTTTTTTAAAACTTGCAACAAAACAACTATGTTCTTTTCCACTCGTACAACAACTACATGTTAGAAAGAAAGGAGACGGCAAGCTCTGTGCACGGGAGTGAGCGAGAGCGCAACAGCAGCAGGCAAATGAACTGAGTCCCAAAGGATAGAAAAGAAAAGAGAAAAAAAATACAGAACAGAAAAACACTAAAAACAATGAAAAATATATAGAAAGGCCGCCGAATCCACATCCACATGTTATTAATCTAAGAAACTAAAGAATTAAAAAAATAAACGTCGAAAAAACTAATTAAAAACTCGCCTTCCTAAGCAGTTGAAGATGGAAAGGAATAAGGATATATGCTAATGTCAGGGTTCTTTATTAAATATATATGTTTGATGTCTAGATTCTTCGCCATTCTAGGCAGTTATGGAGCTTTAGGCTTAAGACTGTTTACTATGATTTATTACAAACTGGAGATTTTTAAATTAGCTTTGTACCAACTTATTTTTTTTCAATTTTATTTTCTTTTAAATTTTACCGAAATTCTTGTTTGAAATCCAATCCAACTAAAACTTAAGTCCAAAATTTGGCTTCAAAAATTTGTCTTATGTTTATAATGTTGACAAACCTAAGAATATTTTTATTAACAAAACACAACCAAAGGAACTAGTTAATTTGGATTGTATGTATTACACGGAATTTATTTATGTACCATCCAAGCAAGACAAATTTTCCAATTTAAGGACACTTGAGGCAGCAAGCAGGAAAAACGCCCGTAAAGCGATCCTTGTTCACACACGTGATCTTCTGCTGGGCGCAACTGTAATGATATTGATAAGGAGTTAGTCCAAGCCAATTTCGGTTTTTGACAGATCATTTCGATAAGCGTAGATAAAATTGCAAATGTGTATTATGTATTTCGTTTGACTGAACTTAGAATAAGGACAGCTCTTTTAGTTTGAATTTAAATTTCCTTATTTGTTTATATCCTATAGCCTCCTATCTGCTAGCCTCTTTTTTATTTAGACTAAGCTTAATTCTCTTTCAAAATACTTTTAGCAAGCACCTATTTTATCTGCGCATTTCATCGAAATACCTATAGATTTCTAGATTGAATATACACATGTATGTACTTACTCCTCCACGATGGTCTTGAAGGTGTCCGTGCAGATGGCCCGCTTGAGGCACTTGCCGTCCTTGCCGAAGTCCACGTAGTCCTGTCCGCGCCGCAGGAGCGGCAGGTACTTGAGGAAGATGGTCTCATCCTCCGAGTTGCGGTAGGAGCACACGGGCTCGCTCACTGAAAGAGATGTAGATAGATCAGATAGATCAGTTTCAGCAGATGGGAGGCCCAATCCCGGCCAGATCACCCGCATCGGCGGTGGGCAGCGCCTCCGGGAGCAGGAGCGCCAGCAGCACAGCGGCCACCAGCCACATGGATCTGGATCTGTTGTGCATCTTTGGGACGTGGAAGCGAGACTGAATCGAGCGCCGGAAAACCCGTTTCCTATTTATAGTTCCCTAAAAAGCGACTTGGATATGTGTTTGTTTGCAAATTAGCAGCCGTGATTTGCATTTTCAGCTTGATTGAGAGGAGGGATTATGCTAGCACTTATAATTGCTTAATTGCGCGGCAGGGTCAGATGCGTAGTTTCGAAAAAGTTGAATATTTTGCAGCCCGCATGTCGTTTTAACCATGCAATACTGGTAAAGTTGATATTAAGTAACATCATTTTGACGAATTCTCGCTCTCGGAGATTCTCTGACTTCGAAATAGAGAGGAAGAAGCAATATGGCGACTACTAGGGGTAAGGTTATAACCTTCAATAAGCAATTTGAAGACTTATCAAAACTCTATAAAATAAGCTTCAAATTGTTTATACCTTAAAGATGCCTTAAAAATAAAGAAATAAAAATGGGAAAATAGGTAGTGAAAACTGAATAGACCTTCTTATTAAAATTCGGAAATAGGTTTTATTAAAAACAATTTTGATCTGTTTTTTTTAACTCCAAATAAAAAGCCTTTCGACTTAATTTCAACAATTAAAAAGTTGTTTTTTAGTTAATATTAACAAATATAAATTTATTATTAAGTTTTGTAGTTGTCCTGTTTATATCGACACACTTTCCGCCAGAATATTAAAAACATAAAAGAGCCTTATAAATAGTTGCACTGGATTCCTGAAACGGAAATTGATAACAATTTTTGACCAGCCATGAGGTTATTAAAATATCCATCTTATAAGAAAAATTAATCCAGTAATTTTGAAATCGTTATTCCAAACGAAGTAATACTAAGTGCTGAATTTACATAGCATCCGGATCCAGCCTAGATGTAGTTGCTCTCCGCCTCCTGGCAAACCAACTTGGGACAGCAGTCGGGGAAGGTGCGTCTCATGTCCGACGCGATCTTGCATTGTTCCGTCGGCACCAGGTTGTGGCGACCGCAACTGTAATAATTTGGATAAGTATTATAGGTATTAATAGATTAATATAGGTATTAATCCATCTTACTAGCCAATTTCTAGGACATAATCCGGCCGACAGTAGATCGATTGGCAATAGCCCTCGCGATTGATTGGCTTGTATGACTGCTTCTTGGGAATGGCCTGGTTGAGTTCCTCATAGTAACACTGGCCGGGAAAATCTGGGGAAATGGGTAAAAATACATAATGTTATTATCAATGTTGTAATATCAAATAATAATATTGTGGAAATGTGTAATAGGGTTTTATAAAATTTAAAAAAAGTTAATTGGTCCGGGTTCAAACCCCACTGCTGCATAGAGAATTTTTTTAATTTCTCATACGATTTTTCCCCCGATCTCCAACGATTAAATATTCACCTGGGTGAACCGCATTTCCGCGATAGGTGAGATCCGCTCGTGCTGCACCACAAATGCTCAGGAGCACCAGAAGACAACCAACTTCGATGCGCATAATCGCCAAGTAAAATAATGGAAATTAAGTTAGAGATTCCGAAGACCAATGCAAATCCAAATCCGACTTGGCTGTTGTGCGCTACCCGTGCGACTGAGTCAATTACAATTAATTGTTGTTGCTTTTATATAAAATTAATAATAAACATTGTGCCGTACATTGTATGTATGCATACATACTGAGATATAGCACATACCCAGATATCATCTGTATCTGTGCCTTTTGTTTGACGACGACTTAAGGCGTCCGCTCTAGCTCTAGTTTAAATTTAAATTAATTAAGCCAGCCCTGAAAGCGAGAGTGATACATATCTGGCGGGGATCGGATGGGGCTGGGCGGGAATGGGAGTGGTGGTGGGGGGTTCCTGACAGTTAAGTGACACGGTTCGAGAAACTGTGGCAAGGTTGCTGCGTCGCGAAAAGTAATCAAAACACGCAAATAACTCTTTTGTAAAGCCGAATTTCGGCCACATACACTGAAAAAAATATTTTTTTTTTGTGGGAAATTGGGATCTGGGTTTTTGGTAAAAATTTGAATTTTTTCTGTTTGTTTTTTTTGCTGTAACTTGGCCAAAAATTGTCTTACACCAAAAATACATACTGTTTTGAACAGATAACTAAATATTAAATAAATCCATGGCACTTTCCGGGTGATCTTGAAAAAATACAATTTTCGCCAATTAAAAATTTTTTTTTTGTGGGGGTACATCATAATTTTTTACAAAAAATTTAAATGCCAATCGTTTGGAAATTTAATAACGAGTTCAGAAAGGTATGACAATCTATATTTGGATTAATATTTCCATTGTTACGGTCAAAAAACAATTAATTTTTTTGTGGAAAATTGTTTGAATAATTTTAAGGATTTTTTTTCATATTGCTGAACTTTGATAAAGCTTACAAAAATAGGGCCTAGTTATATACTATTTCTTTCTGTGTACGCTGAACACTCGACAAGATTCCCGGGAACATACATATTACGTATCTACATTTATGCAAATTTAATGGAACTCACGAGTGCAAGTGCATTGTGGTTGGGATTAGACGGTATTTGCATTAATTAATTCGAATCGCGGGGAGAGGGTTGGGACCGTGAATTCATTTGGATTGTATTGGACAGAGTCAAGTCTACGATTTCCACTACAATTTACAAATTAGGGTTCTGGCTTCTTAGTATGAAGTATAATTTAATGGGTGAGGTAGGCTACACCTTTCAGTTAAATTATACTTATTAAAAGTTGTAGAAAAATAAATATTAAATAAAAAAAATAGAAAATAATACGTTTCAATGTTTTATCCCCACTTTAAAGTTTTTCCAGCTCGAGTTACAAATATTTTCGTGCTGTTTCTACTAAAAACAATTAATCAGCAATAGATTTACTTCTACTATTTGTAAGTTATAATTGTTATAATATTTATTTGAACAATATTTTACAAGTGGAAGGCTCGATAGTAAATGCTATGAAGTATATTGAAGTATATTTTCCTGGTCTAGGCCAACATCCTCGAGTGCCCGGATTCGGATTCCCCGGTTCGATAACGTCGAGCGCCTCTTCCTCCATTTCCAGCTCGAGAGCAAGGCAAACCCAATCAGAGTCAAATCAATCGACCGGGGGCACTGGAGCGGTGATAGGGCGCTGATAAGAGGGGCCTCTCTTACGTTGTCCTATATAAGAAATGCCTCCGGCGACGTACTATTGCTATTCCCGAAATAGAGGGCAACCATCATGTCTGTATCGCTTTGGGTGCCTTTCGTGGCCTTCGTGGCCTGTCTAATGGTCTCCTCAGTGGTCGCCAATGGCTTTAGCACCCAGTACCAGGGGCACAGGCAGCACCCGACCATTCCGGATCACTGCCTCTATGAGGAACTGGACCTGGCCGTTCCGCTCCACGGATCCGTTCTGCCCGCCGGACACGACGGCTACTGCATCCGGTTGGAGTGCACCGACGACTACCTGCTGATGATCCGACAGTAAGTTCTGAGACTCGGAAGAATCCTTTCTGGAGTAACCCAATTCTTTTCAGCTGCGACAAACAGCCTTTTCCTCGACCTGGCTGTCATCTTTCGGCCCACGACTATGACCTTCAGTACCCCGACTGCTGCCCCCAACTCGAGTGTTCCGACGGATTCTAGATAAAAGGTTACAGTGGTTTCCAAAAAAATAGCTCTGATATTCCTGGATTTTTGATATAATATATAAAGAAAGAGCATTTAAGGATCCGGAATCTGAAAAAAAATTAAAAAAATAACTATTAAGCTGTCAATATTATTAAATAAATCAATCTATAAGTACATATATTGTATAGCAATTACTATTGACATGGTTAAAGTCCAGATTTATTAATGATATCCCTTCTACTTATGTAAGTTTGGGGTAATTAAATAATAAATTACCAGCCCCTAACTAAGCACAAAAATCAATTTGTTTTTACAGTGGTCTCCAAAAAAATAGCTCTGATTTCCCTGGATTTTTGATATAATACATAAAGAAAGAGCAATTCTGGATCCTTAGAATCTGAAAAAAAAATTAAAAGATAACTATTAAGCTGACAATATTAATAAATAAATAAATCAATCTATAAGTACATATATTGTATAGCCATTACTGTTGACTTGGTTAAAGTCCAGATTTATTAATGATATCCCTTCTACTTATGTAAGTTCGAGGTAATTAAATAATAAATTACCAGCCCCTAACAGCTTAGCACAAAAATCAATTTGTTTTTAAGACCCAACATTTTATGAGCGTTATTTTTATGATGCTATTACTGGGACTGCTGCTGTTTTGCTAGTTTTGAGTCGGGATCTGTTCCAAACAAGAATTTTCCGCCCATTTGATAAACCCGAAGACCCCGGCGACGCAATCGCCGAAGCACGGGAATCTTGACCTTTCAATCTAATCGCAGGCGCACCCCAAACAAATAACTATATAGTCGGGCAGCTGAGCGATCTCGGGATCAGTTGGCTGAAAAATATGAAGTCGGTTACGTTCGTACTCTGCCTGGTCGTTCTGGGCGCCCACTCGCTGCTCGTTTTTGGGGGTAAGTAGGCCATTAGCTCCTCCAACCGCACATCCTTTTCAAGGTAATAACTTCTCCCTCAGCCGACTGCGAGATCAGCGGTCATAAACTGAAGACTGGGGAGAAATATAGTCCGGTAGGTCGCTGTCTGCAGTACACCTGCCAGGGACCCAAGTCGCTTTCGGCACTGACGTAAGTTGCATCGCCATATAAGGTATAATCTCCTTGGCTCACTCAATTTTCCCATCCAGATGCCCTTCTGTGGCCACGCTGAAGCCCTGCAAAATGGAGGAGGACCTGACCAAGCCTTATCCCGGCTGCTGTCCAAAGTTTAACTGCTAGTAACATAACAAATCGACCTGCAAGTGAATAAAAAAAAATTTAAAAACTACAAATTAAATTCCGAACATCTTAAAATAAAACATAGAAGCAAAACTTAAAATCTTAACATTTTTAAATTTATAATTAGTAAACCGAAAATAATAGTGCACCTCGCTTACAAAAACCAAAATTGCGCATTTATTTCGATTTCGGTTTGGTATACAGGCTTGAACTTAGTCGTATTTGCTCATACATATAGTAAATATACAAGTTGTGTTCTATGTGTATACATATATAAATATTCTCGTGTCAATTGCCACTAATTCACCATTCACTTGGACATGCACATTGTTTGCTTGCATAACAAGTATATATGTATACATATATATATCTCTGCTTAACTACATATATGAATTTGTATAGTTCTCTAAAATAACGAGGAGACCCCGGCAGTGATTGAATTATATCCTGCCCCTCGAGGAATCTCCTCCGCCTCGGATTAATCGCATTCATTACGGATCAGCAGGTGCATTTTAGTCTTACGCTTACGGATACAGATTAATGGGTATGTTTGTGGTAAAGATACAATCTTCCAATTCGGATTCGATCAATAACTCGTGCTGCGGCTATAGCATTTTGTAGATTTAACCGATTGTAACCTGAGCTAGTCTAAACATTCTTTAACTATGGTCCGTTGGCCCGAAAGCCATTAAGTTGATCTGGGAGCTTACGAGCTAATACAAATTGCTACTTTTTAATGCTTAATATGGGATGGGATGGCATTCTTTGGAGCGTTGTGAGCATGTTTCCCTTGGAATTCTAACTCTAAAACTCTAAACAATGGACAAAACAAACAAAATAATTTATCATAATAATCAAATTTAATGAAATCAAAATTGAACTGTAAAAAAACAAGCCAATTTGAAATCAATAGTGCATAATTTTTGTTACTGATCTAATATAAATTACCAATAAATTTTAGAAAAGGAAAGTTATTAGGGAATCTGAGAAATAAGTTTTATCCTAGGATTTCCTATGATGGACAAAACAAACAAAATAAGTCATCATAATAATCAAATTTAATGAAATCAAAATTAAGCTGTAAAAAAACAAGCCAACTTGAAATCAATAGTGTATAATTTTTGCGACCTAATATAAATTACTAATAAATTTTAGAAAAGGAAAGTTAATAGGGAATTTTATCCTAAGATTTCCAAGCGGAACGGGCTCACAATTGTGCAAGGATTGCCTGGTCAGTGGGGGGAATTAACCTAGTCGTTAGATGAGGCTGATCTGCAGGTCCGTTTTCAATCCGGCGTCGCCAGCTGCGGCGCCAGGGACTCCTCCTCTCATTGGCGCGCCGCCCGCTCCGTCTCCATGAGGCACTCGCGCACCAGGATGCGGGCATGGACGATGCCGCGCTTGAGCCGCTCCGTGGAGCTGCGCGAACCGGTGTAGGTGGGCCGGATGTCGCGACCCATCTCCTCGATGACGGCCAGCAGCTGGGCGTACTTGGTCAGCCCGTTACCGGGTCCCACCGACGGCAGGCTGGCCGTGGAGGTCAGCGGCGTGGTGATGTTGGCCGACGTCTGCGTGGTCACCACCACGGGCGAGGTGGAGGGCGGCGGGTATTTCAGCTGCGAGGAGCTCAGGTTGAGGCCCATGCTCTGCCCGTTGCTGGCGGAGGAGGAGGAGCTGGAGTTCCTCTGGTTGCCATTGCTGGAGCACATGTTGGCCAGGGAGAGAGCCGCAGCGGCGGCGGCGGCCGGCGTGGCCGTGGTGTTCGACTGCTGCTGCAGGAGGGCCAGCTGCGCCTGGAGGAACTGCGGGGAGTACTGGAGGGCAGCGACGGCGGCGGCAGCGGCAGCTGCATTGGCCGCTGCAGCAGAGCTCTGTTTGCCGGACGAGCTGCTGTAGTCGCTGGCGCCGGAGGAGCGCTCCCTGTCCCGCTTTCCCCCGCCGCCGCCCGTCGAGTAGTCGGTGGCCGAGGAGGAGGATCCTCCGCCCCCTCCTCCCGATCCCCGCGAGTGGTGGATGGCCGATATCTGGATTTGGGGCTGCTGCTCGCGCTGCTCCCGCTGCTGCTGGTAATTGTAGAAATTCTGCACCTGGCTGCGTGGTATCGGTGTCACCGTGACGTCACTCAGCTTCGACTCTACGGCCTGGATGTCCATGATGTCCATGGCGGCGCTGGCTGTTCGGGTATCGATTCGGCGTTGTGGCGACTACGTCCAGCTGAGGATTCCCTGTCTTTTCCTGCGGTCAAACAAATAATCCGCAGCGTTTTTTATTGTTTTTCTTTTTGTGATTGATATCGATAGCGCACTTCGATATCAGGAGGCGTTATTACGCTTTCTACGCACAAACAAATACACCCACCACCAACTGGAGGTGGTGCAGCGTTCGATAAGCTATCGATGGGCACGCGATGTGATGTGCACACCTTTTCACATTTCGAATGCGCGTGTTTCCACTGTAAAAAAAATCAGTATAGCTGAAATATAATGGTTAATATTATATATATTTTTTTAATATTTATGTGATATTGGAGAAGTATTTTAATATTTTAGATGTGATGGCTTTGAATTTTAAACGTTTTACCTGAAAACATTATACCGGAAATACGCAATTTGTAAAATAATACATTACCTGGCTTGGTTTGGACAAGGCCTTTAAAAAAGAACAGCTTAAATGCCGGTAATCCCTATGATTGACTAGTTCCCATTAAGCATAATTTAATGCACATTGCACTTTTCAAAAACAGCTGACGTTTAAAAGCCAGTGCTGTGTAATGCACGGCGGTAAATAAAGTCCCTAGCAACGGTTAATATTGCACTTGTATAATGACCTAAACCCCGTATATCCCTCGAAAAACCGATTTGCCAAACCCAAACACCTCTTGAAATAATTTATTCCCGTTTTTCTACCCACTGGCTGCAGCCCATTTCAAACGCAACGGCTGGCTGCCCAGCACTGGTCCAGTGTTGCACAACGCGGCGCATCGTCATGACAGTGTGGCAAAAAACAATGGCGAGGCGAAACTAAAAAATTGTGTTGCTGACATCTGGTCGCTTGCAAAACTATTTCGAGCAGATTTTGTGATATTTCGTTGTGATCGGTCGATAAATCCCTAGGTTTTTTAATGGAAAGTGCGAAGGCGTCGTAGTGGTTAGGAAGACAGCAAGAAAGGTGAGCGAAGGGCAGGAGATTGCGAAAAATTCAATTATATTTCCGCGACCGTCTGTTTTTTGCATCGCTGTGTGCGTGAGTGTGAGTGCGAGTGCGAGTGTGAGTGGGAGCCCCGTGTATGACGTAAAGCGATAAAGCAAATGCACTACTGTTTGCTAATGTGCGTGTGTTTCTTTTTTTTTTTTTTTTGCATCTAATTAGGAGCTGCCAAACGCCGTAGTTTGTTTTTTTTTTCTCGGCCAAAAGGCCGCTGCAGCTGCATATGTGTCGCTATGTGTGCCGCTCGGCACAGTGTTGCACAGTGCCGCCCAGTGGCCACAAAATGGGCGCACAACAACGGGAATAAGATTGGGATTCGGATTCCTTGTTTGGAATTCCATTCCCACTCCCCAATCTCCTGGCAATCCCATTGCGGCTCCTCTTTTTTGTTATCCGTTGCCAGACGCAACGCGAAAACGACAGTTGGCATTTGAATTCGGCTTCCACACACACACACACACACACACACACTGGCGCAGAGCACACACGCACACACACACTCGAAAAAAAAACAGACGCGACCTCGGCAAGCCTGGGATTTTGCCGTCAAATGCTTTGAAATTCGATTGGGGGCTCCGTCGCCAGCCGACTCCATATCACTCCGGTAGTTAGTTTCGAGTAGAACGATATTGTGTTTTCGACCTCTCACAAATTCAGCACTATATATTTTTTTGATTTTCCTTTTTTTTGTTCTATTCGTTTGTTCAGACAGCAGACACACAATTTGCAGACCAAAAGTAAGCAGTTCTACAACTAACGGAACTCCACGGAACACGGAGCAGTGGAGAAAGGATATTCGGTGGAAGAGGAACAGCAGAAACAACACAGACACCGACACAAACACACCCACACACACACACACACACACGAGAGCGATGGACATGATCACAGTGGGGCAAAGTGTGAAGATCAAGCGGACGGATGGACGCGTCCACATGGCCGTGGTGGCGGTGATCAACCAGTCGGGCAAGTGCATCACAGTCGAGTGGTACGAGCGGGGCGAGACGAAGGGCAAGGAGGTGGAGCTGGACGCCATACTCACCCTGAATCCGGAACTGATGCAGGACACCGTGGAGCAGCATGCCGCCCCGGAGCCCAAGAAGCAGGCCACCGCCCCCATGAACCTGTCGCGCAATCCCACACAGTCGGCCATCGGCGGCAATCTCACCAGCCGCATGACCATGGCCGGCAACATGCTCAACAAGATCCAGGAGACCCAGTCGATCCCCCATCCGCTGGGCAACAGCAATAGCGCCAATACGAACAGCAACTCCAACGCGACAGCAGGAGGAGGAGGCACCACTAGCACCACCGCCACCACGACTGGATTGCAGCGGCCGCGCTACTCGCAGAATGTCGCCGGCCAGCAGCAGACGAGGATCGCCTCGGCGGTGCCCAATAACACATTGCCCAATCCGGGAGTGGGATCAGCAGCGGGAGCCACAGCTGCAGCGGCACAGGCAGCCGCCGCTGCCGCCGCTGCTCCGGCCAGCAACACAACCCAGGGAGCCGGCGGAGCTCGGCGATCGCATGCTTTGAAGGAGGTGGAGCGGCTGAAGGAGAACCGCGAGAAGCGGCGGGCGCGCCAGGCCGAGATGAAGGAGGAGAAGGTGGCTCTGATGAACCAGGATCCCGGCAATCCCAACTGGGAGACGGCGCAGATGATACGCGAGTACCAGAGCACGCTGGAGTTTGTCCCGCTGCTCGACGGGCAGGCCGTCGATGACCATCAGATCACCGTGTGCGTGCGGAAGCGACCCATTAGCCGCAAGGAGGTCAACCGCAAGGAGATCGACGTCATCTCGGTGCCGCGCAAGGACATGCTCATCGTGCACGAGCCGCGCAGCAAGGTCGACCTCACCAAGTTCCTGGAGAACCACAAGTTTCGCTTTGACTACGCCTTCAACGACACTTGCGACAATGCCATGGTATACAAGTGAGTACTGAGCTTATCCATAGACTATCTAGAATATCTAGCGGCTGGAAGCCAAGCAATTCCGTATATGGTTTGCCTGGCATCAAGCGTAAAAGGATTTCGTTCGAATATTAGCGCTTTTAAACAAACATCGGGTCTCACTCTCAATATGGTGGCTTCACATTGTAAATGTTATTAATGTTATTACTACTTCTTCAATTGATAGGATGGATTTTAGAAAGATCTTCCTGCCTTAACTATCATTCAAATTTAAAGCCCATAAATTATCAGATTAATTCTCACACAGAAAAAAAATTGACAAAAGATCAGATTGATATGTGCAGGTTAATTGCATATTTTTTAAAGATCATTTTGATATGAATTAAGATTATATTTACCTTATTTTAAAATATTTGTTAAAAAAATAATGCATTTGGTATTTTAAAACAGTATTTTTATAACTTTTATGAAATGATAAAATATCAAGATGATATGTCTGAATCATAAATTTGACAGTAATCATATCGGCTTTTAAATTGATATGAAATAAGGTAGAAATGACCCATTTTATTCATTCAAGTTTTAAAGTTTTGAAATAAACAGTTCATGCTTAACAATTATTGAACAAGTTGTATTAAAACCTTTTTCCTGCTGATGTTCTTATAATTTCCTTATTGAAACATTAAAGTTTCAAGATATAGATTAGGTTTGCTCCGATCCAAACTAAGTAAATGTTTACTCAAACTTAGTAAACTTGTTTTGCTGATCTGGTGACTGGACGCCGCTCGGGCGGGCATCTCTGGCCGAGCGACTCATTGACTCATGCCGACAGAGACGGCAACAGAAACATGCACCCGAAATAGCCAAGTTTGTTTTGTATGACTAACTCGAAAGACAGACCCAGGCCGCAGACCCCGAACGCAGACGATCTGCCGATCTGCGCTCGAACTCTCTAATTGAATTCTGCAAATTTCGAATCTTGAAAAGTAACTGCCGTTTGGCCATTAGTAATTGTTTGCCTTCAATTGAATTAAAGCGGCTCTTGACTTTGTTTATTCGCTGCCGCCGCCGCCTGACTTTCGTTTGCCTTAGCCCCTTTCTTCCCCTTTCTCCCCAGTCAACCAGCCAACTTCTTGGCTTCTTTTTCCGGTTTTTGCGCTCGAGTATATTATATGGCTTACTGCCTCTCTGGAATTGGTAACGCCATACGGAAATGTTGCGTCACGACAAAATGTAGAGTATACCCCATGAGTAATGGCGGGGATTTGTACCAAAGAGTGTTTTGCCAATGATAACGAATGAATCAACAGCTGATTGAGAAAGCATCAGACGTTATCGTCAAAAAAACCAATACCGAAACAGAAAATAATGATATTTTAAGTGGGTTTTTAATTTTAATATTTTTAAAAATGGAAAATACTTAAGGGGTTTTGGGGTAAAAACAAGCTCTTCATGAAATTTTTTTATTATTATATTGAAAGATATTGTGAGCTTAAAAGTTAGAAAATAAATATATTTTAGATACACCCGTCCGGTGGACATGATAACTGGTCACAGGATCATCTTAAAATTACAAAGTACACTTTTTCTGTTAGTGCATCTCAAAATGTTGTGCTTGAACAATACAAAAAAATACAATTTGGATTTTTGGGAAAAATTTTACGAAAAAAAAATAGAATTTTCAACTCTCAAGTTTTTTAATTTTTTAAATTAGAAAAAAATAAAAAATAATTTATTAGAAAAAATGTTAAACCCTATGTAACCCCTTAAAGATAAGTTAACATTTTAAATTAATTGAAATCGAGGCAATGAACGTAAGCCTAGTAAAAAATTTATTACTCTCACTCTTGTTTTTTTTTTTAATAAATTTATTGAAATAGAAGCATTAAATGTATGCCTAGTAAAATAAGTTATTTTAAATAATTGGTTTCCCCTTGAACTTTTGATTAGAGAACGTTTCATTAATCAAACCCATTCAAATCCTCCGCAGATACACAGCCAAGCCGTTGGTAAAGACCATTTTCGAGGGCGGAATGGCGACGTGCTTCGCCTACGGCCAGACGGGATCCGGCAAGACGCACACCATGGGCGGCGAGTTCAACGGAAAGGTGCAGGACTGCAAGAACGGCATCTACGCCATGGCGGCCAAGGATGTTTTCGTGACCCTGAATATGCCGCGCTACCGCTCCATGAATCTAGTCGTTTCGGCCAGTTTCTTTGAGATCTACAGCGGCAAGGTGAGTGGATGATACTTGCTGCTTCTGCTTCGGTTAACAACTAATTAATTGATCTGTTCAGGTCTTCGATCTTCTGGCCGACAAGCAAAAGCTGCGCGTCCTGGAGGACGGCAAGCAGCAAGTGCAGGTGGTGGGCCTCACCGAGAAGGTGGTGGACAGCGTGGAGGAGGTGCTGAAGCTGATCCAGCACGGCAACGCTGCCCGCACCTCTGGCCAGACGTCGGCCAACTCGAACTCATCGCGTTCGCATGCCGTCTTCCAGATTGTCCTGCGACCGATGGGCACCACCAAAATTCACGGCAAATTCTCGTTCATCGATCTGGCGGGCAATGAGCGCGGCGTGGACACCTCATCGGCGGATCGCCAGACACGCATGGAGGGCGCCGAGATCAACAAATCGCTGCTGGCCCTCAAGGAGTGCATCCGTGCGCTGGGAAAACAGTCGGCCCACTTGCCGTTCCGTGTCTCCAAACTCACCCAGGTGCTGCGCGACTCGTTCATTGGCGAGAAGAGCAAGACCTGCATGATCGCCATGATCTCGCCGGGGCTGAGCTCCTGCGAGCACACGCTCAACACGCTACGCTACGCGGATCGTGTCAAGGAGCTGGTGGTCAAGGATATCGCCGAAGTTGGCCCCGGAGGCGGCGGCGGCGGCGAGATAATCGAGGTGATGGACGACGAGGAGGAGGAGGAGCTCAACATGGGCGGCCATCCGCACTCGCATCAGCTCCACCAGAATCCCCAGTCGCATAGCCAGCGCGTCGGCGGTCCTGGCATCCATAACAACAATAATAACAACAACAAGAACGGAAACGCCGGCAACATGGACCTGGCCATGCTGAGTTCGCTGAGCGTGAGTATTCTTTTTTCTATATTCCCCCCGATCTTTCCAACGTCCCTTCATCTAGAAATACCAAAGACCAAGACCAAGACCGTGCTAAGGTGATTGGAGTTATGAATTATGAATTAAGAAAAGAAGCAACTGGCAAAAATGGGAATAACGTGAAAGGAATTATCTTTGGCTGGGAACAATGTAGAACATTTGGCTTTAATGGCAATTCAACTCTTTTAAATTCTTTTTAAATTTGTCCAATGAAAAATTTGTAATGTCGTTTTAACGTTGTAATAATAATATATATATATTCCCAATATATGGTTAATTACGTTTAAAAAATTATCGATATCTTCGATAATATTTTTTCGATAAAATCAATTTTTTGAAGGCCTAGTGAATAATGTACACAAACGAATTGTAATAATAATATATAAATTCCCAATATAAGTTTAATTAGGTTTAAAAATTATCGATATTTTCGATAATACCGTTTCGATAAAATCGATTTTTTAAATGCCTAGTTAATAATGTACACGAATGAAGGTGACAATTTAAGAAGACCACTATTCAATTCAAGTACACCAAATCCTTGACTAGATGGCTTTGCCTTTGAATTCACATCAGTTCTAGCTCAGTTCGTAGCTTTTTCAGTTCAGGTTTTAGATTACATAAATACAAGTCAATCGAAACGTAACACAATGCCCAAATTTTCGCCCAAGCGTTTTATCAACGAAGCAAAGTCGTGTGTCCGCAACAGCCGCACGCCAAATATTGCGAAATACACGAACTCACGGACTCTGCAATCCGTGTACAGCCAGTTGCCCGGTGCGATGGCCAGCCAGAGAGGAGCTAGTGACGCTGCTCCGGCCAAAGTCTTAGACCAAGTGGTGCAAGGCACTGCTCGCGTGTGGAACTGCAACAAGCCGAAGCTGGCGAAACCAGCCAATAAGACGTACAATGTCTATGCCAAACAGCAGATCAGCAGTTCAGCGGGTAAAGACAGATCCAAGGCTAGCAGCAAGTCCTGGGTGCATCCCCCATATCCCGTTCGTCGTCCCAAAGAGGAGAGGAATAGACGAGAAAGGCAGCGCAACTACGAGTCCTTCTATGTGCCCTTCGATCAAGATGATCGCTCCGAGGTCGACGAACCCATGGCCCAGTCTTTCTTTGTTCCGCTGGACGACAATCGACAGAGAACCAAATTGGACATCTCAACGGAATCGCTAGCCATTGGAGCTAAGCGGCGATCGCCTTGGACCGAAGAGGATAAAAAGTTCCAGCGACTGCGGCCGGCAGGAGAGCGGTTTGTCCTAAAGACCGCCGAGATGGTTAGCCTGATAGCGGAGGCCAAGTTGCGCCAAAAGGAGGCGATGCCTTTGCTACCGCCGCCGCCGCAGTTCGCCGAAGATCCCAAGGAATCGAGGAAGCGACTGCTGCTCCAACGCTCCCGCACGGAGACGCTCTTCTCGACCTTGGACTGCGACCAATCGCTGTATAAGTACGCCTGCCATCTGCCCTTTGTCCGGGATCCGGCGAATCCCGATGGCAAGCGACCAAGGCTGCGTCGATTTTCGTCTAAGAAGATCTAAATTGAGTTGCATTTCCACTTCCTTGTAATTTATTACTTGCTGAACTGACCCAAAAAAAATATTTCATTGAATTTTCTCTGAAATCTAAGTTCGGTTGGTAAAGAATTGGGTTCGAGGTTAATTTTATATTTTAAACAAAGCGTTTAAATTTTATTTTATAAGAACAATGTGCGGATAAATATTGAAACTCAACCTACAGGCTAACTAGTGTATAATTAAGCTTGTACCTTGCCCAATCACACACCTAAAACACTGTTAATTACCATCTGCAGGAACACGAGATGTCCGACGAGCTGATTGTACAGCACCAGGCCATCGACGACCTGCAGCAAACGGAGGAGATGGTGGTGGAGTATCACCGCACCGTGAACGCCACAATCGAGACGTTCCTCTCGGAGTCGAAGGCACTGTACAACATAACCAACTACGTGGACTATGACCAGGACTCGTACTGCAAGCGGGGCGAGTCGATGTTCTCGCAGCTGGAGGAGATCGCCGTCCAGTGCCGCGAGATGATGGCTGAGTATCGGGCCAAGCTGGCCAAGGAGGAGATGCTTTCGTGCAGTTTCAACTCGCCGAATGGCAAGCGTTAGTTGGCGCCGCAGACATCCGATTTGAGATCACCTTGTTCCCCGTTTTTAAATAACTTACCATTACTATTCCCTCTGGCTTCCCTTCCATCTTTGTTTCTAGAATGCTAAATGCACTTTCACAAGAACTTTACATTTTTTATTGGGCCCCGAAACGCAACCCATCTTGAAATCCTGGCAAGGGGGCTATTATTATTTCTAAGCAGTTAATGAATGAATTAAATCAAACATTGAAGTTTCTTAGAACGGATGCAGAATATATAGCATACAAATAGAAGTGTCTTTTAGGAAAAAGACTTGAAAGCCCCCTAAATCTTAAACTAAATCTAAATCTCCCGCTCTTTCCAACTCGATGTCGCTGCAAGCTAGTTTGTTAGGTTTTTAACTACATTGATAATCGAGGAGCGACACAGTTGAAAGCCTGTTAAATATATACTTTACGAACTAAGCACGGGAAACAGACACAGAAACAGATTTACCATGACAGCAGCACACCAATAACAGAAGAAAACTCACTAAATAGCAGGCCAACTCCTTGTTGGGTTATCCTTTAATTATATGATTATAATTTCTGCGCAGTCGATACTTTTGTAAAAGAAAAAGACATTTACTATATTATAATTACTACTTACATACGTTCTACTCTATTTATAATATGAGATTCCATTTAATATAATTACCTTATGCGATTCGTTCCCTTCATTTTATCGTCCCAATGCTCGTCCAGAGTTTTGTTCATGCCACGGCACAAATCTATTATTTTGTACAACTACGAACTAATCGCGCATTGTATTTATTTAAAGGCCACAAAACTGTATTTAATTTGTATTAATTTATTAAAATACTACTGCACCAAATCCACTTTACATACATACGTATTTCCCCCCGTAACTGTAATGATTACCTTATGTAACCGAACTGCAATCTTTGCCTGAGAGATATTTAGCCAGCGAGTGTTTTTGGATAACTCAGTCCTCTTCCTTTCGTTCTCCATACTCTAATCTACATATAATTTACATTATATTTTTTTTGTCATTCTAAGCGACTTCGGTGAAGAATTTAAAATGCAAACTGTCTTTGCTATTATTATTTAAAGATGATTTGCATTTCATTTTGTACTAATATTTATTACATATATTTAATTACGTTTACACGACTAAAAACTAAACTATCGAAAGCAAATCAAACGAAACTTAACCAAATCATGGATTTCCACACACGGCTTATACTGCGTTGAAGAGAAACACACAAAAAATCGGTTCCAAATAGCGGAGAGCATAGTAACTTACCCTTAACCGAAACTAAAGAAATCAACAAACTAAACTAAATCGAAATGAAAATGAAAACGAAAACATACTCACGTGCTTCTCCTAAAGTATTTAATCCAATCAAAACGTTTATCAATTTTGTTATTGCATTTCCTCAGAGCACTATAAAAATACCCCCTCCCAAAGCAGGCGAATGATATCCATTTTTTAATCCACCAAATGCGAGTTTTTAAAACAATGTTAATATGGAAAAACCAACTGAATGAGTGCTTCGATATTATGCGGTATAAATAATGAAAGTGTTAGGACTTGGACTCTAATAATGTATTATTAAATATAAATAATAAATTATATTGTAATAAAAAGTGAACATACACAACTAAATTTAACATTAAAGATGTGTAAAGCAAAAACAAGGCGGCTTTATTTATGGGGGTGATCTGGTTATTATATCAAATTGATTAAGATTGCCATGAATTTGCATAGCAAACAATTATTTGTTTTCTTAGTTTTTAAACAATGTTTTATTTTATTTTGTATAAATAGGGTTTTCCATGACATGCAAAAGTTAGGTTAATCTTATCTATGATTAAATTTCTGTTTGCTACCAAGTATTACCAGTGCATTTTTAAGTTAATAATTTATTTTTGTAAATTAATTTTCATTAAATTTATTTATTTTTGCTGTGGTATATATTTTTCAAATATTTCTGATTTCTGTTTTTAACCCGATTCAATCCGAGATCGAACGGACTGGTCTGTAGTGCCATCTCTAGGCAGAAAAGAGTTGCCAGATAAGGGGTTTCCCCGTAAATGTAGGGTATGGTTTTGGGAAATATTGGAATTTTTATTTTTGTATTTTTACTGTAAATGGTTGTACACTAAAAATTCATACTGTTTTGAACAGATAACAAAATAATAAATAAATCCATGACACTTTCCGAGTGATCTTGGAAAAATGAAATTTTCGCCCATTTTCAATTTTTCTATAAGGGGTACATCATGATTTTTTACGAAAAATGGCAAAAAAAATAAAACGTCCAGGTTTAAATGCCAATCGATTGGAAATTAAATAACGAGTTAAGAAAGGTATGACAATCCGTATTTGGATCAATATGCCCATTGTTTCGAAAAAAAACAATGTATCTTTTTTACAATTTTTACCACTTTCCCAGTGCAAATTTCAACCCTTTTGGTTGGCTTTTTAAAAGCGATTTTGAATTTCGTGGTAAAAGTGGGGGATTTTTTATTTGGAATGGATTTTAGGGTTGTCTCCGGCGAAAGCTGTCTGCGGCCATCTGGCAACGCCGCGGGCCCAAGTGACGTGGAATGTGTCAACTCAACTTGATTTGATGCAAATGCAATGCTAGAGCGTGTAAACCTGGTCGCCTTTGTGAAACTGCGGGATCGGAAGCGTAGCTAAAATGTTGGACTTTGTGGTGATCTTCACCAAGGGCGGCGTGGTGCTGTGGCACTCGAATGCGTCCGGCAGCAGCTTCGCCTCCTGCATAAACAGCCTGATACGTGGCGTCATCCTGGAGGTGAGTCCCTCAAAAAGGTGTTTCCCGATGGACACTAACCATGTTTTTGGCTGCAGGAGCGCAACACAGAGGCCAAGTACTTCGAGGAGGACCACCTGGCGGTGCAGTTCAAGCTGGACAACGAACTGGACCTGGTCTACGCGGCCATTTTCCAGAAGGTGATCAAACTGAACTACCTCGATGGCTTCTTAACTGAGATGCAGTCGGCGTTCAAGGACAAGTACGGCGGCATTCCGGCCGCGGAGCGTCTGGGCGGCGACTACGACTTCGATAGGGAGTACCGGCGGGTGCTCAGCGCCGCCGAGGAGGCCTCCGCCAAGCAGGTGAAGGCCCCCAAAGCCATGCGCTCATACAATGAGTCGCAAAAGTCGAAGAAAACAGTGGCCTCGATGATTCAGGACGACAAGAAGCCGGCGGAGAAGCGGGTCAACATACAGGAGAGTCCGTCGCCGCCATCCAAGTCGTCGGAGGCAGCGGGCGGCGCCTCCATGGACGACATCATCCGGGAGAATCGTCGCAAGCTGCGCGAGAAGCTCACGCCCACCAAGAAGACCTCGCCGGGCGACCAGAAGCCCAGCAAGGCCGCCGCCACCGAGAAGGCGGGCAAGAAGCCGCGCGTCTGGGATCTGGGCGGCAGCTCCAAGGACGCCATCAACCTGGATCGATCCAAGGACACGCCCGAGGATGTGCAGTACCAGAACATCAACAGCGAGGTGGGATTTACTAGATTACCAATGATAACTTTCCCTTAATGATTCATTTCCCCATCTCCAGCTGGTGGGCACCATGCAGGGCGTCATCCGGGATTTGGATGTGGAGAGCGAGGACGAGGCTGACGAGCAGGATGAGGAGGAGTCCTCCGAGGAGGAGCAGCAGGAGCTGCAGTCGCGGAAAAGCAAACGTGGCGGCCTGCTCTCCTATTTCAAGGGCATTGTGGGCGCCAAGACCATGACGCTGGCCGATCTGCAGCCGGCGCTGGAGAAGATGCGTGACCATTTGATATCGAAAAACGTGGCCACGGAGATTGCCGCCAAGCTGTGCGACTCGGTGGCCACCAGTTTGGATGGCAAACAGATGGGCACCTTCGACAGCATCGCCAGCCAGGTGAAGGAGGCGCTCACCCAGTCGCTGGTGAGGATTCTCTCGCCCAAGCGGCGCATCGACATCATACGCGACGCCCTGGAGTCCAAGCGCAATGGCCGCCCGTACACGATCATCTTCTGCGGCGTCAATGGCGTCGGCAAGTCCACCAATCTGGCCAAGATCTGCTTTTGGCTGATCGAGAACGACTTCAACGTCCTGATCGCCGCCTGCGACACTTTTCGCGCCGGCGCCGTCGAGCAGCTGCGCACCCACACCCGCCATTTGAATGCCCTGCATCCGGCGGCCAAGCACGACGGGCGCACCATGGTGCAGCTGTACGAGAAGGGCTATGGCAAGGATGCCGCGGGCATTGCGATGGAGGCCATCAAGTTTGCCCACGACACACGGGTGGATGTGGTGCTCGTGGACACCGCCGGAAGGATGCAGGACAACGAGCCGCTGATGCGTTCGCTGTCCAAGCTCATCAAGGTCAACAATCCCGATCTGGTGCTCTTCGTGGGCGAGGCGCTGGTGGGCAACGAGGCCGTCGACCAGCTGGTCAAGTTCAACCAGTCGCTGGCCGACTACTCATCCAACGAGAACCCGCACATCATCGACGGCATCGTGCTGACCAAGTTCGACACCATCGACGACAAGGTGGGCGCCGCCATCTCCATGACCTACATCACCGGGCAGCCCATCGTTTTTGTGGGCACGGGACAGACGTACGCCGACCTCAAGGCCATCAACGTGAACGCCGTGGTCAACTCGCTGATGAAGTAGTTATATCCCTCCCCTTCTCTTTTTAATGCTCTTTGTTCACATCTCCATTTGACCGAATCAAATACAGTGCTTTTGTCTATTTTGTTGTTAATTAATTGTTAATTGCAGTGGTTTGAATATGAACAAGAAGGGAAGCTTGTATATAGCAGATCATTCCTATTAATTTACTAATTGTATACTAATTCTTATTAATTTTCCAATCGTTTTTATGGCAGCTATATGATATAGTAGTTCGACTTTGATAAAATTTAATGCGACATTGGGAAATATTTAAATATTGATGTCGAAGAGCTATATCCCAGAGTAGAAGAGAATACAATAAAAACCAACGAAGCAATCATTTATTTCTTATTATATTCCCATTAATTTTCCTATTCCGATTTTAATAAAATTTAATTCAAAATTTAGAATTAGATAAATAATGGTATTTCCAAAAGTAGGGGCTTATATTTTAAAAAACATCCGAAATATATTTTTTTTACATTTTTTCCATGATTATTCTTATGGGAGCTATATGATATAGTCGTTCGATCTTAATAACATTTATTTCGAAATTTAATTCGAAATTTAGAATTAGATTAATAATGGTATTTTAAAAAGTAGGAAGTTATATGTTTAAGAACACCCAAGATATAATTTTTTTACATTTTTTTCCATGAATATTCCTATGGGAGCGATATGATATAGTCGTCCGATATTGATGAAATTTAATTCGAAATTCAGAATTAGTTAAGAAATGGTATTTCCAAAAGTAGGAGCTTATATGTTCAAAAACACCCAAGATATATTTTTTTACACTTTTTTCCTGATTATTCCTATGGCAGCTATATGATATAGTTGTCTGATTCGGCTCATTCCGACATATATACTACCTGCAAAAGAAAAAAGACGATTGGGAAAGTTTTAGTCCGATAGCTTTAAAACTGAGAAAATAGTTTGCGTAGAAACAGACGGACAGAAATACGGACATACGGACAAACGGCTAGATCGACTCGTCTAGTGATGCTGATCAAGAATATATGTATATATTCTATAAGCTTTTGTGCTCCTGGAACTGGGGAAATGCACCAACTGGCTGTTAAACTCTTCAATAATTTCAAAATCACAAATCCCATAGCTAACATGGTATAGAAATGGCTATAGAAGTAACTAAACATTGAAAACGTAATGAAAACACATTAGAATAAACTCCCTAGCCATTTAAGATAGTCGCATAGTTCGAATACGAGTTGTTTTTATTTTTTATGTTTATAACTTTAGGCGTACAAAGGAGAGTTTAGTGTAGTAGAAGGGGACAAATGGGCAATGGGAAAGATGAAGTGCTTAGTCTATTTGTAGAACTCGTGCTCCTGCTCGTCCTTCTTGATGTTGTTTTTGTATCCCTTCTCGAAGTCCTTGGCCAGGACGATGTATCGATTCTCGCGCACCGCATGCATGCCAGCCTCCTGGCAAATGGCATTGATGTCCGCCCCCGAAATCTTATCTGGCCGCGCCACAAACTCCTCGAGATCGACGTCCTCGCTGAGGTTCATCTTCGAGGTGATGGTGGAGAAGACCAGTCGCTTCTGTCGGCGATCGGGCAGCGGGAACTCGATCTTTCGGTCCAGCCGACCGGGACGCAGCAGGGCAGGATCCAGCGTGTCCGCCCGATTGGTGGCCATGATCACCTTGACATTGGTGGTCTGATCGAAGCCGTCCATCTGGTTGAGCAGCTCGAGCAGAATGCGCTGCACCTCGCGATCGGCGCCCGTCTGGGCATCGAAGCGCTTGGTGGCAATCGCATCGATCTCGTCGATGAAGATGATGGCCGGCGCGTTCTCCTTGGCCAGCCGGAAGACGTCGCGCACCATGCGCGGTCCCTCGCCGAGATATTTCTGCACGAATTCCGATCCGACGACGCGGATGAAGGAGGCCGTCGTGTGATGGGCCACCGCCTTGGCCAGCATGGTCTTGCCGCATCCCGGGGGGCCGTACATGAGGACGCCGCGCGGCGGATCGATGCCGATCTGCTTGTACAGCTCAAAGTGGGTAAGCGGCAGCTCAACGGCCTCCCGAATCTCCTGCTTCTGCATGTCCATGCCGCCAATGTCCGCATAGCTCACATCGGGCTTCTCATCGGGCTGCAGCATGGAAATGGAGCTATCTGCCTCCGGTGGGAGAACGTCCACCAAGGCGTTGCTGTGCTTGTGCAGGGCCACCGAGGCGGAGGGCTTCAGCAGCTCCCTATCGATGGTGGACAGGATGCGCACATAGTAATTGGAGCCGGTGGTGGAGCCCACGATGCCTGTGTTCTGGTCGACGGCCTCCAGGAACTGGCCGATTACCAGGGGCACCGACTGGATGCGCTTTACCTCCTCCTGGGCATGGAGATACTCCTTTTTCAGGTTCCTCTGCTCATCCTTGATGTACTCCTCCTGCACTTCGATGAACTCCAGGGTCTTTTGCAGTTTCTGTGGGGGATTAGGGGGGATTAATAGGGGCTTAGCCTGGACATCCGTATTCCTCACCTTGTAGCGCACATACAGATCCTCCGTGTCCAGTTCGTCCAGGGAGCTGTGCGCATCCTTCGGCTTCAAGTCGGAGAGCTCATCCTGGTAAGATAGAGGGGTTATTACGCTGACCTGGCGGCGGAGCACCAACTACGCACCTTCTCCGGCATCAGTACGTCCATGTTGTACGGCATTGTTTGCGTCTAGCAGTGAGTTTCAGTTTATAAGTTGCCTTTTCTGCGGGACGACGATGAAATGACTCGTCAAAAACAAGCCAGCTCTGCGCGGGGTGGCAACGCTGTCACTATCGATGGGCGGGCTATCGGTGCAATCGGTGGCACTTGCGATATTGGTTATTGCAATATAACTGGATGTTGTCTGAAAAAAACCTTTCGCTGGTAGGTATTCAAATATAAAGAAAATAACAATGCTTTAATTGTACTACTTGGCAAATAGGAATATTAGTAATTACAAAATTTCCAATAAGAAAGTTGTTGAATTTTTACATTTTACTGAGGGGCGGAAATAATATGATTATTTATTGTTTTATTTCAATTGGCTAACTATGAAAAAGTACTGATTGTTTTCGTTTTATTTATAAATATAAAAAAATTATCGATAGTTTAATTGTTCTAATTGGCAAATAAGATTTTTACCAATAAGAAAGTTGTTGAATTTTTTACGTTTTACTGAGGGGCTAAAAAATTTAATAATAGTAATACAAATAATAATAAAATATAATAATACTCTTGTTCTATTTAAAATGGCTAATTATGAAAAGTAGTGCTTGTTATCGTATTATTTCCAAATAGAACGATACTAGTCTTAATGTAGATATTTGGGTACTTGGCAACATAATATTGCTACACAATGCAAAAACGTTGAAATGCAAAACGGAATTAAGAAGGAATTAATTAAAGAATACGGATTTTGCTTCGAAACTAGAAGTGGGCTATCGCCAACGGAGTATCGATAGTTCGAGCGCCCTCCAGAGTGTGTACACACTACAAAACCCATTTTGACGCGATTTCGATTTCTCATAAGAAAAAAAAAACACACATTTAACTCGAGCTGTGTGGTGTGCGTGCGAACGAACCAAATATATACACACATGAGCTGAGGACAGTGAAATCGAAATTGGTGTTTATATAGCACATCGATGGCTGATAATGCCGCCGAAAGCCCCAAACCGTTTGGCCATCGTTAGTGCGAGTGCGAAACCGAAAAGTAAAACGAGTACGATTACCAGAAAGTATCGTTGTCGTCGTCCTGCTGCCCCGCCCCCTCTGCCGCCGCCACCGCCGCCCCCTCTGCGCCGTACGCACGCATCGATTTGGGCTAAACGTTAGATACCTCCTAACGCAGTTTGTTAGGGTGGAAAGAAAGGCAAAGGCCAGGGAAAAAATAATACAGCAATGCGTGCCATCCGCGGACCCCGTCCTGGTCAGTAATCCACAGAGATCGAGAGAAGTCCACCAATCCAAATCCCCGGAAAAGTGCAATACCATACAGAAACAGAGAAAACGGAAAGCAGAAAACCGAAAACCGAAAACCAGGAGAGACAAAAAGTCAGTGGAAAAGTGGAGTGGCAATAATGCTATAGGCCAAAACAGTAACCGATAACAGAGAAGATAAATCTTCTGTTCGAGGAGTTGTCGAAAATGTTTATTGTATAATTTCCAATTGAGCAGGTGTGCGTGCGTGTGTGTCGCGGGTGTCGCGTGTGTGTGTGTGCGTGTGAGTAGTTTTTGTTTTTCGCTGCTTCTTCTTGCGGTTTATTTGTCAACAAAAAGAAGCAGTAAGGAATTTGTTGTTCGCCCTCGCCTTCGCATTCGCACTGCTTGCAGGAGCGACGAAGCAGTGAACCACTTGAGCAACGAAGAAAACGGACGACTCGGTGGCCTCCACATGAAGACCATGTCGCGCTTCGGCCTGCGCCGCGGCTTCAAGTTCTCGGAGGAGCAGGTCAACCCAGCACCCAATCCCCGCAAGAAGCGGTTGGCCAGGCAGGAGGATCTGCAGGAGGAGCAGGAGCAGCTGGAGGATCAGCGGGAGCAGGAACAGGCGCCACTCTCGCTGATCTGCAGCCTGCCGCTGGAGCGGCTGCCCCGCCTGGTGGAGAAGCTGCATCAGCTGACGGAGGAGCGGGAGAGGGAAGAGGCCACCGGAGGAGGATCAGGATCGAAGGTCCTGTGTCTGTACTGTGATAGGAAGTTCGCCTCCGCAAAGCTGCAGGCCAAGCATGTGGACAAGTTCCACACGGAGCGGCAGGAGCGTCGCTGCAGCGGCCGTTCCACCAGTTCCAGTTCCTCCTTTTCCGCCGGTGGAAGCGGAGCAAGTGGCTTCCCCAACTGCCAGTGGTGCTCCATGCAGCAGCAGGGGAATCGCCGCCACCAGGCCACGCCCCCCCATCAGATCTGCCTGCCGGAGAAGCATCTGGAGCAGCTGTTCCGCCATCTCAGCGTGGAGCATGCGGACAAGTACTTTGGCTGCCAGCCGTGCCGCCTGCGATTCCAGGATGCGGATCAGCTGGTGGGTCACCAGAGGAAGCAGCATCCGCTGGAGGATTCCAAGCCCGGGCTGATGGGCGCCGATGAGCCGGTGCTCTTTCGCTTGGGTCTCACCCAGAATCGTTTGCCCAGCCATCGGAATCGCAGTGGCCAAATGCAGCGGAAGGAGGAGGAGCCGCCGCCCAAATCCAGGAGCAGCAGCCGGGCGGCGGCACAAAGGTTGAATCAGCAGCAGAATCAGCAGCAGCAGCAGCTGCAGACCACGTCGTCATCCTCGCAGCAGGTGGCTCCAAACCAGGAGGCGGCCCATCCGGAGGCAGTCTTCCGGCTGCCCGCCTGCGCCGCCTCCTCCTCCGCTGGAAACTCCTCCTCCGCCATCTCCCTCTTCGACGACAAGTTCTACCAGGATGTGGTCCTCAATGTGCGCCACAATCTGCAGAATCACCTGGACGGCCGGCTGCTGGACACATCCTCCTCCTCCGCCTCCGCTAACCAGAAAACCGAACTCATCATGCTGCACGGACCCAGCCAGCTGGCGGGAACCTATCCCACGCTCCTCACCGCCGAGCAGTTCGGAGGAGGAGCCGCCGGGGAACTCCTGCCACTGGCCAAGTTCCGCAGGAGACCGCACACCAAGCACAGCTGGAAGTGGAAGTGGGACTATGTGAAGAAGTTCACGCTGATCAACGAGGGCGGTCGGCTGGTGAAGAAGCCGAAGCAGCCGAATAGCCAGGGACTGCGCGATCTCAGCAAGCTGGACATGTGGACGCAGCTGACGATGCGCCAGAAGCACGATCTCTCGCTCTCGCCGGCGAAGGAGGAGGAGGAGCAGGAGCAGCGCCGCTTGCTGGAGCAGCTCAATCTGATCCTGGATCACCGCCTGCTGCCGCACATCATCCTGGAGCAGAGCGAGCAGGCGGTGATCAAGTGCGAGGTGGAGGAGGAGCATGATGAGCGGGATGGCCGAGATTCTGGCGAGGATCTCCTACCGCAAACCTTTGCCGACGAGAGTTTCCTCTCCCTGCTGCAGCTGCAGTCTAAAACCAAGAGCCATCTGGAGAGGATTCCGGAGCAGGAGAGTCTAAGGAAAGCTGTCGTGCTCAGCGGCGAGTGGGCGCGGCCACGCCTCTATCTGTGCATCTGCTGCGGCGCCAAGTTCGATCAGCGCAAGTCGCTGGAGGAGCACAAGACCTTCCGCCATTCGCACATCTATGCCACGCATTATGAGGTCGTTGGACGTGAATTGCTGGCGGGGAATCTCCTCCGTCATCTCTTCATCCCCAAGAGAGCTTTGTCGCGCTTTGCCGCCGCGAGCAACTGCATCCGCTGGCCGCAAATAGCAGCAGGAGCTGCTCCCAAGCAGGAACAGGAGCAGCGTCTTCAGCCGGAGGAGGAGACCAGGTCCTCGGCCTCCTCGCGTTCCTCCTACGAGGTGTCCACACCCACTCCGCTCTCGGGATCCTCGTCGTCCTCCTGCTCGCCCAGCTCCTCGTCCAATGCAGCCACCACCACGACCACATCCTCCTCCTCCGCCTCGTCCTCCTCCTCCTCCGCTCCCTCCAGCTGCACCAAGTGCGGCCGCAAGTGCAGCGGCCTGATGGATCTCTATCGCCACATGCTCGACTGCTCCGGCGACTATGTGTGGTCGCTGGCCAAGAAGCGCAAGTATCGCTACTACTGCGGCACCAAGAAGCGGCGCGCCTTCTCCAAGAAGCCACTCAAGCTGCAGCAGCTCCAGCTCTCCGCCCGCAAGAAGGAGAAAATGGAAGTGGAGGGGGAGGCGGAGGAGGAGGCAGAAGGCGAGGAGAGCGGCTGCAGTTCGTCAAAATTGAAGAACTCACCGCGCCAAAGGCCCAGCGATGGTGAGATTAATCTCATTCCTCCAAATATAATAGCTAATCATCTTCCTTTTCCAGCTGAATCCATTCGCAAGATGCTGGAGAACCTGCCCGCCAAGCGCATCTGCAAGAAGATCTTTCCCGTGGACAACAAGGCCAAAAGGAAGGCCAAATCCATGGCGAAATCCAAGTCAAAATCCAAGCAGCAGAGGAGCAGCACGAAGAGAATCTACAATCAGCATTTGCTGCGCAACACGCGCTCCCGTTCGCGTTCCTCGGTGGTGGCCACCGGCTCCTCCGCCGCCGCCGCTGTTGCAGCCGCCCAGCAGCAGCGGAGTCGCCGCAAGCAGAAGCAGCAGCAAAAGCAACAGCAGAAGCTTAAATCTCCACCAGAAACGCAAAAGGAAGCAGCGGAAACGAAGGAACTGGAAGATAAATCGGTTGAAAAACCGCCCGCAAGCATAGTCACTGCCAAGTCGCGTTCTCCCGCCGAGGAGAAGCCATCCCTTCCCGAGGCAGTTGCTCCAATTGCTGCCGCCTCCTCCGTAGCTTCCTCCGTTCAGGAAATGGAGCCCGCATCGCCCACTTCCTCCAGCAAGCAGCTTATGCCCACACCGCCCACAACTCCGGCGCCACCGGCTACCAAATCCCCGCCAGCAACTGCAGCTGCATCTGCATCTGCTCCAGCTACTCCAGTTCCAGCCACTCGACTGGCCACGCCCAATTCCACGGTGAAGCGGAGCAAGAGGATCAGCGACTGCATAGCCATGCTTACTGGGAAACTGGAGGAGAAGCTGAAAACGGAGCAGGTGCCGCCGCTTTTGGATAAGGAGAAGGAGAAGGAAAAGGAGAAGGATAAGGAGCAGGTTAAAGAGAAGGAGCAAGAGAAGGAACAGGAGAAGCCAGTGGAAAAGGAGTCACCTGCTCCTCCGCCCGCTGAAAAGGATCGCCTGCAGCCAAAGACGCCCAAACGCAAGGCGGTTTCGCGGCGAATCATCAAAGTGGATGCCACAACGGAGCACCAGGTGGTGGTGGAGGAGTCGGCTAGTAACCCAGTGGAGCTGCCCAAAGTGGTAGCTATTCCAGCTCCAGCTGTAGTTGCAGTTCCTCCGCCTGCAGCTGCTGTTCCTTCTGTTCCGGTGCCTCCTCCTGTTTTTAGCAGCCTCCCAGTGGCTGCTCCTCTTCCTCCTGCTCCTCCTGCTGCTGCTCCTTTGGAACCACCTGCTCTGCCCTTTGCTCCTCCACCCAGGCGCACGCCCACCAAGGCGGCGGCCAAGCAGATGGCTGCCCCGCCACCGAAACCCGCCTCTTTGGCCGCCTTGAAGCAGTATCCTCCAGTGGAAGCCATGGCACCAGTACCATTACCATTACCACTACCAGTTGCAGTTCCACTACCTGTTCCCGTTCCAGTGCCTGTGAACATGCTCTCCAAGCTGCCGCTGTATATGCCGCAGCTCCAGGGGAATCCTAATTCGAATCCCAATCCCCCAGCTGCCAGCAGCATGTTCATGATGGATCATCAGCCTTTGAACCTCACTAGTCAGCGGGGAGTGCTCCAAAAACCCTTGATTACCGGCACAACGGGGGATCCTGGCATCCTGGGACTCCAGCAGCAGCATCATAGGTCAAGTGGAATGCCCGCGAGGCGGCAGACAATCTGCGGATTCGAGGCAAGGAACTTGATTGGCTTAGACGTGGAAATGGAGCCACTGGATCTGTCCAAGAAGTCGAGCAGAAAGCAGGAGGCACCGCCGCCGTTGAGGATGCAGCAGGAGCAGCTCCCGATGCCTCTAATGCCGCTGCCCTTGGTGACGGCACCTCCACCAGCACCACTTCAACCGCAGCCAGGAGTTCCTGCTCCACTGGCCTCTCACTATTACTCCAATCTGGATCTGCTCAAGATACCGCAGGTGCGCAATCCTGGCAATGTGCCCTCCACCGGTGGACCGCCAACTGTTGCGATTTCCGCCTCTGTAACCGTTCATCCGCATCCCCAGCATCCCCCTCTTAATCCCGTCAAGAGTTCGGGCGGCAAGAAGCGCTCCACGGAGGGTGGTGGTGGCTCCAAAAAGGAGCACAGCAAGGCGCAGACGAAGATGTGTCCACGGATGGACGAGGTGGTCAACAATCACATAGACGATGCCATCAACTCGGTCATAATGGCCGTCCAGGCGAGTTTGCCGGCTGACGAAGAGGAGGAGGAGCTGGCCAAGAAGGAGAAGGAGATATCACCAGCTATTCCTGCGGTGGTTGTTCCACCTGCTCCCGCCAAGAACTTGACGCCCAAGAAGCGTTCCATGCGCTCGCGAACCATCGACTGTCGCTCGGCTTTGCTGGCCTCCATGGAGGAGCCTCTTCCGGTGGCTCCTCTGCAGCTGCCGGTGAATGGGGACTCCAAGGAAGAGATGCCGCCAGTTGAGGTTCTAGTAACTGCTCCTCCTGCAGCTCCAGCTCCTCTGGTGACCCAACTAACCGCCCTAGTCAAAAGTCCGGAAGAAAGTCATCCTGTGAGCAGCGCACCTGAACCGGTGGCCTCTCCACCGCCGCCAGTGGAGGAGCAGCAGTCGCCAGACTCCCCAGATCCTGTAGAGACACCTCTTCCTACTCCTGTTCCGGTATCCGTGATTTCAGTGGCTCCTGCTTTGCCGCTCCCGCCTCGAATAGCCACTCCTCCTCCAACGACAATAACCGAGACGAACTGCAGCTCTTTGATGGAGGAGCACAGCAGCAACCTGAACAACAACACCTCCTCGGGATTCCACAGCCTCGCTCAGTCAGAGCAGCCTACTCCAATAGTGACCAGCACCCCGGCAGTTAAGGAAACTCCACCGCCAAGCGCTCCAAAGGAGGAGGAGGAGCTGCTGCCCGCCAAGCAGAAGAAGCAGCGTCGGAGGAGGAAGAACGAACTGGCCGCCATTGTGGCGGATCAACTGCTCGAGAGCTTCAAGATCGACAATGCCCGCCGGGATAACCTGAAGAAGCTGGAGAATCTGGCGTACGAGAAGAGCGAGGATCTGCTGCTCACCGGAATGCTGCTCATGTCCAGCACCAAGCGGAATGCGGCACTGGGAACTTCCTCTGCTGCCTCGGCGGCCAAGCTGAAGAAGGAGGAGGAGTTGCCGGCCAATCCTCCCGTGCGCGGCAGGCCAAAGCGTCGCCAGAGTTGCTACTATCGCAGGGGAAAGGCAACCGGCGGAGGAGGAGGATCAGGAGGAGTAGCTCCTAGCAAAACCACCAATGAGAACATCAGTCTGCTCAAATCCTCACTGGAGTCCTTCTCCATTGGCATCGAGAAGCAGCTGCTGGCCAAGGAGGCCAGGGAGGCCAAGGAATCGAAGGATTCACCAGCCGGCAATCTTGTCCAGCCGCCAGTTAGCTCCATTCTGCGTCCCAGCATCCTGAGCAGTGCGGTGACCAGGGAGCAGCTTCCCCCGGCGGCCACTTTCAGTCGCGATCCACGGCTAAACAAGAACATCCACAAGGAGCAGGGTCAGGAGCAGCAGAGCAAGGAGGTGCAGCCACCTCCCAAGGAGCAACCGCCACCGGAGGAGGAGGACAACTACCTCACCGAGATCGCCAAGAATGTGAACGAGAAGATCATGTCGGCCAAGACGAACGAGGACTTTGAGTTTGCCCACGACGAGTTCGATGGCGAGGGAGATCCCGACCAGGATCAGGATCAGGACAAGTACTATCGCCCGCCCACCTCGATGAGCGTGCGCAGTGCCCCCAATCTGAATGATGAGCACTCGAATTTCGGCTCCATGTGCGATGATAACACGAACACCGAGGTAATGGACATGGATTTGGACGATGAGATGAGCGTGTACACCAGTTACTCGCAGGATTTGGGACGCGGTGGACGGGGGAGGAGGCGTAGGCGAAGGAGGAGCGTGCTGCTCACGCGACGACCCAAAAAGCGGACGCAGCGCAGCGAACTGGATGCGGAGAAGTACGGCTGCAAGCTGTGCGGCAAGAGCTTCTTCACGGCCACCTCGCTGAGCAAACACAACATGACTTTGGCCCACGTGTCCAAGGTGTCCGCCCAGGAGTACCTGCAGTCGCAGACGGCGCCTTCGAGTCCGCAGTCGGTGGGGGATAAAGAGGAAATGGAGGAAGCGAAGGAGGAGCAGCAAATGCAGAAGGAGGAGCAGCAGCAGCAGCAGCCGGCGGAAGTAGCAGCTCCCCAGCAGATGAGGGCTTCTGTGCTGATGGTTCCTCCCTCACAAATGGAAAGGGAGCGGGAGCTGCAGTTGCTTCAGGAGCAGGAGAGGCTGCAGAGGGAGCAGGATCATCGGGATAACCAAGAGCAACAGCAGGAGCAGCAGCAGCATCATGTGATCACCGAGGCCAGTTTGCGGCTGCATGACAACCAGCACAGTCCCACGGCTCCCAGCGCCTCCCGGTTGAACCTGAATCCCGATGAGCGCCTCTTCTACGAGTGCTGCAACATCCTCAAGAGCACCGAGACGCCGCGGGGAGTTCACCCAGGCGGAGGAGGAGTAGGAGGAGGAGCCACCACCACCTCGGTGATTGTGACAGCTGGCAGGAAGCAACCGCCTCCGCCGCCAGCTTCGCCCTCGCCATCGAGGTCGTCTTCCCTGCCGCCACCGGCGTCGCCTTCGCCATCGCTGCCACCTCCAGGATCTCCTTCGCTTTCCCTGCCGCCGCCTGCATCACCATCGCCCTCGCCATCGCCGCCACCGCCGCCGCCTCCTGCTCCTCAGCCCGCACCGCCAACCGTTTGCCACCAGCCGGTCATCCAGCAGCTGTTCCGCAATCCGCCCGCAGTCACGCCCACCACCACGCCCACGTAAGTTGGTCAAATTTCAGGGTTCGGAATTTAACACACATGTTAGAAACAGGGAAAATTGTATTTTACAGTGTGAGCAAAGTTATTGACATGTGTGTCAAATACAAAAAGTGTTTTTTACACAACGTGTTATTAACACGCCGTGTTTTTTACACAATGTGTTTTTGACTTCAAAAGTGTGAAAGTAAAAAAAAAAATGTAATTGTTAGTATAACTGTTAACATTTTATAGAATTCTATACTTTTTTTCAAATGTATAACAAAGAAAAGACTTGTTGATTCATAAAATCCATTATATCAATGCACAAATCTAACCGTATTTGGTCGGTGCTTATTGCTTACTGATTTTGTTGGTACTTACTTTAAAACGGCCTATCTTTTCGCTTAACAACATATTATTTTTTTAAAGTAGGAAATTTTTTACCCCTCAATATTTTTTTAATTCAATAGATATTTGGAAAAAATTATCCATAACCAAAAACATATAAACTTTTTATAAAATAGACACACATTAGACACATTATATTAGTAACGGTAGGCTGAATCAATTTATTTACATATATTTTGAGCTGTCACTCAAATGTCAAAAACTCATTGTGTTAAAAGCACGCTGTGTAAAAAACACGTCGTGTAAATAACACAAATGACATATGTAACATACGTAGGCTAAAATTTTTAACACACATGTCAATAACTTTTGACATTTAACATGTTAATAACAAAAGTTATTTACACTGGGTGTTATTTTCCGAACCCTGTTAAATCCCTTAGCTAATCCTTTATACTAATCCCTAAAAACCCCTCTTTTCTTTAGCAACCACAACCGACTCTCGCCCAGCTACTCGGCTGTGTCCCAATTCTCGGCCACCACCACCTCCAGATTCAAAACGAAGGCCGCGATGAAGGGCTACGAGAATGTGAACCTGCAGCTGGACATGCTGGAGCTGGCCAAGTCGGGCAGGGGCGTCTGCAAGCTGACCGAATTGGCGGACATTGCTTTGGGTAGCGAGAAGCCGGGCGGGGAATTTATGCCGCATCATTTGCCGGCGGCTTCAGCGGTTCCAGCTGCTCCATCTGCACGACCTGCCATCCAACAGACGGTGATGGTCACGGCCACTCCTCCAGTGGAGCAGCAGCAGCAGAGCTCTACGTCCTCCAAGACCATCATGCATGCTTCGATCATCAAGGCGGCGGTTAGTTCGGCGACGCTTCCTCCGGTTTCCGGGAGGATTATCATACCTGATAGGCCTTTCAAGAACATTGGGCTGGAGGAGAAGGCACCGATCACCTTCCAGAAGCCCAAGACGTGCGTGAATCTGCTGCAGGAGCAGGACAACAACAGCGTCTCGACGGCCAGCTACTCGGATCGCGATGATTACGATTTCGGAACGCTGAGTTGTGATGGCGATGTGGATGCGGAAGCGGAAACGGAAGTTAGAGGCGTTGCTGCTGCAGGTCGAGTGGTTCTGCCCCAAGGAGCAGGAACAGGAAACGGAGGAGGAGGAGCAGCTGTAGCCCCGGCCATTTCCACCTCCAGCTCCTCATCCTCCTCCTCCTCCTCGGCGGAGAACAGCAGGAGCGGCAGCCGGAGCAGCAGCAGCAGTTCCAGCCGAGCGACGGCCAAAACCTTCGAGAACAAGTCCCTGATCATGGGACGGATCTTCAAGCATGCCAGCAGCGCCAAGGCGGCGAACGCAACGGCGGCCATGCTGCCGGGTCCCAGTGTGGTGCCCGCGATGGCCAAGATCAAGGCGCTGCCCAAGAACCAGGCGAATCTCGACCAGATATTCGATGAGTTGCGCGGCGGCGGTGGAGCAGCCAAGGCAGCGGAAATCGAAGCTCCCGCGGCTGTAATCCAGGAAAACTGGGAGCATCATCACCATCACCAGGTGGAGCCCATGGCGGCGCCAGCAGCTCCGGCAGCTCCGGCGGCCATGCCAGCACCCAGTGCTTTGCCACCAGGCAGAAAACCCAAGAATTCCACAGCAAATCCAATTAAGAAAGCAACCAAAACTGCACCAGTTAAGGCGAAGACAAAGGCAAAGGTGACTCCCTCTGGAGCTTCCTCCTCCTCGTCCAACCGCAAGCCACGCAAGGATCTCAGCAAGCTGCAGTCCGAGCTGGGCATGAGTCACGAGGAGATCGAGCAGCTGATCGACGAGGGGCAGCGCAAGTCCAAGCGCCGCTGCGCCACCAATCGGCCCAAGAAACTGGTGGAGACATGGAGCTCCGACGAGTACGAGGAATTCTTGTCCACCAAGGACATCATAGCCCTGATCGAGCAGAAGGAGCAGCAGGAGCAGCGGCGCAAGAGGAAGACCAGTGAGGCAGCAGAGCCGGTGGTTCCGCCAGTCAACAGCAAGAAGGCAGTGACTCCCCAGGCGGCTGCTCCTCCAAAGCGAAAGAATCGCGCGGGCGACAAGAAGGAGCAGGAACCAGTGGAGCAACCAAAACCGCGGGCCAGACAACGCAACCAGCCAGCAGCTCCTCCTGTTCCTCCAGTTCCTGCTCCTCCAGCTAAAAGCAAATCCAAGGCAGCAGTGAAGAGCAGAAATTTAGCAACTAAGGCCACCAACAATCGCAAAAAGCGTGGCAAAGAAGTTGCCCAGGAGGAGGAGGAGGAGGAGGAGCAGGCGGATGTGGAGCCACCGACCAGGACACGCAGTTCCAGGCAGCAGTTGCCCAAGGGAAAAGCTGAAGAGGAGCGGGAATTAGCTCCACCACCGCCTCTGCCGATTCAACCCGCTGCTCCTCAGGAGCCGCAAAAGGAGCGGATAAAGGCGCCGCATCCCAGGAGCAGCTCAGCCGCCACCACCAGCAGCACCACCACCACCGCCACCACCACGAATACCAACAACAACAACAACAGCAGCAGCAGCAACAAGAATCTAAAGACCAAAAGGAGATCCCAGAATAGCCGACAATCGCCGGCGAGGAGAAAGCGACCGGCGAGCGAGAAGCAGCTGTACTACTGGAGCAGCTCCAGCGACGATGAGTTCGGTCGCCTGGACGACGAGGAAGAGGCAGCCGACGGAGGATCTCGACCAGGAGCCGGCGAGCAAAGAAGGGAGGGAGACCACCGAATGGAAATGGAGCCGGCGGAGGAGGAGGAGGCCTCCCCGTCGCCCGGCAAGCACTTCGAGGAGAACGAACCGTACCAGAAGCACGGCTGGATCGTTGGCGACTCGCACAAGAAGCTAGTGAAGCTACTGGCCATCGCCAAGGGCAGCAAAAAGGTGGACAACTGCGGCGTCAAGCGGCGCACGCCCAAGCGCAAGTGCTAGGGAGGATTAGGAGAAGGAGCAGGACAAGTCATAGCCATAGGCGCAGTCGGCGCGGGCAGCCGACGACCCATCGCCGCCATCGATCACATACATACATACGTACTGCCATTGTGTCATCGTTAAGCGTTAAGGTTCCGGCGCGCCAGGAGGGGATTAGTGGAGTCACCAGGAGCCACTGGAGCCACCTAAGGCCTCCTCCTGGCCCCCCGGTTACCATTAACCGTATGCGGAGTATATGCAACATATTTTTCTTTCTTTTAAACATCTAAGCGTTACATTATTTAGGTTTTTTTTTATTAAATGTATTTATAATTAATAAACAAAACAAAAACAGAAAAGCGAAAAGGCAACAAATATAAATTTGAGCACAACAATTAAGTAAGAAGTCTTTTGTTCGACTAAAATCGACTATCAAATACCCTTTATTTAGCTAAAGAAAGTGCGACTGCTTGCACTGCTTGCATTTTGAGCACCATTATTTGCTCATAACTTTTTAGTGAATAATCCGATTTGAAAAATTTCTTCTACATTTCGAAAGGTATAAGTAAACACAACAAAATTGCTTTTGAACTTTTCCGAAATCTTCAAGGATGTGGACAACATACACCTTTAAAAATCGTTTAAGGCTGAAACAAACTTTCACTGCGTAGGAACCCCAAGAATCAGCATAGGTAATCCCAACTTTCTAGCTTTTACAGTTTCTAATATATCAGCGTTCCATAAGAACATTATAACTTTTTAATGAATAGTCTGATTTGAAAAATTTCTTCTACATTTTGAAAGGTATAAGTAAACACAATAAAATTGCTTTTGAACTTTTCCGAAATCTTCAAGGATGTGGCCGACATACACCTTTAAAAATCGTTTAAGGCTGAACCAAACTTTCACTGCGTAGGAACCCCAAGAATCAGCATAGGTAATCCCAACTTTCAAGCTCTTATAGTTTCCGAGATCTCAGCGTTCCATAAGAAAAGTAATTCCCTGGTTTTCCTCAATTTAACTTCTGTTTTATTTTATATATTTTACAACTAACGGTATCTTTACATATATAACATGTAAAAAAAAATAGAGTTAAGGAATAGTTAAAAAAACGTAGAACACAATGGAAGCGGACGACGAGTGGTGGCGCGAACGCAGGCGTCTCGGCGAGCGCACATCCAGCGTTTTGTGTGTAGTGTTGATGTCTTTCTGCTTTTGCCAAAGGATAAATGCGAAGCAAAACGAGGTTCCATCGAGGATTAGAATGTGTATGGGGGCGTTAAGAGTCAAAAGAGGCATGAATCTAACTGGATGCACCGATGTAAGAGATATTGGTGGGTCTCGCCGCAACTGCTGATCTAATCTGCGTTCGCTGGCCTCTCCGCTCCGTCGTCATCGCTCCTCATCGTGACTTAAACAGTACGCAGGCTTCTCCGTCTTACATCATGCCACCCATGCCGCCCATGCCTCCCATGCCGCCCATTCCACCCATGCCGGGCATGCCAGGAGCGCCATCCTCCTTGGGGATCTCGGTGACCACGGCCTCGGCGGTGGTCAGCAGGGAGGCCACGCCGGAGGCGTCCGTGATGGCGGTGCGCACCACCTTGGTGGGATCGATGATGCCCTTCTCGATCAGGTTGCCGTACTCGCCCTTCAGCGCATCGTAGCCGTAGTCGCCGGCCTGGGTCTCCACCTTGGCCACCACCATGGCGCCATCGACGCCGGCGTTCTTGGCAATGGTCATGCAGGGCATGCGCAGGGCGCGACGCACGATCTCCACGCCGAGGTTCTGTGGAGGGAAATCGAAATGGATTCAATTAATGGGGGCACCAAAAAATCGACCAACTTTGCGTTTTTTTCTATAAAAACCGGTTGCATGGATTTAATTCAAATCCTTTGTCTATTATTGTCTATATATCGGCTAATATATCGGTAGCAAAGCGATTGCTGGAACACTTAAAAAAAAGGCATTTGCGGTGTTCACTGTACCTCCGCTAAAAATGATCGAATTCCATTTTGTTTTCACATTTCGCTTAGGAATTAAAAATTAAAGTAGCCCCCTGGGAAGCCCTTTTTTTAATTTTTTATTTTTGATAATTTTTTTCGATGTTCCAAAGTCAAAAATGCGTTTTAATTTTAGCATAACTTCTAAAGTTCTTGTCCGATTGAATTGAAACTTTTTTGTATATCTTAATACAAGAAACAAATTAAAAAAAAAAATAATTTTGTTTTTGTGCAAGACCCTACCTCCCTTTAAAGCCGGAAATCGACACCAATAAATTCTAGACTTCAAAAAAAAATATTTATATGCCATTTTTAGAAATTTCAGTCAAAATTTCAGGAAAGGGATTTTTGGCAATTTATCTGGGTAATTTTCCGGCGTAACTTGGCTAAAAAATGACCTAACGATATAAAATTGATCAATTTGTTTAGCTGACAAACTAAGCTAACGATCTGCATCACTTCTGTGTAATTTACAAAAAAAATAAAACCTTAATATGTTAATCTACAAGAAACAAAAAATTTAAAAAAACGGAAAACAAGAGCCCTCTCCCTCACCTGATCCTCGTTGTTGGTCTTCACGGCATCCAGCTTCTCGATGCAGCGCAGCAGAGCGGTGCCGCCGCCGGGAACGATTCCCTCTTCGACGGCCGCCCGGGTGGCGTTGAGGGCATCATGCACGCGATCCTTCTTCTCGTTGACCTCCACCTCGCTGGAGCCGCCGACGCGGAGCAGGGCAACGCCCGAGGCCAAGCGGGCCAGGCGCTCCTGCAGCTTCTCCTTCTCGTACTCGGAGGTGGTGTCCTCGATCTGCTCCTTGATCTGGTTGGCGCGACGCAGCACATCCTCCTTCTTGCCCTTGCCCTTCAGCAGCAGCGTGTCGTCCTTGGTGATGACCACCTCGCCCACCTGACCCAGATCGCTGACCTTGACGTCCTCCAGCTTGACGAGATCGGCATCGTCGCCGAAGACAATGCCCCCGGAGGCGATGGCCATGTCGGTGAGGGTGCTCTTGCGGTTATCACCGAAACCAGGCGCCTTGACGGCGGCCACCTGCAGGCCAATCTTGAGGCGATTCACCACCAAGGTGCTCAAAGCCTCACCATCGATATCCTCGGCAATGATGACCAGCGGCTTGCGCTGGGCGTTGGCCAGCTCCAAAGCGGGAATGATGCTCTGCACCGAGGAGATCTTCTTCTCGGAGAGCAGCAGCAAAGCGTCCTGGAACTCCACCTTGGCGCCCTTCGACGAGTTGATGAAGTACGGCGAAATGTAGCCGCGATCGAACTTCATGCCCTCGATCACCTCCAGCTCATCGTTCAGGGTCTTGCCGTCCTTGACGGTAATGACGCCATCGCGTCCCACCTTCTTCATGGCCTCGCTGATCAGATTGCCGATGGCCTGGTCGCCGTTGGCCGAAATCGTGGCCACCTGGGCGATCTCCTCGGGCGTCTTCACGGGCCGCGACATCGTCTTCAGGTTGTCCTTGACCGTCTCCACGGCCAGCATGACGCCGCGTCGAATCTCGACGGGATTGGCGCCCTTGGAGATCTTCTCGAAGCCCTCCTTTGCGATGGCGCGTGCCAAAACAGTGGCTGTGGTGGTGCCATCACCGGCCTCCTCATTGGTATTATTGGCCACATCCTGGACCAACTTGGCACCGATATTCTGGAACTTGTCCTTCAGCTCAATGGACTTGGCCACCGTCACGCCGTCCTTGGTGATCTTGGGCGAGCCCCACGACTGCTCGATGATCACGTTGCGTCCCTTGGGGCCCATGGTCACCGCCACCGCATCGGCCAGCACATCGACGCCCTGGAGCATCAGGGCGCGCACCTCGGGACCGAATCGCACGTCCTTCGCATAGCCGCGCATGGCCAGCTGGCGGCTGATGGAGGTGCGAGCAAGCGAAACTGGCAAACGAAACATCTGCGGGGGAGAGAGGAGTAATTAGATCAGTGATTATATCAAAATTCAAAGCACGTGCTCTCGAAAAGATGGGGTCTTCTGCCCCCCAAGATGTTTACCCCGCAGCTTTTCGGCTGATAAGCGAGCGGTTCAGGCGGGTCAAAGTACAGAAATCGATCTGGGCCTTATTTTAATGTGGAATTTTTGGAAGAATCGAACACCAAGTGAGAGCAAACGAACTTGTACACCCGGATTATATGAATTTTCTGGCGGATATAGCTTGTCAGGTTGGAAAATGTACAATGACAGTAAATTCTATGGTAGTACTACAATTTTTTAGATGATGATGTAAAGACCCGGCATTTATGGAAATTATATAAATTAATAATTTCACTAATGGGTGTATTACGGGATTTTATAGATCTGTTATGAATCTATTTAGATTTTAAAGATCTGTTAAGAATCTATTTAGATTTTATAGATTATAACGATTTATAAGATTTCATAGATCTGTTAAGAATTTATTTAGATATTTCTGTACCAACAGCATAATCAAAAACATGTTTTTTTTAAAACACAATTTTGTATATTCAGCACGTGGATAGCTTGAATTGTATTAAAATATATAATAATAATTGATAATAAAATTATAAGATGATGTTATCATATCATTTTCTTTCGAAAAACAAACAACACTTTTTTGGAAATTACATAAGCCATTGATTAAAAATTATAAATAAGGCGTGTAAATATACTTAATCAATTTATAAACACCAGTTATTTTATTATTTATCGGCTATAATAATAGAACTCCCAAGATAGTTAAAAATGTTATGCCTTTATAAAACTGAGGACCAAAAAACAGTGGAATAAAATTAAACTGACATATTTTTGGAACTGCATACATATACATACATATGTAATGGGTAAAGACCCTAGTTTTTTCGATAATCTTATCGTTAGGTAATCGAGGTTCCACCGTACCGGCCAGGCCCCCCTTCCAGTGCCCTTCCCCCCGCCCCCTTGGAAGCAACAACAAAGGCATCTCAGCACCGAGCATTCCAGAAGAAACGATTTATGTAACCACTCGGGGGGAAAAATAGATACCCTCGAAATCGGAGGGCCTATTATTCAATAAGTACGAGATTTCCAAGGGGAGGGGAGGGGGGAAGCACATGCAATGCCACTGAGAAAGGTGAAATTGCTTTCCCTTACCGGCAAGCAGTGGAAAAACATGTGCGCTTTCCCAACTATCTTTTCCCTGGCTTTCCAGTGTGCGTGTGTGTGTGAGAGAGGGGCGATTAATGAAAGTACAAATTAATTAATATACTAAGATGCAGAATTCGTTTACTTTTCACTAATCTATTGGTAGAACTTTCTGGAAACACGATTTGCCGGCTAGCAGCCAGATTGTCCGCTCTTATATAATCGCCAATCAGACACACAAACACACGAACTTTGCAGGTGGAGAATCCACGATTTAGAAATCGCTAGAAATCAAATTGAACACTTACTGTGAATTAAACTGGTGCTGCGCAGTATTAACAAGACAGTTGAATAGTTCCGATTCTATTTGATGTGAAACAACAAGCTCACTTCACTTCAGTTTACTCGCCCGAAATTCGAAATGTGCGAACTTCCTAACCTTAATGTGGCTTAAATCAGTGTTGCCAGATGAAAATTTAGCTTTCTCCCTAAAAAATCTCAAACTATCGATATTTCCCCTAAATAAAAGGTGCGTTGCATCGGATAACTTAGCGAGGACACGCTCCGCACACTCGCATGTGTTTAAACAATTTATGGCATAATTCTGATATTTTAAAATTATTTTAAAATCTAGTGATCCTGATCAAGAATATCTATACTTTATAGGGTGAGATACAAATATGGATTGTCATACCTTTCTGAACTCGTTATTAAAATTTCAAACGATTGGCATTTAAACCTGGACGTTTTATTTTTTTTTGTCATTTTACGTAAAAGATTATGGTGCATCCCCTTATAAAAAAGTCAAATTTTTACCAAAAACGCAAATTGTATTTTTTCACAAAAAGTCCGTAACAGTGGAAATAATGATCCAAATATGGATTGTCATACCTTTCTGAACTCGTTATTAAATTTCCAAACGATTGGCATTTAAACCTCGACATTTTATTTTTTTCCCATTTTTTTTACAAAATCATGATGTACCCCCTTATAAAAAAATTGAAAAATGGCGAAAATTTTATTTTCCCCAAGATCACTTGGAAAGTGTCATGGATTTATTTATTATTTTGTTATCTGTTCAAAACAGTATGTATTTTGGGTGTAGGACCATTTTTGGCCAAGTTATAGCAAAAGAAAAACAGAAAAAAGTAAAATTTTTACCAAAACCCAATTAAATATTATGTATTGACAAACTGAATCCTATGACCAATTCCAGTGGTAATAGGTCCCACGGCGTCCATGTACTCCATCAATGCGTCCAAATCGAAGGGACCCATCCTGGGAAAGATCGAATTTTTTTCTTATTGAAGATCGAAATTAAATTTACTTTGTGTGCTATAGTTACTCGGGATGCTCTGCGTTTTCGTTGATTACGCCGAAACCATTCTTTCCATTTGCCAGGTACTCCATGACCACTACGCGGTACTTCTCTTCCGGAACGAGTGGCATATATTCGGGGACTTTGCATTTGGAGCATCGAACTCGGACACTGGAGACGCGCTGACCTGCGGGTAAGGTCAAATCGAAGACGACCCGTAGACCGGAAACCTGCAGGAATCGCGAGGATCGCGGCGATGCAGAACTGGCATTCATGGGCGCCACTCCGTGCTCCAAAAGCTCCACAATGTGCTTCCCCTCGAGAGTAAGGGCGACCAATCGATTCTGCCATGGGCACATGGCGAACAATTGCTTGTAGGTGATGTCTGTGAGGGAAAATAAATCAAAATAATACAATAATATTTAAATGAATATATGTTAATGAATCAGTTCCACAGATTGATCTAATTTTCTATCTATTTATTTTTTTTTTTTCTGTAAACTATAGTATTGACCATATTACCGAAAGTATTTTCTACCCCATACAGTCCCTATTTTATAGGGTCTTCACAATGAACTTAAGATATAGCTACACAGAGAGAAATATTCAAGAAGAATGACGTTTTCAAATTAAGTATTTGTAATCTCAATTTGAGGATGTACTGATTTTGTGGACAAATTTAAAAAATGTCTTAATTGTTCCCGTTTTTGAGAAAAAAATTTCCAAAAAGACTCAATTCCAAGGTATATTATTTAAAAAATTGGTACTTAGTAAAAAAACATCAATTTAAGTGTTAAGTAAATTAATAATTCTCTCTGTGTAGGTTTTAGAACGTAAATCAAACTCACTGCCAGCTGAAATGGGCACTCGGAAAGTTCCCTGCGATGTCACTGCAATGGTCACGTTACTCCAACTGTCATCGACGGACGATGAAGTGGCATCTTTGACGAACTGTTGGGGATCCATGGGTTAGGATGAGTCCTGAACGAGAACAGCCCACACCCAGACTTACCGCATAAAGTATGGCATCCGTGAAGAAGTTCCCCAGATTGCACTCCCCACGGCTGCACTCGCTCTGCTGGAGATAAACCCTACTTTGGCCCACGATCCGGTTGGCGATGGGTTCCATCTCGATTTGCCACGGCACCATGGCCTGCAGAACGATTTCATCTTTAAAGGAAACAATATGTGTATCTTTTTTAAAGTGTATTATTTTTATATTTTAATTTTTACTTTTATCATGTTATGTTTCCGGTTATTTGCTTCTTTGTTCTAAATTATGCGTTTTATAACCATTTATTTGGTTGATCAACGTCTGAATAAAATTTTATATTATACCTTTTCTCAAAAAAAAAAAAAAATATTTACTACACATTACCAAAATTAATACACAAAAAAAAATTATTATCATGATTATTCTTATTATTAATATTGTTACCCCCAATGAAAAACAATTTTTTTTAGTTTCCCTGAAAAGTTTACTGGGACAAATGCAACCATTTGGCAGTACAATTTATGTTGCAGTGCAGGGATCAGTTGAGCACAGTGATGCGTCCATCGAGACCCTGGGTGATGGGATTTAGGTGTTCGCTGTACGAGATCAGGGCATCCAAGTCAGTGACGCCCCACCTGAAAGGGAAAAATAGCGATTTTAAAATAGAAAATATTTGGAAAAACCCTTTTAAAAGGTTGGTAAATACGTACTGAAGATCGGTGCCCTCGGCGAGCATGGTGTAGCCATCGCCGCCCGCCTGCAGGAAATTGGGCGAGGTGAGGCGATATAGTTTGTCGGACACCAGCGGCTCATATTTGGGCACCTCGCAGTCCGCACAGCGCACCGTCACGGATATAACTCGGGATCCGATGGGCTTGGTGTAGTCGTACTTCACCCGAATTCCCGAGAATTGCAGATTAATGTACGATCCGGTCACCCCGTTCTCCAAATCCACCTTGCTAACGGCCCACTCCATGGCCTCCACTATTTTGCTGCCCGGAAGATTGTAGGACACTAGGGTGTTCTCGAAGGGCGACATGCTGACTATATGGGCGTACGTAAGGTCTGCGGATTAAAAGGGATTTTATGAGAATAAAAGTGTTATTATTTGCGGGTTAAATTATATAGATACAACCAAAAAAAATTAATATGAAACGTAGATCGATTTTACATTATGTAATATCAATTTTATATGCTCGAAATGAGTATTTCATGTTAAAACAATATGCGTAGCCAGAAATTTACATGCGCATATCGATTTTACGGCGACATACTTTATACAGAAAAGATAGTGATGAAAATGGGGAATACAACTTATAACTGTTTATTATCCTTCAAGGTTGATTTCCCCCGTGCAAAAAATAAAAATAAATACTTACTGCCCCTATTGAGTGGCACGCGGAGTCCTCCGATATTCATGAGTCCGGCGGACACATTCGTCCAGGCCTTCTCTTCATATGGAGCCATTCCCACAAACTATGAATGGGGAATGCAATGTTATTTAAGGATTAAGCCTCCAGAGTTTTCACTTACAGAATGCACCATAGCGTCACAGAAGTAGTTGCCCAGGTTGCACTCTCCGGCGGCACAATCGTCCTTGGTGAGATCCACTTTGGTAGTGCCCACCACCACCTTGCCCATTTCGTCGACCACCGTTTTCCACGGCTGCATAGCCTCGAGAACCTCCTCATCTGGGGGGGATTTCAATCACAATATATACATGTAAGCTCCATTCTATTCACTATAAAGGACTTTCACATTTAACACTAAACAGCAAACACAAATATTCAAACTGGCAGTACAACATATACATATTTACACAGAAAAAAAATTCACTGGTATTTCACAGAAAAAAAAAACGAACACAAGAGTTAACGAAAGCTTAAGCAATACTATTCAAATATGATCACAAAACACATTATACCTAATTTTATTTATAATATACATAGATATACGCGAAAAAAGCCAGCAGAATAACTACTTGAGAATTATAACGCAGTTTAAGCAAAAAAGTGTCTTAACTGAGTATTGTTCTATTTTTGTTAAAATGTTATTATATTTATACTAAGCCGAGCTATCATTGGAAAACCCCAGCTAAAGAGTTATTAACTAAAGCACATTTGGAAATTCCGAAAGGAAAATTAAAATGAAACGTTAATCAACTATTCACGGGAAGATGTGATTCCTCCTAAGCTAATTTGATCAATTTGCTGCGATCTATTTGCACTGACCTTCGGGCACCGATTGGTCCATGTAGAGCGGGTCGCCCTCGAAGTCCAGGACGTCGCCGTTGTCATCGAAGTAGACGACCAGGTTGCCCACGTAGCGGGCGTAGGCGGAGGCCTGGACGATGAGGACGCGGTGGCCGGAGCTGTGGACCACCTCGGTGGGGTAAGGACCAGAGGCGCTGTGCGGACCTGGTGGATCACCAGTGTAGAGGAAGGTGTGCGAGTGGGAGCCCACGATGACGTCGATCCAGTCGCCGGCATTGGCGGCGATCTCCTTGTCCACATCGTAGCCGCAGTGCGAGATCACGATGATGATGTTGGCGCCCTGGGCCTTCAGCAGCTGCGCCTCCTCGCGGATGGTGTCGCTCTCGTTCCGGAAGATCACCTTGCCGGTATTGGCCAGATCCTGTAGGGGATTTACACAATTTGCAATGTCTGATACTGGAATGATACCTCTACTCACGTAGGTCGTCTCCAGGATAACGCCAATCAGCCCAATCTTCCGACCCGACCGCTCAATGATCATCGACTTGTTGTACTTGCCCTCCATGGTCGGCTCGTGGGCGCAGTCCATGTTGGCCACCAGCATAGTGGTGTTCACCGTCTCCAGGAAGGGCACAACGCCCTCGACTCCGTGATCGAACTCGTGGTTGCCCAGGGTCTGAAATTAGTAGTTTTATTTTATTATTCTGACTCAAAAGATTGTATCGTTTGATCTAGAAAATGCAACTATTGGTTTTGGAACATCCTTTCTAATTTTTACTAAACACAGTAATGTTTCAAATTATATACCTCGGAATCTAAGATATTTTACATATACATTTGTATATATACAGAAAAAACAATTCGATATGAAATTGGATCAATTCTACCTTATTTCATATCATTAAATGATTAAAAAATATCAACTTCATATTTTATCATATCATTTCAAATACCAAATTTAGTTATTTTTGAACAAATAATGCAAAATAAGATGAGCGTAATCTTTATTAATATCAAATTGATAAGAATTAATTGATTCTTAAAAAATGTAAAATTCACCAGCACATATCAATCTGATCTTTTGTCCGTTTTTTTTTGATTACGAGCCGATTTCTTAATGTCCCGTTAAAGTTTTAGTTTGTTATGAATTAATTGACTCTTGAAAAATGTTAAATTGACCAGCACATATCAATCTGATCTTTTGTCAGTTTTTTTGACTACGAGCCGTTTTCTCAATGTCCCGTTAGGATTTTAGTTTGTTATACGACAAATTTAATCAGAACATTGCCTTTAGTTAAGGGTTTTCATTCAGATATACATATATCCATATTATACAATATTTAACATAATACTGAGTCATTACATTTTTTAGAAAAATCAATTCAAAGTTAACCTAACATTGAGATATCGGCTCTTGAAAATCGGATGACTTGGTATACCCACCATTGCCTCGGCGGGCAGGAGGTTGAGGAGCTGCTGGGTGACGTTCCAGCGACCGATGTTGTACCACAGCGTCCCCTGGAAGCTGTCTCCGGCATTGATGTAGATGGGATTGAGCTCCGCCTGCTCCCGGAGGAGTCGCCTCACCGTGTAGACAGTGCGCGGATATCCGCCGATGCATTGCTCGCCCTCATCGCAAGTTCCTCCAGAGGTGTCCGTGGCCTCGAACCTGCCGGTGATCGAAATGGAAGCGGGGATTAGCTCAGGAGTGGGCTCGTGCTGGAGTGGAGTGGAGTGGAGTCCCCGTGTCGTATACATTTCGTTATCGGGATCGAGATCGGAATCAGTACGGGGGCCTGATAGGCCCATGGTTTACGGCCGTGTGTGTTGGCCATAAACATAAACCGACTCAATCTGATTAGTTCGGTTTTTCCGCCTTACATACCTGGCGTGCAGGTCGTTGATGTGGATAATGGACACGGGAAAGCCCTCCTTGTCGGCAGCCTCAGCCGAGAGAGGTGCCCCCAGGATGACCATCATCATGGCCAGAAATCCTAAAAGTCGACTGCAAGTGGTTGGCATTTTCGGGTTTCGTATCAACCGATCAACAAACAAAAAAAATAAATAAATATTCAAGTGTAGGTACACCCAGCCCGATGGCCGTCGATAAGGCAACTGAATGGCCGAATTCGCCAACAATCCGACGGCTGTGAAATCTGAATGGGTTTCGGGCCCAAAGACACTTGCTCCGATCGGATCTGGTCACCGGTACCCTCATTCCTTCTCTCTGATAAGCCCGGTGTATAATACGTACTTCATTCTCCACCTGCAGAGAGCCAAAAACTCACCCAAAGTGTTTGCACTTTTCAAGAAAAAAATATCACCTTGATCTTCTCTTATCAAAATGTATGATATGAAATTTAATATTAGGTAATATTGTATTGTTTATTCAATAAAAGGTTTATCCTAAAAAACATAATATAATTTTTTTCTAAGAAATAAATCTTCTCTTATCTAAATGTATGATATGAAATGTAATATTAGGTTATATTGTATTGTTTATTCTACAAAATGATTATCCTAAAAAACATTCTATGATTTTTTTCTAAGAAATAAATCTACTTTTATCAAAATGTATGATATGAAATGTAATATTAGGTTATATTGTAATGTTTATTCAATAAAATGATTATCCCAAAAAACATAAAATGATTTTTTTTCTAAGAAATAAACTTAAAATTCTTTTTACAGATTAAAAAGATATGAACGTATTTTAACACCAAGAAAAATAGATTTAAAATAGATTAACATACAAAAATTAAATGACAATTCTATTTTTCCCGTGCAATTCAGTTTGCCTGCAGTGGGTCACTCTTCCCATATTATCATTATCATTTTCATTTTTGCATTATAGGTTTTCCAGTTGTTGAAGATAAAGAATCGGAGTATACTAACTTAGTATGAAGCAAACAGAGCAGTTGTTAAATTATCTAAAATATTTCAATCAGGTTTAGGTAATACTAAGGTTCTCTCACATTTACTTAGGAATATGAGTATTCCTGAACCACTAATTAAAAAGTAGTAAACCACTTTTTCCTAGTTTTCTAGTCATAAATCTCTATAAATAGTTTACAATATAAAACTAAAAATTGTAAAATCTATAAAAGATCACTTTCCATCTACCCTATCAAGTGGCTTGGTTTCATAGGGTATCAAACACTTAATGATATGCACTCATTGATCGGCGATAAGCCGAATGATTGGGATACGGGTAAGCGGATACGGAGGGCGCTACTCCGGTAATATTCACTTACTGACACATGTTACACATGCTCCGCACTTGATGTATGAGTGGACTAAAACCTTCCTTTAACCGTGTGTTTATTGCGTTCTGGCACAAACAAAATATATGAGCGTGGGACCTGAACAGGTACAACCTCATAGAGCCATAATATAACCGGCCCACAATTTGGTTTATTGCACCACTGGCCAAAAAAAAACTAATTGGCTATATTACAGACGGCCAGAAACCCCGATATAAGCCCCCGTTATCCCTACTATCTATATTATCTATATTTGGATTAATATTATGGCCAAAATACGCACTTATACTACTTGAACTTGCAGTCGAGATAATTCCCTAATCAAGGTTAAATATAGATTATAAATATTACAGTTTTTATATCATAAGAAGGTAATCAAAAAAACCTTTGGTAATGACAGTAAGATTTACACCCATATCAGGTTTATAAGGCGCTGATAAACCAGATTTTAATCAATTCCTGCCCGATTGCCGGTTAATATAAGTAAAAATACTTGAGATAACAAATCGAAGAGAACACTTAAGAACATGAAATATGTTTAAAATATTTCATATAAGAATTTAAGCAATATATTTTCAGGGAAATCCCGTTTAATATTCCAAGTAAACAATCCCTTATCTTCATATCGAGATACAAAAGGGGTGGAATAAAAGACGTTCTTCTGCGGTATTCACCCGTGTAACCATCGATTCCCTCAGGGGTGGTTCGAATTTGGCCACAGGATTGTACATATCTGTATAAAATAGTACAATGATTTATTTGATTCTCATTGACAATAGATTTGGAGCTCTTTGTGGATTACTCGTAGGTATAAAGCACACTATGCATGTAAGTATTATGTTTGTCTGTATAATAGATGTCAGCGCAAGTATATATATATATGTATATATATATATTATAAATTGTATATAAATATAATGTATATGTAATATGTCTGTGTATAAGTATCAATGTATTAAGTTAATTGCTTAGCGTAAAGCACAGAGAATTTTGATATGAGAATGGCTGAGAACATTCCTGCATGCGGTGCGCTCAGAGATCGGATGCGGTCCTCTGGCATCCTCCATCTTCCACTCCAACGTCCCAGTCCGCTGGGTTAACGCAAAGGCAACAACAACGAGAGAACTACAACGGAAAAATAGGCAAACAGGTGACTAGAAATGATGATAACTCTCCCTGAATTGAAAGTTGTCGTGTTGAGCTAATTCCGCCTAGTGAAAGACGTCCATGAAGGGAAAGTAGGCCTGTTCCGGCTCGAGGAGATCGACCAGGAAGCAGACGGTACCGGCCACGCCCTCGTACAGGCTGTGCGGACGATCGGGTGTCCTGGCGCGCTGCTTGAACTCCGCATCGGTCAGCAGCTCCATGAACTTGTGCGCCCTGTACAGGTACTTCATCTCGTTGGTCAGGCGGAAGAGCAGCAGGAACACATAGCCATTGCCGGCCACTCCATGACAGATGCCCGGTCCCTTGCGCAAAAAGCCCTTCTTCCAAACCATATCCGCGCAGCGACGCAGCGAGGCCAAGTACTTCTCCTCCTTGAAGATCAGATAGGCCTTGGCCAGCACATAGACGGCGCCGGGTGCGCCGTGGCACCAGTGCACCAGTCGCTTATCCCGGCCCGAGCGCAGATCCTCCAGGGCCACCGGAAAGTTGCCATCGCCGTCCTGCAGCTCCAGGAAGAAGTCAATCGAGCGCTTGATGTCGCGCAGCTCGGCGGCCGGCGCCGAAATGGGCAGCGTGCGGAACCACGGGCTGTCCAGCAGCATGTGCAGAATGGCACAAAGGCCGTGGGCTGCTCCCAGATACTCCGTACCATGGTACTGGTACATCAGCGGACACGGCGAGCTATTAATCTTGCTGTACTCCCTGCCACTGGTCACGATCAGCTGGCAAATGGATACCAAATCGTCGTCGGTGATCTTCTTCTCGGGCAGCACATCGTTCAGCCAATAGCAACCGGATAGGTAGCCTGCCCGGCCCACCAGCACCTCATCGCAGCCGTATTTGGTGTGCATGAACTCCTGGCTGGCGGGGATGCCCGATTTGAAGTTGGCCAAATCGTTGGACAGCTCCTCGGTATCCTTGAGCTCCTGCGAAATGGCCGCCGAAACGGCATAGATGCCGGCATTGCCGCACAGGAAGGAGTAGCGCTCGGCGGAGCGCTTCTTGTACCGCTTGGCATTCGCCTTGGCGTTCCGGATGAACGAGGCCGCATGGTCCAACGCCGGATAGAGATCGCGAGTCTGTTCGCAGCTGTTGAGCTTCCAGAACATAAAGGCTATGCCCGCATTGCCCACATACAGATCGCCGCGGTTGTCCTCCTCGTCGTTGTTCGGATGACAGTGCTCCAGTATGGCGTCCACATAGGTGCAGATCAGATTCTTGATGTGCTCCTCGTCGCTGGCGAACGGTGTGTTCTCACCGCCGGCGAAATCGGCGAAGGGATTCTTCAGGTAGCGGCGCTCCATGGCGAATTGCTGGCCAGGATGGGTGGTCACGAGACCCCTGGTCTGCTTGTCGTCCTCTTCGAGTGGTTTGGCAATGGCACCTAGCGAGGATTAGGGATTTGTAAGTCAAGTGTAGTCAAGAAATCGATTTGCCGGCTTTAAGGGCGCGGCCGGGCGTCTGGCCACCACCTCCTCCTCCTTTTTCTAAACTCACCTGTCTCAGGTGGCAAAGGCAGTCGGCGATTGGATGAGCAGCTCCTGGCAATTGGTCGAACCTGTGGATTAAGCGAAAGTAATATAAATTTAAGTTATTTAAAAGTTATTGTAAAAATTATACCGAAGTAGAAGTACAAGTTGTGTGTTTGTTCAGGGAACGAGAATGTTTGTCAAGTGAGTTTGGTGAGGAAAACCGTAGTGGCACTTTTCTCACCGCCACCTGAATTCCGGAAAACTTGGCGCTTCTACGGGAGAACTGGTTTCCAACTGACGAACGGCTCGAATCGAAATATTTAAATAATTCCTGGCAACGGAAACGTTCAGGTCCTTTGGAATAAAGCTGAGCGAAACATCGATGGAATATCGATAGATCACTGGTTTACTTCAGATACCGATATTAAAAAAAATATAAAATTTTAAACAATAACTATTTTATTTATATGTTTAGAAATATAATTATATAAACTATATTAAATAGGTAATTTATGTAAGAACTGCAAATTTACGGTCTTTGTGCTATCGATAACTGAGATTTCATAGACAGTATATATCGGTTAAAAGTAACGTACATAGCTATAAAGCTTAAGATTTACCAACTATTAAATGGGAGCTTTAAGAATTATTCATCCATTAATTTTTATATTTAAAAATAGAAGCAATATTTGTATGTAATATAAAAGTTATTCTCCTTAATATTGAACAAACTATTTAATAGAAGCTTTACAAAATATTCATTCATTAATTTTTATATAGAAGCACTATTTCTATATTATATATTTAAAAAAAAGTAATTCTCCTAGTTTATTTACTCATATAAAATTTCTCAAAAAAAAAACAAAATTTATTAGATTTTGCTTATCAACTCGATCGGTTTATTTCAACAACAGTATAAATATATATCAGAGGGTATTATCCTTGCATCACATGTTTCTGTTCAGTGCTCACTTCCTGCGCTGCCCGCCACTCAAAATGGTGACGATACGGATGAATATGTTCAGGACATCCATGTAGATCGACATTGAGCTGAAAGAAAGAACCGATTTTAAATGGTTTCCAGAATGATTAAGGCTACAACTCACGCATTGATGGGATCGAATTGGTTGTAGCTGTACTGGGGATGCATCTCGGCACGGCGCACCATCCGCTGGGTGTCGTACAGCAAGAAGCCGCTGAACAGGACGAGACCGCCGTACAAGGACATGGAGGCCAGACCTGCGAAAAGCGAGATTTAAAGGGGTTACCGATGCTTGCAAGTTCACAAAAAAGGGGGTTACCACACCTTAAGATTTAAAATAAAAGTAACTTTCGTGAATTTTGTAAAGAAAGCAAAATTTGGTAATTTAAAATTAAATTTCAACACTAATTGGAAAAAGACAACAAAAATTTGTTTTTTTAGAAAATGTGCCTTTAAATCTAGACATCTTCTATATTTAAAGGCAATTTAATTAAAAACAAGGAAAAGGATGGCAATTCAAAGGCAAGATTTCTAAATTTTAGAAAGCATTTTTTATGAGTGTGGTAGCCCCCATTTGAAAAATCCTTATTTTTAAGCTAGAATCTGTAGACTTACCCGCTCCCAACGCCGTGGTGGGCGGCAGCCACATGGAGGCCAGCGAGGAGGCGAACACAACGCCCAAACCGATGGCCAGGGGTCCGCCCATGTAGAGGAACTTGTCGCTGGGCGCACACACGGCGATCGTGGACAGGCCACCGACAATGCCGCCCGTATAAAGCGCAGCGCGCGTGAGGATCGGTCCGCCCATGAAGCAGATGGGTGCAATTACGGCGCCCAGAATGGCGCAGTGCACTGCCCAGGCCAGATGCTTGGCTCCCAGACCCGGCTGGTATTCAATGGAGCGGGCCACCGCCCCGCTGCCGATGACCAGAGCCAGCGAAGCGATGGTCGCCTAAGCGGATAGAGTCGAAGGGTTGTGTTATGTTGTGTTGTGTTTGGTTTGCATGCAGTTAATAGCTCCGAAACTCACCAAGATGCCGCCACGAGAGGCCAGCTCCAGGAGGCGGTGCGAGCGGAAGACCGCAGCTGCGGCGGCTGCGGTGAGGACACAGGAGCCACCGAAAAAGGCATAGGTGCTCTGGATGCGATCCCTCACATACTGGGGCCACATGCTAGAAAGTTAAGGAGGAAATATAGTTATTATACGGAGTGGTTCACAGCTCACAGCACATTGTAAAGGTTAAATGAATTAAAAACTCAAGGGATCTTGAAATATAATTGAATTTTTGATTTAACTAAAGAAATTACCCATGGGAAATGCATATTTTTACGCAGTTTCAGCTTATCCAGAGCTGTCGAGAGCTTATGATTATGAATTAAAGGCTTCTTAACATTAGCACAAAACAAAATTGGAAGTCAGCATTACGAAAAAATGCTTTACTTGGCAAATTAATTAATAACAAATATTTGTAAAATATTTAAAAAATCAGAAAATTATTAAACACTAATGTGTATCATTTTAGATGTATTCTGCGTTGAAATTATTGTAATAACTTGCTTTCTTTAGTTTTTATGGGCTGTTAAATTTTTTGGTGCAAACTTTTTTAAATAATAATAAAGTGGTGTCGAAGTACTTTTACAGAAATGAATGTAATTTAAGGTATTTCATGCAATGTGTTTTTGGGACATCATCCTTAACATCCGAGATATTAAACCACTCACATGGCGTTGTCGGCGATGCTGGTGTGCTGGCCCAAACCCACACCGTAGTAGCACAGGGCGCCCAGTCCCACGGCGGCTGCTCCGGCGGCGGCGCCCTTGCCCATGGAGTAGGCTGTAAAAAGAGATCATGGATTACAGATGGCCAAACGGAGGAGGAAGAGCCTTACCATTGGCACCCGGCGGACCCATCAGCTTTTCCTTGAGCGAGGGAGCCCTGGCCTGTGGGTGCTCCACGGGGGCACGGGTGCGGACGGGGCCACGGGCATAGCTGCGCACTGCGGTCAGGCTGGGATTGGGATTGGCCCGGAACAGCTGGGCCGGGGATTGGGCCAGGATCTTGAGACTTCCCGATGGACGGGCGGTGGAAAGTGCCAGACGCAGCAACATTGTGTTGTTGTGGTGAAATACGGATGGACTGCGAGGGATTCTCCTTTTCCACGGGTGAGTGTTACTTAGCTTCGATTAGGATTTTGATTCTGATTCGGTTTGGAAATCGTATGTACTGCGTGATTAGTTAACTGCTGTTTAATAACTTGTTGTTTCGTTGCAATAATTTTATTATTTTACTGTTTCTTTGGCTGTGCTATCGATGTCTGGGGCTATCGTTATTCGATAAGTCAAGGCGATGTTTTGATATCGATATCATAACGTGCCATGCGTGTATTATATCGATATGCCGCCCAATTTGAAAACCAAGCGAAAGAATTTACATTTTTTTTTAGAAATATTAGTTTAAATGGGTGAAAGAAATGATATATGTGCTGACAAATTTTCATTAATTTTTGATTGTTATTAAATTAAATTAAAAATGAATTAAATGGGTGAAAGAAATTATATATTTCTTTTAAATGGGTGAAAAAAATGATATATTTGATGAAAAAATTTAACTAATTTTAGCATATTATTACCAAAACAAATACAAATAGTACATCTTCAATAACCTTTATTGTATTCCTTCAAACCCAAAGTTAAATATTACAGCTGCACTAGGAACTAACTAATAATAAGAGCACATATTTCCAGGCCTCTTTTCACACCTGATACTTTCTCGCCGGCGCCGAGGGAATCTCGTCCAGACGCCGTCCTCGGTGGTCAATCACTATCAACTCGGAGAGATGTTCAGATATCAGGGTTCCGTAGTGATTGTATGTGCTGGTCTGCTCCAGGTTGCCACCGGAATGGGACTCGTAGGTCTTGCACTCATACAGTGGGCAGCAGCGGGGATATTCCGAATTTTCGTCCTTGGATGCAATCCGTTTGCAGTCGCCCTTCGTCAGATTCGGCACCTGGCAGCTGGATTGCGGATGATATAATGATTTCAGGGATATATGATCGACTCACCTGTCCTCCCAGAGCTGCAGCGTTTCCAGGCACTGCACCCGGACGCAATGATCCTGCCGCGTGATGGCCTGACCCACGTAGAGCTGCTGCCCCGTCAGGGTATCCATACAGAACTGGTGATTGTACACATTATAGGGAGCGGGAGCTATGGAAAAACCACATTAAACCATCATTTAATCATTGAGACTTTCCATCTATTTCGTTTCTTACCGCGATAGGGCGTTGCTCGGCCCTCCCCGATCACCGATGACATCAGCAGGACTATAAAGATCTCGAAATTAATTGACTCCATTTCGGTTTTGGGGATTTTTCGACAAATCTGATCGGATCGGCAGACAGAATAGCCCGACGTTTTCAAAGTTTAGCGCACAACTGAGGTCCGTGCGGTTAATCTTTCTCCATTTGTAGGTATATTAAAAAACACAAAGTACGATGCTCATTCGTATGGAATCGCACACTTACGACATTTGCGCGCTTTCTCTACAATAAATTTAACAAATTTTACTCGGATCTGCTGAATGTTTATGCGAACAAGAGCAATAACAGTGCGTTTCATACATATTGGGACATCACAATCTGAACGAATATATGAGGGTAAAATTTTTATAAACATCCTTAGGTTATTTAAAATAAATATTTCAATAAGATTATTTCTAATCAAACATAAAAAAGGATACAAATAAAATGTTTCAATGCATTATAACTTAAAATAAAAGGAAAATTGGTTTGAAGAATCTATTGTGCAATTTATTTAAATATTTATATATTTTATTTATTTAATGTAAGAATTATTAACATTTATGAAACGCACCTTTAGATGTTGTGCTTATCTCCTCACAGCAATAAAAGCAGGAACAACCATTCATCGCAATATGCAAAAAAAAGTAAGTATCGATCTATGGTGTGTGTATAAGTATGTACAATGTCTGACCTGTTGTCTAATCAGTCTATTATATATGTACATATGTTGCTCAGAGCTTATAAAAATAAAGGCGATTGAATATTTATTTAAATAAATTAAATTATTAAATTAAATATTATTAATAAAACCATTTGTTTCCAGAACTTTAAGCAAAGATTTATTTTACTAATTATTTAAAATATTGAAATTGGAGTGGAATGAATTGAAAAAAGTTATTCTTTGGTCTTCAATAAAATGTTTATTTCCTCTTGACCGCTGCTGTACATTTGTTTACGCATTGGATCTTTAAAGTTCAATTCCCAAAAAATTGTTTATGTTTTGATTTGCTGTGCTATACCGCTGGCTCCGGCGATCATGATCATCCAATGCCATAAAAGCCATTATGCAGACAGTCGGGCACTGGGGCAGGAATGACTCACCACTGGCAGTTCTTAAAACTAATTCGGCTGAAGGAAGTTCTGAAATACACATGAAATAATCAATGACTAAGCTGCATTGCAAATAATTTATTTGTATTTAGTTGGGTATTTTAATTTTGATGGTAAAATTTTGTTTTGTAAATAATATATACAAACTTCCAATGTTTTTTACTTGGAGTTCTAAAAGTATTCCATCGAAGTGTTTCATTTCAATTTACCTATCTCACAGCTCATTTGTATTTTCCGGGAATTTCCCCTTTTGGAAAATGCGGGAATCCAATTTACACGTGACGACAGACGTAATCCATCAGCGGATTCATTGAGAACCGCTGGGGAATATAGGGCCACATCCCATCCCAAGTGGCTAATCAGTGCATCGTCTAATCTATTATAGAATTTTTCAAACGATTAGAGCCAATGCGATGATCCCAACGATGACCCCAACGAGGAGACTGGATTTTGGGTGAAATTCTGTGGGGAAATGTGCGCACGAGTGCAGCTTGGATTTCTGTGGGACATCTTTTCCGGCGGCCAAATTTATAGGCAAGCCACTTGAACTTGAAGTCGGAAACGGAAACTGTCACGAATGCCTTTTTCTCACTGTCCATTTTCAGCCATCAATTTCAGCAGACTGAGTCATCATTTGCAAAAGTTAGTGTCCAATAAAGTTTCCTTGCGTGTTTCGAGTTCGTACAAAATAGTTGCATATTTTTAAGCTTAAAAGGCTTAAGTTAAGACAATCTCCAAAAAATTAACGAAATATTTAATGTTTGTTTTAAGAATAAGTAAATAGTGCACTGAGAAAATAGTTTCTTAAGCTGAAGGTGCAAAGTGAAATAAAAAGTTATAAATTATAACATATAAAAAAAAAGTCTCACAAATAAAGCAAATAGAATACATTTTCATTTAAACGTGTAATTAATTGTTTACCATTCACCATTTATTTTAATTAAATCCTAATAGTTTTTTACAAAGCTTGCAGTGATCCACTTACTTGTTTTTTTTAAAGAATATGTACACTTAAAGCGATTTATCCCGCATAGAATTTTTGATGACTTTATTTTCCTGATTGAATTTAATTATTTTCGAACATCTACTGTTGCATGTGATCAATTAGCTTCAATAATCAATTTAGAAGTAATGTGAATGTTTAGTTAAATGTGTTCATAGTGAATCAGCTGAACAATTAAAACAAAGCTCCCATGACTTTTATTTATTAGGGAATATGTATAACTGCAAAAAGCGGGCTGGCAAGTTAATTTGGCCTATCCATATGCCGTTATTGTTTTCAATAAATTTAATTGTATTGTGTGATCAGTGTTCGTGTCGCATTATTTTTGTCACCATATTGTGCAGTTTTCTTTAGGGAAACTGTAGATTTGATCCTATGTTTACAACCTCTAGTTAAGCATTCCTTGTAGGCTTGTACATACACATGTGAATTAAAAACAATTAAGCTTTTGCGAAAAGTCTTCTATAGTTTGTGAAGCATATTTTGCTTTAACCTCCATAAACCATTTTTTATGTACATATATAAACTGCCAATAAGCTTTATCGTTTTTATATTTTAATTGGCTTTAAATCTGTACTTTAAGGGATAAAGATAAAAGTTTTACACAGAAAACAAAATATACAACGTAATGACTTTTCATTTAATTGTTTGAAAAGAAATTAAAATAACAACATTATATAACTTTTGTTTTTTTTGAAATAACTTATAATTTAATTTTTTGTTAATATTATAATTTCAATATAAATATTAATTTCTTATATTATATTCATTTTATTATTTTGGGAATAGCCTAAGGCCCCGTAGCTATAGCAAACTTAAAGTTCGCCTGTAAATTTTACATTATAGCCGAACATATCATAATAATAATAAAAATAATATCTTGGGTGATTTGTTTATGATGTGATTTGTGATGTGATTCACCTTTTAAACAAGAATACCTCTTAACAAGGTACAAATTAGTGACGATCGCGCTAAAATAAATAAATCAATATATGCATATAGTAATTATACCGTTTAATTTTAACTGTAATTTAATCCGAGCTTTGTAGTAGCTTTCAAGCCAAGACTAGAACCATTCTAAGGTAATACGAGAAATCTTCTACGATGAACTATTCGGATAATACCTTTACCTGAGGTAATGTGCTATCAATTTCCCCCGGATTTTTGAAAACTTATTTTAATGTTGAAAATTTTTGGGGACCTACATACGGATTCTGGCGGATCTTAGATATTATATAAAAGATCTTACAGAGCATTCTTTTAATTCGAAATAGGTGAAAAAATTGGATTGCTACAGGGTTTTTAATGAAGTATTTAATTTAGAGTGATCTTGAATTACAACTAAAATAATTTTTCGGATTATATTATTTTTAAGGGTATTTAATGAACGGCCAATGAACTAAGCAGCGTTATTACTTAAGCTTTGACCCAAAGAAAAAAGAGAGCTGAGCTCCGTTCAGATCCAGTTTAGGGGTTGGATCCTAATCGTGACTTGACCGCAGCCAATACGTCACCGAAAAAAGAAAAGAGCGCAGAAGATGATCAATGGGTTCGGTTCGCTGAGGTTCGTCTCGTCTCGACTCGTTTCAGTTTCAGTTTCAATTTCGGTTGTATTCGGTTTCCGATTCACAAATTCTCCAATTCTCAAACTGAACTGGGGGTTGGACTTGGACTTGGGGCTTGGTTAAAACCCGCCGCTCGCCGGCAAATCAGTTCTGCTCCGATCGCGCCACTGCGCACTACGTAACGCTCATAAATTCAGACTCGGATATCTGCGACATTTCGTCGAGTGAGTGGCGCTCTTGTTCTCTCGCACAGAAAGTATTCTTCTGCCAAGCAAAATTTATACCCATATTATTTTAATACACTCGAAAAGATACAAAGTGTGTGGACAAGATGGACATGGTTTTTTTTAGTGACCACTTGCGAGTCGGTCGTATTTTTTTCTCGTGCATCTCGTGTTTCTGTGTGTGAAGTAGCTTTTGAGTTGGGGCAACAACTGCAACAATAAAATGCAATTAAGCTGCTCAAATCAACAATAAATTGAATTAAACCGCGTCAACAACGCTTAACAACTTCAACGACGAGCTGAGCGAAATGTGGGTGAGAGTTTAAGGCTCCAAACTCCCCGGTTCTCTGGTGACTTTTGACTTCCAACGGCCGATGAATATAAATATATGTATTTCATACGATACATTCGACCCTCCGCCTTCAAACTAATTAATGCAAAACGCTGGCCGGCATTTGCATAAAGTTTCTGAATAACTTTAATGCAATTAATCCGCTGTGATCTTTCATGTTTTCACTATTTCGCGCGGTTTATTCAATTTTAATTTTAATTTCAATTTCAATTTATTTTGGTTTTTTTGTTGTTATTTTTGTTATTTTCCCCCGGTCTAGTCTGCTCGGCGAGCGATTTAATTAACATTTTCTGTGCGCCGCTGTTGTTCCTGGTAAATATGAAATTAAAGTGCAATTAACTACTATTTTTTTATTATTACTCGGACTTTTTTTTTGTTCGCTGCTATGAACTTGCGGCCAAAGGGATTTCCGTTTTTGAAAGAGACTCCGCTCGATTATTCTCCGTCCGGCGAATGTGTTTGCATCTTAATGAGGATAAATTTGTTATGGTCGCTCCCCTTGTTGTTGTTGTTGCTATTGTTATTGTTATTGCTGTTGTTGTGGGGGCGGCAAAATGGGGGCGTGACTTATTGGCCATGCATTACGCCATGTTAATTGAAACTTGTCGCTTGGCTGGCTGATTATGCAGACTGGATATTAATTGGACCATGGCCATGTCCTGTGGATGAAAAGTGCCAGTCGGATGGGTTGCAAATGGGTATTAGAATGGGTATGGGTATGGGTTATGGGATCTGGATCCAGTTTTCCAACACGATGTGCTTAGATCATTAGGATTCTGGCTCATCGATCTGGGGTTCGATTGTGTTTACCCGAGAATGTTCATTGAACCTTTGAGCTGCATGTGAAATAAGTTGTTTGCAATTTATCATATCTCTATTAGATGGGGTACATTCACTGGGGAAAGTGTTTTGCAGTTTTTATTATATTTCCAATTTTCATTTTAATTTCTTATTGTGCTTTTTAGAGTGAAAAAGTTATATAATTGTTTTATTAATAAATTAAAATGGAACAAAATTTATTAAATAAGTGAAAGATAATATTATGTTTTGATATGAAATTACTTTACACCGAATAAAAATTATCATAGAAACTTAACTATTGGTACATTAATTCTGACCTATTGAGTTTCAAAAATATCTTAATAAGATGAAAATAAACATAAAAACTTTATGATATTTAGTATGAAATGAATATTATATGATTAATTTTTATATTATTTAGTTATATTTCAATACCACACTTTTATACTGTACCTAGAATTTTTTATAAATACAATGATTTTTAAGAGTTAAGCTGTTGTTTTTTTTTTGTGTATCTATTATAAATTTAATATATCCATATCGTTTATCATTGTAAAAATAAATGGAGTATAAGCACTGAAATTTAATTTTAATTGATGGCTTGCCAAAGATGGCAGTAATACTGAACATTGTAAGGGCAGAATTGGCACATTGTAAATACAGTACTTGCCTTCCCATTAATTGGAGATAACTTGGTGTAATGATATATTGTAAATATTTGCAAATTACTAGGTTCAGTCTCAGTACGCAGCTGTATTTATATGTTCATTCAAAGTGACTTGTGTATTTATCAAATTAATCATTTTAAATCGACTTTTTGGCCCAACTTAATTACAAAATGTAGTGATCTGGTGAAAATGTACTTTATTTTACTTTTGTATTTTATATCTGAAAAACCTATAACAAAATGTAATAATATTTTTTATAGGGTATCCAGAAAATAGATCTTTTTCAGTCACTTTCTCGTTCTGAGTTTTTGGAATTTGCATAACATGGAAATTAACTTGTGCACCGTACTTTTCCCATTGAATTGGTTTTTTGACTTTGAGATTTCAAATTTTAATTTTATTTCAATTTTGTTTGTTTTAGTTTCTTTTTCAGTGAAATGCGGCACTAAAATGTAAATGCGAGCGAGGAACCGAACGAGAATCGAGTGAACGATAGAAATTGGAACCCAACTTAAAAGGCCGCGAACTCGGGGTGAAGGTCGATTCGATGACTATGTTTTGGCACCAAAATGTAGATCAACAGCCGGATGAACAGGACAAACAGCCAAAGAGCTCCTCTCCCACGAGGAGGCTGAACATCAGCTTTAATGTGAAGATTGCGGTGAATGTGAACACCAAGATGTCCACCACCCACATAAATCAGAATCAGCAGCCCAGCAGCTCCGCCTCCGCCGAGAAGTCGCCCAGCAAGATTGTGGTCCACCAGCAGAGCAGCACCTTCGATCTCCGCCAGCAGTTGGCCCGCTTGGGCCGCCAGTTGGCCAGCGGTCAGGATGGCCACGGCGGCATATCCACAATCCTGATCGTCAACCTCCTCCTGCTGATCCTCCTCTCGATCTGCTGCGACGTCTGCCGCTCCCACAACTACTCGCTTCATCAGAGTCCCGAGCCCGTGGCCAAGGACCAGATGGGCCTGCTGCGTCCCAAGCTGGACAGCGATGTGGTGGAGAAGGTGGCCATCTGGCACAAGCACGCCGCCGCAGCGCCGCCCAGCATTGTCGAGGGCATCGCCATCAGCAGTGGCGGGTCCCGGGCCAAGGATCTCCCACCCCCAGAGGATCCCCATCCCCATTCGCATCCTGCGGAGGAGCAGCACGGAGTCGACGAGCGGGTGGTCCTCGAACGCGTCACAAGGGACTGTGTCCAGCGGTGCATTGTTGAGGTGAGTGCGAAAATCATTTATTCAGGGGTATTACGGAAATTTATTTCAATAAAAAATCAAATTCCTAACAAGTTTCTTTAAAAATCGATTCTGTGCTATTTTAAAACTAAATCGACAAATTTTTAAAATATAAGTCAGTGGTGTTTTTTAAGGGTAGTTTTAGGGTAGAGTAATAGGGTATATTGTATTTCATTCACTGCCATTTTGTTGTGCTTTTAATACATTTTGAAATGTAAAAGAACATTTTAAAATCGGAACATTCATTTAAAAGTTATGAGCAAAAAATCACTTTCCCCTAGATGGCGCCACTTTTAAGCAACTGCTTGTATATCTCAACCTCTCTTACACTTATTTAGCTGAATAGCGGGTTAGTAATTTTTCTTTATTTAAAAAAATGTCCTTAAGAGCTGAACATTTAATCGGCATTGTCTTTAAATTTCTAAAATTCTGTGCCCATACTTTTTTGAAAGCAGGATTAGTTATGGGGAAGAATTACGTTTTTTCTACATTCTTTGAATAATTTCGTTAATTCAGAATTAAGAAAACAGAAATTTTTAAAATGGGTACAAATCGATCTGAAGTATCCTTGTTTACTTTTTAATCTGCGAGGCAATCCCAGACTTTTTCCATGACAATGTCAAAACAGCTGAAGAGAAATAATCGTGCCCTCCCGAAAAAGTGACGGTTGCATTAAAGAACTAAAAATAATGCATGCAGTTTCTCAGGGCTACGGCAAAAAACATCCATCATCCGTCACCGAGGAAAAAGCGGCGCTCGGGTGCGAAATGTTTATTTCTAGTTTTGCATATGTCAACGATATAATCAGAAAACAATCTGAACAAGTGCAATGCGAGTTTGCTACATCATCACGTAGCCCAGCTTTTTCTTTTTTCTCGTCGCTTGTTTTGTGGAACTTTACGGACTGGTTAATTCAATTGGGTTGAATGAATTCTCCAATTGTTCAGTGGCCGTTAATCGCTCACTTGCAGTGCTAATTAAATGATATGTATAATTGAAGATCGTCAAGTCGGCGATTACGCCTGTGGGCTGGATGAAGTGCCATGCCAGAGTTGACATTTCAATTTGCCGGCTTGCTGGTTTGCTGGATTCCCAGATCGGGATTAGAATCTTTGTCATTATTTGGGTTACCCGGCTTTATTGCAATTTGCATACTGAGTGGGTGTGTTTTATCTATCATTTGGCATTTGTGCGATGTCGCCTGCTCGCACCAAATGGATACCATGAATATGGATATGGCACCCAAACACCCAAATTGCCGTCTCAATATTTAGTTTAATTTTTTTTCCTATGTTTCACTTATTTTCTCTTCATATTTTTTATTAATGTTCTTTTCGTGGAGCGCCAAATTACAAATGTTTTTAATTATGCAGGCGCTCGGCTCGGACTTTTCGTTTATTTTGTACATTTTAATTCATGCTTTAATTGCAACTGGCTAAGTGCACAAAGCGGATTCGTTAATGGAAAATCCTTCTCATTGTTTAAACTTTGTTCTCTAAATAGATTTGTTTAGATTCCGTTTTGAGCTTTAAGTTGTTTTATGGTAATGAACAGTTGGGGGCTATTTATAAGTATTTAGAAAGTTATAGGTAATAAAAACAGCCAAACACAGCTTTCAATTTGGATGAATTACAATTGGAATGTAAACCTTTTTTAAATTTTAAGAAGTACGGAAGCTTTTCAACTCTATTAAATTACAAAAATGTTAAATTTAGATTTAATATTACATCAAATAAAATTACAGCTAATTTCGATCCTTCCTATGGCAGCTTTATAAAATTGTCGTCCGAATTTTGTTAAATTTAATTCATTATTTTAAAATGGTAAGGAAAGGCTGCATTCCAGAAAAGAAGTGAATACAATAAAAAATCCACAAATAGGTATATAATTTCAGGAACCGAAAATACCGGTTATTGTTTTCTTCCAAAAAAAATCATGCACACATTTGTAAATACACCAATATTTTTGTTAGCCGTTGTAGTTTACATTTCCGCAATAAAACTAACGCGATTTTAACTTTTACGCGAAATAAATGAATATTTTTGGCATTATTGTTCTGAAACCAACTTCTGAACCCATTTCTTTTATCGAAATGTTCACGATTACAAGGCAGAATATTTAGAAGGGTTGGGGTTGGGGTAGTAATTACTTCAAGAATTACTGCGTGGCAGTGCGTCAGCAATTCTGCCTCCGCATATTCCACTGAGCAAATGTGCGGACAGTAATTACTATATTATTATCGGAGAGTGTGTAATAGGAGTAAGCTGCATGTTAATCTGTGGCTCGACTTGCACTTCATTCATTAGGCAAGCGCCATTCCAGTAATCCGCAACTCGACACTCCAGCCTTCGCCAATTAAAATTAATGATAACTGAGCGACTACGTATGGGATTGGGAATGTGAGATGGAATTGCGAATTTGGGAGGGGATTGTCGGGGAATAGGATTTGGAATCCAATAACCATAGAATTGAAATTTTATTTTGATTTTTAAGAATCAATATTAATTTCAAATTCGATTTAATCATTTATTAATTGTTCTGTTTTTTACTGGCTTCTACAGAACAAAAAAAAGGATAATTTATACAATTATAATACAAATAAATACAATATATTTAAACTCAATTTAAAGCTATTAATTATTTTGTAAAAAAACCGGCATGTTAATTGCCGTTTTAATTCAAGTCTTGATTACGCTTTTGAGTTGGTTTTATGACTCCGGCTAATCGTTTAAGCTGGCCACTCATCCCCGGAATAAACTAGACCAAAGCTCCGTGTGCAAGCAGTAACTGGATTTCGCATAGCCTAGAAAGGCGATGCGAACAAAAGAAATTTTATTAAGATGTTTTGCCTTGTTGGAATCGAGAGTGAGCTAAATGTTTAGTCAATTTATGTGTACGGGTATATGTAGGTGGGCCCGGTCCCTACAATTGGGGTCCAATTGATAAGAGTGCGGTTCTGAAAAATGAACAGTTTATAGTAGTAAAGTAATTGTTTTTTGGTGAGTAGTTTTATTGGAAACAAATGTGTTTATGTGAATTTTTTATAAATAACAGAAATATTGGTTTTATATCAGGTGCATTACCTTATAAAATTAGAGGAATTTTAGATAGTCCTTGATTAAATTTTCTTTAATAAATTTATTTATTTTTTTATTTATTTTTTCGGGATCAAATTGATATGCACATGGTAAATTATAACTAATTTTATTTATTCGAAATAGAGCGGGAAAGCGATAAAGATATTCGCAATCCGAACTGGCCTGCTTAGAACCAGTCGTTTACATATCGAGCATATCGAATTGACATGCCGCATATCAAATCAATTTTTTTTGGGCTTAGATGTAACCAAATATATATTTTTTTTTTGCAATTTTCAAATACTAGGATTTGAAGCGATGCTGTGTTCGTCGGCACACAAGTGTGTTTTCTTTAGCTTGCTTTTCCAGAGCCTGACGGCAGCAACAACAATGGCACAATAATGGTGTCAATAACACACCAACCCAGTCTGGCGGCCTTCCACCCGCCCCGCCCCCTTTTCAGTGTGTGTGTGTGTGAGTGGGTCGGTTTCCGAGTTAATGTAATAGAAATTGTACAACAAAAGATGAGCAATGACGACATGAAAACCCCCAATGCCAATTAGTCTCGAGCCCCAGGCTCAGGCTTTCGTCTTTTTCTCGAGCTTTATTTCGCCTCTCCCTCTCTTTTTTTTCTTTTTATTTATTTACTTTTTTTTTTTTTTAAGAGCAGGGAAGAGCTTTAATTCTGAAGAGCTATTTCTGTTTGTGAAAAAGCCAATCAAGCTAAATTAATAAAATATTACGTAGAATTCTAAATTAAATTGACGCGTGTGCGAAAAAAAGGAAAGTACAAACACCAGAAAAATACTTCGAGAGTGTGTTTGTGTGGCTGAATGAGGGAAATCCGAATCCGTGTGCATGAGGCGAAATCCCCTGGCAATTACTAGTCCATTTAGCAAGCCAAGGCAACACAATTAACAAAGTTGGCCATTTTAAGGAGTTTGTAATTGTTGCAAGGGGCAGCTCCAAATGAGCTAAATTGTATTTTAAGTAGGGGAGAGTGGGGGAATTTCGTCACAGGGGCAATTTCGTCACCTGCAATATCTCGGAATCCATAAGTCGTAAAAATATATAATTTTTTTGTTTTAGTCCTTCAAGACGGCCAGACACAACCAATGCATTTGTTTTGCACAGAAGGCCAAGATAATTAAGCTATAATATTAAATGTGTTTTAACAGTTCAAAAGCTACATTTAGTTCTCGACGACATTTTTTCTGTATGCCACAATTCAAAAGGAATAAGATACACGATTTTTTATATAATACACAGTGCTATAATGTGCATTCCTGCGTCAGTGATTTTTAACTTCGCGCCTATTTTCGCAAGAAAAATAATTATTTCTAAAAAAGTACGGTCTGGGGAAATTTCGCCACCCTACGCTAAGGGTAACTTCGCACCTATTTTAAATACATATTTTTATATTTGACGAGCTGGCTAACGAACAGACTACCAGCAGCAGCAACAAATATAGGACGTCAACAAAAATGGTACGCTTGATCTGTGTAGCATATTTTCAGGCGTTAAACTCCCTACATTTTTCAGGTGACGAAATTTCCCCAGTTGTGTGGTGATTTTACCCCCCTGTGTGGTGAGATTGCCCCAGTATATTGGTTTTACATTTTATTTTTTTATAAATCACCAAGCTAATTAAAAAAATAGGGGAATGTCACATTTTAAAGCTTGGTGCTAACCGCATTCAACAATAAAAATAGAAATATGATAACGTGTCTCAAGATGGACAAAAAATAGCTTTGAAAAAATGCTGACGAAATTCCCCCACTCTCCCCTACTGGTTTTTATTTTTTGAGGAAAGAACTTAAAGGATTGGGGATTTAATGGAAATAAAATTCAAAGTAGAGAGTAGTTTTTACTCACAAAGAGTATATGCATTTTACTTACAACAATTTTGTAATATAGGCATTGGATACCTACATATATTTTAAATTTTAGATTTATTAATATAATTTTTAATATTTTTAAAATAAATAAAAAAACACCATTTAAGAAAAAAGAAAAATTACTTTATTTAAAATTTGTTTTTAATTTATCAGATACTTTTGGAACTATCATAAATTTAAGAGTTTTGTTTACACTCTTCTTGATTTTTCCACACTTGAAATTCTTTTTTGGCTACCATCCAATTGCTGTCACAGTTTGTTAACTTTTATGTTTTTCTTTTTAACGATTTGTTGGGCCTTTTCGAATATCTTTAAAAAATGTCTTTAATTTTATTATTTGACCATCTTCAAGTTTTGCATGGCTGACCCCGTTTCGAGCCGGCCCGTCTAACCCTTGGCTGGTCAAAGTCCAGGGTATGCAAATAGACTTTTGGCTCGCGATATCTGCGCGGTTCACGTGGTAAACTTGTTTCTATCAAATTTATGCAATGCCAGCGGTTCTCGGAAATCCAATTTCAATGCGACAGAAAAAGATATAAACAAATATATATACAAAGCACATTTAATCGAGAGTATATTTCTGTTTATGCTATTTGCGAAGCTCAAAGTCTTTCCCTGCTCCCCAATGATAATTGATCGAAATAATTGAGATATTGGCATTGGCACAGAATTCGCACTTTAATTGTCATTTCTATTGCTGTAGATATATATAAATATATATATATGTTTGTGTAGTACCTATATATGCGGTCATTCGGCCACACAATTCCCAGGCAAACTTACCGCAACTTCCGTTCCCAAGAGTTTAAAAGCCCAAAAGCCCACAAAATACTAAATGCTTTCACATTTTTTCACAACTTTTATTTTCATTTTTGCTTTCCAGGAGGATCTGTTTCTGGACGAGTTTGGGATACAATGCGAGAAGGCGGACAACGGCGAGAAGTGCTACAAAACACGAGTAAGTCAGAGACTCCAGGGAGCCAGAGGCCCTGAAATGGATAGCTATAAGTAACCCGAAACCTCTGTTCGCACTCAAGGGTTAACTGGTCAACCTGAGGAGTTAACCCTTCTTGCCAGAATTGCATCAATCAATTGGACACAAACTCAAAGTGCATTATCCTCTGCCAGTCGTGCTCCTTTTCCAAACAACTGAGGAAGCCATCGAACAGGATCCTCATGATCACTCTTTTGGCTGATTTCGCTGCCATCCTGGCCTCCTTTTTTACTTCCCCGTTTAGCGAACTGCTCTTGTCCATTAGGGATATTTTTCACTTGACGATTAATTTTATGAGCTATTTGTGTAGCTATAAAATGGCTAGGAATCGAAATTTTTTGTATTGATGGGATTTGATTGATTGTAGTTTACATTTATTATTAATTTGATTCTGATTTTTGACATGTAATACAAAGTTAATGCAAAACATTTAGTTTTTAAGGGAATATCTTAAGAAACGAACAAATATTTTGAAAGGTGTACATTTTTATGTTGTCCATAAGGGAATTGGAATTATTTATTCATCAAGGAAATAAACATATGTAATAAAAGTCTGACAAAAGCTCTTGTAAAATCCTTTAGGAAAGTTGCTTTCTTTTATCTTTTTTTTTCCCCTATTAATCTGTATTTCAATTTTTTTCTAGCAACGATGTAAGCATGGCAATTTCTAAGCTTAAATAAGGGAAATTAAATATATATTCATATTTCCTAAAAATATATCATAATTTCATGAAAATGAATTAGCCCTGAATATCGTTATTTTCCTTTATTTTATTTATTTTCGCAGTGCACCAAGGGCTGTGCCCAGTGGTATCGCGCCCTCAAGGAGCTGGAATCCTGCCAGGAGGCCTGTGTAAGTGGCCAGATCTAAGCCCAAACCCAAACCCACATCCAGTTTGACCCCGATCGTTGTTTCCCCAGATGTCGCTGCAGTTCTACCCCTTCGACATGCCCTGCATCGGTGCCTGCGAGATGGCCCAGCGGGACTACTGGCACCTCCAGCGCCTGGCCATCAGTCACCTGGTGGAGCGGACGCAGCCCCAGCTGGAGCGGGCACCGCGGGCGGACGGACAGACCACGCCGCTCACCATCCGCTGGGCGATGCACTTTCCGGAGCACTACCTGGCCAGCCGGCCATTCAACATTCAGTACCAGTATGTGGATCAGCAGAAGCAGGAGCAGAAAGCCGGGCAGGAGGACCAGGTGGCCAGTTCCTGGTTCAATCTAGCTGACTACGACTGCGATGAGTATTACGTCTGCGAGATTCTGGAGACCCTCATTCCCTACACCCAGTACAGGGTAAGATTCAGCTAAGGAATAAATATCTATCGAATGAAATATATATCTATATATCCTATATGCAGTTCCGCTTCGAGCTGCCCTTTGGCGAGAACATGAACGAGGTGCTCTACTCCCCGGCCACGCCCGCCTATCAGACGCCCCCCGAGGGCGCCCCCATCTCGGCGCCGGTCATCGAGCACCTGCTGGGCCTGGACGGCAGCCACCTGGCGGTCCACTGGCATCCGGGACAGTTCACCAACGGACCCGTCGAGGGATACCGCCTGCGCTTGAGCCACGCAGAGGGAAACCGCACAACCGAGCAGGTGAGCCATCCACCTACTTTCTTTTGGAACTTAAAAACATAGCCTTGTCCGTATGTCCGTCCGTTATACGGACAAACGCTGAGATCTCGGAAACTAAGTTTGTTTGCCATTTTTAGCAAAAAATCGTGATGGTAACCTAATCAAAAATGCAAAAATTGGTAAAAAATTAAATTTTCCCAAAAATTATGATAAAAATCAGTTTTTTTGCCGAAACAAAGGAAATAATAGCCCAAATATGGAATGTCATACCTTGTTGATCTCTTAGCTTAATTCTGACTCGATTTGTGTTCGAATCTGGACATTTTAATTTTTTGCCATTCTTAGCAAAAAAAAAATATGCAAAAATTGGTAAAAAATTAAATTTTCCCAAAAGTGACGATAAAATATCAGTTTTTTTGCCGAAACAAAGGAAATAATAGCCCAAATATGGTATGTAATACCTTGTTGAACTCGTAGCTTAATTCTGAATCTATTTGCGTTCAAATCTGGACTTTTTAATTGTTTGCCATTTTTAGAAAAAAATCATCAAAAATGCGAGAATTGGTAAAAAATTAAATTTTCTCAAAAGTGATAATAAAATATCAATTTTCGGCCGAAACAAAGGAAATAATTAACACCATCTGCATTGTCTTCTTTTCAGCTGGTTCCGTCGGGACGTGGCAGCTTCATCTTCTCCCAGCTGCAACCGGGAACCAACTATTCCCTGGAACTGACGATGATCAACAAGCAGGGCGAGGGTCCGGTGGCCAGGGGCTTTGCGCAGACGCTCTCCTCCGGCAGCGATAAGCCAGTGAAGGATCTAACCGAAGCTGTCCTGCTGGCCGGACGAAGGGCTGTGATGTGGCAATCGCTGGAACCCTCGGGGGAGAGCTCGATGATCTACCAGTCGCAGGAGGAACTGGCCGATGTGGCCTGGTCCCAGCAGACGCAACAATTGTGGCTCCTCGATGTCCATGGGGAAGTGCGGAGGTAAGTGGAGGATGGTAATCTTTTTAACCCTAGGTTAACCTTCGGTTAGCCAGTTAACCCTTTGTTCTTTTATCATGCAGCCTGAAATTTGATTCCGGACAGATGGTGAGTCCGGCCCAGAAACTTAAGCTGCAACTGGGAAACATTTCAGCCAGTGAACGATGGATTCCTCGCCGACTGAGCTTCGACTGGTTGCGTCATCGCCTCTACTTCGCTGTGGAGTCACTGGATCGAAACCAATCCAAGTACCAGATAATCAGCACAGATTTGGAGGGCGGAACAGCAGAGGAGGCGGGCGAATCCTTCGATCTGCCCGTTGAGCAGCTGGAGGTGGATGCCCTGAATGGCTGGATCTTCTGGCGCAACGAGGAGGCCCTGTGGCGTCGGGATTTGCATGGTGGACTGGGCTACCGCCTGGTGAGGATTAGGCAGCCCGGTTGGTTCATCCTGCGGCCGCAACACTTTCTCCTTCGCCTGATGCTGCCGCAGGAGGATAGATTCCTGGAGATGAGCTACGATGGAGGGTTCAAGCAGCCACTGCCGTTGCCGGGAGCCTCCTCCTCCGCCTGGCAATCCTTTGCCCTGCTGGGTGGCTCCCTGCTCCTGCCGGAGCCCAGCCAGCTGATACTGATGAAGGAGGAGGGAGTGCCGAGTGCCTCCTGGCCACTGAGGAACTCGGTGCCCGATTGCTTTTCCCTGATTCTCCTAATCCCCGAGCAACAACCGCTGACCAATGCAAATCCCGGCCAGCCGCACAGCTTGAAGGCTTTGCTGGGCGCCCAGGAGGCAAAGATCTCGTGGAAGGAACCCGAAACCAATCCCTATCAATCACCCGATGCCGCCCGCAACTGGAGCTACGAACTGGAGGTTCTCGATGTGGCCAGTCAGAGTGCCTTTAGCATTCGGAATATCCGAGGAGCCTTCTTCGGTTTGCAGCGCCTTCAGCCGGATAATCTCTACCAGCTGCGGGTGAGGGTCATCCGCGGGGATGGAGAACCAGGCGAGTGGACAGCTCCTTTGGCGGCACGCACCTGGCCATTGGGACCGCATAGGTTGAGGTGGTCCAGCCGGCAGGGCGAAATCCTGCTCACCAACGAACTGGGAGCTCCAATCTCTGGAGGATTGCAACCAGAGCAGTTGGATAACCAACCTGGACCCATGGTTATGTTAAACGAAAGCATTGGCTACTATGTGAGTGGCCAGGGGCGGCTGCACTGCATCCAAATCCAGCAGCAGCGATGTCCCAATGCGGAGCCACTGCATCATGTGGGCTCGGTGACCTACGATTGGCGTGGTGGCCTATTGTATTGGACAGATCTGGGCAGGAACTGCGTGGTGCGCATGGATCCCTTGTCAGGCAGTCGGGAACTCCTGCCCATCTTTGATTCCCGCTCCTTGGCCGTGGATCCCCGCCAGGGTCACCTCTACTATGCCACCAGTTCGCAACTTTCCCGCCATGGTTCGAGTCCCGAGGAGGCGGTGTCCTACTATCGAGTGAATGGACTGGAGGGCAGCATTGCCTCCTTTGTTCTCGACGCTCAGCAAGATCAGCTTTATTGGCTCGTCGGTGGTGGCGGCATCCTGCGTCTCTATCGAGCTCCTTTGACCTCCAGTCGGGATGCACTGCAGTTGCTTCGGGAGATTCAAGGAGAAGGTGCTGTCCCCCAGAGTTTGCAGCTCCTGCGTCCACTGGGTGCTCTTCTCTGGCTGGAAAGCAGTGGCTCACGTGGTTGCCTGGTTCGCCTGGCTGCTCCGCAGGATGTGATGGAACTGCCCACTCCGGAGGAAGTCTCTCCCGCTTCTGCCCTCCAATTATTGGAGGAGCAAGCCATTTCCCCGCCTGATGAGGGAGTAATTCCACTGAAAGTAGCCGCGGATTCAGTGCGTCTGGATGAGGGGCACTGGGATGACTTCCAGGTGCGCTGGCAGCCTTCCACTTGCGGTGGCAACCACAGCATCTCGTATCGCCTGCTCCTCGAGTTTGGCCAGCGGCTGCAGACCCTCGATCTGACCACTCCCTTTGCCAGGATCACCCATCTTCCGCAGGCTCAGCTGCAGCTGAGGATCAGCATCACGCCGCGCACCGCCTGGCGGAGAGGAGCCACCACCAGGGTGCAGTTGATCACACCGCCGGCGGCTCCCAGTCAGCCGCGTCGCCTGCGGGTCTTTGTGGAGCGATGGGCCACTGCCCTCCAGGAGACGAACGTGAGTGCCCTGCTCCGCTGGGATGCCCCCGAGCAGACGGGCAGTGAGTCGAGCAATCTGGAGTACCACATCAGCTGCTGGCTGGGCGAGCACGAGCTGCACGAGGAGCTCAAGCTCAACCAGAGCGCTCTGGAGGCTCGCGTGGAGCACCTGCAGCCGGATCGCACCTATCACTTCCAAGTGGAGGCCCGGGTGGCGGCCACAGGAGCTCCCGCAGGAGCAGCCAGTCATGCTCTCCATGTGGCTCCCGAGGTTCAGGCAGTTCCGCGACTCCTCTACGCAAATGCCGAGTTCATTGGAGAACTCGATTTGGACACAAGGAATCGCCGGCGACTGGTGCACACGGCCAGTCCCGTGGAGCATCTGGCGGTGATCGAGGGCGAGCAGCGACTGCTGTGGGTCAACGAGCATGTGGAGCTGCTCACCCATATACCAGGAGCCTCGCCCGCCAAGCTGGCCAGGATGCGGGCCGAGGTCCTCGCGCTCACCGTCGACTGGGTGCAGCGGATTGTCTACTGGGCGGAAGTGGATGCAAATGGCCAGTCGGTGGTCATCTATCGCCTGGATTTGTGCAACTTCCAAGGCAAAATCCTGCAGGGCGAAAGGATGTGGAGCACGCGGAAGGGTCGCCTGCTGAGGGATCTGGTGGCCCTGCCCCATTCCCGCTCCCTCATCTTTCTGGAGTACGAGCAGGGATCGCCGCGCAATGGTTCGCTGCGTGGCAGGAATCTCACGGATGGCTCGGAGCTGCAGCTTCACCTGACCACCGGTCAGCCGGTGATTCGTCTGCATGCCGGCAGCTTGGAACCGGGCGCGGAGACCCTCAACCTGGTGGATCAGCAGGGCAAGCTATGCGTCTACGATGTGGCCCGCCAGCTGTGCACCGCCAGCAGTGCGTTGCGGAGTCTTAGTTTGGGCGAGGAGCAACTGGCTCAGGATTCGGGCTATCTGTATGCTATGAAGAACTACAGCATTCGTGCTTATAGTCGCCGCCGGCAGCAGTTGGAGTACACGGTGGAGTTGGAACCGGAGGAAGTGCGTCTGCTGCAGGCCCACAACTATCAGGGATATCCGAACAGGAGCTGCCTGCTATTGCCCCTGGCTATGGGATCCTCCCTCCTGCAATCCGAGGCTTGCGAGGAGCAGGGCTGTCGAGTGAGTCTCCCTGATATCCATGCCTCCCCCGATTGCCCACTTCCCGTGCCTGGCATCCGCTATCAATTGAATCTCACGCTGGAATCGGAGGATGAGCCCCTTGGTCAGTGGCTGCTGGCAGCGGGGGATACCCTGAATCTAACCAATCTCCTGCCCTTCACCCGCTATCGAATAGAGGGCATCCTAAGCAGCTACTACCAAACGAAGCTGGGATTACCTAGCCTCGCTGTGCCGCCCCTGGAGCTCCTCACCGCCCCTGCCACGCCCACGGCTCCCAGGAACTTTAGCGTACGCGTGCTGAGCCCAAGGGAACTGGAGGTCAGCTGGTTGAAACCAGAGCAGCTGAGGAGTGAGAGTGTCTACTACATGCTTCATTGGCAAAGGGATAAGGATCGAGATGATGATGATGAGCAGGAGGAGCAGGAGGAAAACGAACGCCGCATTGAGTTACCCGGCAGCCATCGGTTGACCGGAATCAGGCCAGGATCTGGCTACCATCTGTGGGTCTTGGCCCATGCCACGCCCACCAAAAGCAACAGCAGTGGGCGGTTGCATGTGCGCAGCTTCTCGGAGCTACCGGAACTGCAGCTCCTGGAGCTGGGACCCTACTCCCTCAGCCTCACCTGGGCGGGCACACCGGATCCGCTGGGATCCCTGCAACTGGAGTGCCGTTCGCCGGGCGAGCAACTGCGTCGCAATGTGGTGGGCAACCATACGCGCATGGTGCTTGAGCCACTGCAGCCACGTACCCGGTACCAGTGCCGCCTGCTCCTTGGATATGCGGCCACCCCGGGTGGTCCACTCTACCAGGGGCAGGCGGAGATCTACGAGACGCTCGGGGATGCACCCAGTGCGCCGGGCAGGCCGCAGCTGGAGCACATTGCCGAGGAGGTGTTCCGCGTCACCTGGACAGCGGCGAGGGGCAACGGAGCACCCATTGCCCTGTACAATCTGGAGGCTCTGCAGGCGAGGAGCGAAAGGAGGAGGAGAAGGAGGCGCAGGCGGAGGAGCAGCAATGGATCGCTAGAGCAGCTGCCGTGGGCCGAGGAGCCGCTGGTCGTGGAGGATCAGTGGCTGGACTTTTGCAACACCACCGAGCTGAGCTGCATCGTAAAGAGCCTGCACTCGAGCCGGCTGCTCCTGTTCCGGGTGCGGGCGAGGAGTCTGGAGCACGGATGGGGTCCCTACAGCGAGGAGAGCGAGCGGGTGGCGGAGCCCTTTGTGTCGCCCGAGAAGCGCGGATCCCTCGTCCTGGCCATCATCGCGCCGGCGGCCATCGTTTCCAGCTGCGTCCTGGCATTGGTCCTTGTGAGAAAAGGTGAGTGAGTGAGAGAGAAAATAGTAAAGAGCTTACCTAGAAATAAGAGCTAGAAAATTATCGAAATGATCGATATTGTCGATGTTTTTGATCCTAGTAAGAAAAGGTGAGAGAAAGAGACAGAGAAAAGAGTTAATGGAGCTTACCTAGAAATAAGAGCTTGAAAAGTATCGACATTATCGATATTTTCGATATCTATCGACTTTTTTTTGTTAGATTTTGCTTATTTTTCTTTTAAGGCTTCAATATTATGAACACGATATTGTGATAATATCGACATTATCGATAATTTCGATACATTTTACTTATTTCCCTTTGAAAACCTCAATATTATAAACATGATAAAGTGATAATATCGACAATGTCGATAATTTCGATATATATCGTCTTATTTGTACTGTATATCTTTATTTGTACGCGATACAGTGATAATATCAACATTATCGATATTTTCGATATATATCGAATTATTTGCTAGATTTTAAATTATTTACCTTTGAAAACCTCGAACGCGATATAGTGATAATATTTTTCAAGCTCTACTTAAAATTCCAATTACAATTCCAATTACAGTTCAAAAGCGTCGCCTGCGGGCCAAGAAACTGCTCCAGCAGAGCCGTCCCAGCATCTGGAGCAACCTGTCCACCCTGCAGACGCAGCAGCAGCTCCTGGCCGCCCGGAATAGAGCCTTCTCCACAACGCTGAGCGACGCGGACATCGCCCTGCTGCCCCAGATCAATTGGAGCCAACTGAAGTTGCTCCGATTCCTGGGCAGCGGAGCCTTTGGCGAGGTCTACGAGGGTCAGTTGCAGACGGAGGACTCCGAGGAGCCACAGCGAGTGGCCATCAAGGTGGGTTGTGATCTACTTTCGCATGTGGCACCTTTAATCCATCCCCGTGATTTCTGTAGAGCCTGCGAAAGGGAGCCAGCGAGTTTGCCGAGCTTCTGCAAGAGGCCCAGCTGATGAGCAACTTCAAGCACGAGAACATCGTCTGTCTGGTGGGGATCTGCTTCGACACCGAGTCCATTTCCCTAATCATGGAGCACATGGAGGCCGGCGATCTGCTTAGCTACCTGCGTGCCGCTCGAGCCACCAGCACACAGGTAAATGCAATATTTAGTTACAGCAAAAAAACAAAAAGAAAATTCCTATATTTGTCAAAAACCAAAATCCCAGTTTTTCACAAAAATATTATTCGTTTTTTGGCCGTAACATTGGAAATATTGATCCAAATATGGATTGTCATACCTTTCTGAACTCGTTATTAAATTTCCAAAAGATTGGCTTTTAAACCTGGACATTTTATTGGTTTTTAATTTTTCGCAAAAAATCATGGGGTACCCCCTTATAAAAAAATGAAAAATTGACGAAAATTTTATTTTCTTAAGATCAGCCGGAAAGTGTCATGGATTTAATTATTATTTTGTTATCTGTTCAAAACAGTATTAATTTTTGGGGTAGGACCATTTTTGGCCAAGTTACAGAAAAAAACCAAAAGAAAAAATTCATATTTTTGCCAAAAACCGAAAAAAAAACAAAACAGGTTTTTCGCTAAAACAAAGGAAATATTGACCCAAATATGGATTGTCATACCTTTTTGAACTCGTTATTAAATTTCCAATCAATTGGCATTTAAACCTAAACATTTTATTTTTTTTAATTTTTTGCAAATTATTTAGAGTTACTCGCTTATATAAAAAATGAAAATTGGTTTTTATTTTTAAAAATTGAAAAAATGAAAATTCCTGAAATTCCAGGAACCGCAACCCCTGGCGGGTCTCTCGCTCTCCGAGCTCCTGGCCATGTGCATCGACGTGGCCAATGGGTGCAGTTACCTGGAGGACATGCACTTCGTGCATCGCGACCTGGCCTGCCGGAACTGTTTGGTCACGGAATCGGCGGCCGGGACGGATCGACGGCGAACGGTGAAGATCGGGGACTTCGGACTGGCGCGGGACATCTACAAGAGCGACTATTACCGGAAGGAGGGCGAGGGCCTGCTCCCGGTGCGCTGGATGTCGCCGGAGAGCCTGGTGGATGGGATCTTCACCACCCAGTCGGACGTCTGGGCCTTCGGGGTCCTCTGCTGGGAGATCCTCACCCTGGGCCAGCAGCCATATGCGGCGAGGAATAACTTTGAGGTTTTGGCCCACGTCAAGGAGGGCGGACGCCTCCAGCAGCCGCCCATGTGCCCGGAAAAGCTGTGAGTTGTTTGGCATTTTCTTTGAATTTCTATATATTTATTTAATATATATTAATACAGCTATGCCCTCCTCCTGCTCTGCTGGCGAACGGATCCGTGGGAGCGGCCCAGTTTCCGGCGCTGCTTCAGCACTCTGCATGCCATCAGTACCGATCTCCGGCGCAGCCAAATGGCATCCAGTCCAGACTCGGTTCCAAGTTCCAAGCCGGAATCGAAAGTGCGATTCGATGGACAGGACTCGCAGGAGAAGATCGAACAGGCGGAGAATCTCTCGCTGCGGGAAGTGCCGCTGAAGGATAAACAACAACTGTATGCCAACGAGGGAATTTCCCGGCTTTAAACGAGGATTTCCCAGCTCAAACGATCTAGCTTTTCGATTAATTTAAGGTTAACTTTAGCTTGTACGCAACATAAAATGGTCCATAAGGAAGTAAAATTTGTATTTACTTTAAGATCTGTTCTTTTTCGTATACAAAAATTAAGTTTCGGAGATATTTATTTATTTGTAATATTGCAATGAATGGCAAAATTGTAATATATTATTATGTTTTGGTACTAGCCAATGTTTTTTTATGTAGAAAAATGAAAAGTCACTCTTTAATTCATTGGGTTTATTTAACAAAAAAGAATTGTAAAACTTAAGATTTATAAAAGTAAACATTTAATTTAGAGGATTCTTAAAGAGCAAGCAAAAAAAAAAAACAAACAATTCTTTTAAGACATCAATTTTTTCGGAACTCGTTTCATTGTAATTCCCCATCTAATTCCACTCAAGACTATGCTTAATTTTATTGAATTTGCCGAGTTTTTAATGTGACTTGGCCAGAAAAAGTTTGCTTCGGCGGCTTTTATTTTCATAATTTTCCTTTGTGTTTCCTTTGGCGCGGCTTTTCCCGGGGAAAATACAATCAAATTAAATGTGAGCGTTGGTGCAAAAGTTTGGCGATACTCTATGGAAAGGGAATAATTGGGGGGTTTTTTGGGAGGGCTATAAATAGAGCTGAGTTAAGGTTCCGTTCTTGAAGGTCGCCCTTTAACTAATCACCGCAGGTGAAGGAACCATCAGCCCACAGCGAAGGAAAAAGAACTTTCTCCCTTTCACGCACGCACGCACACCCACACGCACACACCCACGGCCACGCATTTACAAACATGCAGATTTGTCAAATGTTTTGACAAACTTTTTCTCCTCGCATCGCATTACACAAAAGCCCCAGAAGTGCGGGGTGAGGGGGATAAATCAAAAATTGTAAATAGCAGCACATAAATCGATTACCTTTGGCAGGCTCTCGTTAACCCACGAAGAACGGAACATAAATAAACCATTTTTAATATGCGAATAAGCAGCTTTACTTTTTGCAATACCCTAACTTCACTGAGTTACTTTTATGTTTAATAATACTTTACTAAATAATAATTGATAAAAAATATAAGAAAGAAATTTTGACTTATTTTTAATAAAATGCCGATGATCAATTTGATAATAAGTGGTATCAATTTCGACTTGATATTCGGCATATCAATTCGATATGGTCGAAATATTATTATTTAATATCTATGTTTCTTGTATTGCATAGTAAAAATGATATGCATATAAATAGTAAAAATTTGCCATGCGCATATCGATTTGATACCAGAGTTTTTTTTGTGTATAATTAAAAAATATGCGGTTTTTAAAATTTGATAATATATAGTCTGGTTTCGCGGCAATTATAAATCATATTCAACTATTTTTTTGACCTTTAGTTACGGGCCCTTAGTTCTTCTTTCTGGAAAATGATATTCGGTAATGTTTAAGATTCAGCAGCAGCATATTTGACCTTTATCGAAATAAATTTAACCACGGAATTGAATCCCAAAAATTTCGTTTTCGATGAGCCATTTGTACTACTTTGTTGTACCATTTTATAGAGTAGTTAAGGTGCCACAAAACTGGGTTGAAGCCGGCTTTATTTGCCAACAATACTCGTTCGGTTTTTTTTTTGTTCGCAGTAACTGCCTTTTGCGTCCCCTACCTTCGCCCACTCCCCCAGATTTTCATACAGTGGGTGGTGGTAAGCGGTGGGTGGCAGTGAAACGGGAGCTGGCTTCAAGGTGACTTGCCATTGATTTCGCTTATTATTATGGATGTTTTTTTTTTGCATTCCCTTTCCGTACCTTTCCTGCATTTTTTTCTTTCCTTTGGGTTTTTGGGTGGCAAGGTGCTCTTTGGTCTTTGCCCTTTGAGCTTTAGAGCGCGGCAAGGATTTAATTTTATGGCCCCCGGGAGCGTCGCCCCGTTGACTTATTGTGCTGATATGATTAAGTGGTTCGCTGGTTCCGAGCCGCTGGCTCCGGCTTTATGACAAGTGCAGGATTGGCACGGAACTTGGAAATTGGATCTTGGGACCGATTTGGCCCCGGCTTTTGCCAGTCAGCCTTCTCGTCCGCCTTTAATGGCTGGCTCTTTAAATTCGATTTCGTTTGATTTGAGCCATACACCTCGAAAGTTTAGCCCTCCACTTAAAATTCACCCCCTCTCGTTCGGCACAATTGATTGAAATTAGATGAGCTTTTCATAATACAAGCCCTAAGCCGCAGTTCTCCCCCGGCAGCCATGTGCGTGTGCGTTTTCCATTAAGTGGGACCTGCTTTTCCCTTTTTCCTCCTCTCCACAACTACCTGGTAAAAGTTTTCTCCGTACTCCGCACTCCATACTCCATACTGCGGACTCCGGACGACGGGCAACGCTAATATTCCTCAAGTTGCCACCGACTTTGTGCCAAATTGGTTATTAAAAGAGTCAACTAGTACGAGCCAGAAATAAATTGAGAGGCAACAGCGCCAGGAATTCCTTCGCACAAGCAGTTGGAAAATAATAATAAAAGGGAGGAGGGGCGGAAGGAGGCAACTTCGAGGGCCATCAGGATGTGTTGCAACTGCTTTCCCATTTTTCTGGAGGGCATACGACGAACGAAAGTACTCCAAAGTATTCTGACAATGTGCTTTCCTCACATGCAGGCCAAGCTTTGTATTTCTTCCGAGCTTCTGGTTTTCGATGACTTTGAAAATAATTTTAAAAGTTGCCAAAACTTGTGCGATTCATTGTTTCCGAAGGGCGAAAAATATTAGAAAGTGCTTGGCAGAAGTATAATTATTTGTATAGAGGTTTTAATGAAAGAGGTTTCCTATTGAGATTTAATAAAACAAATTATTGAAATAAAACCATTGAATTCTACACTGTAGTATTTAATTAATACTTTCGAAAGTATCAAATTGAAACTTTTGGTATAGAAATGTAATCATAGAATTTATATTATTTATTAGTAAATCAATACCAAATCTTTATACTACATCTATTTTATGTTTTATACAACTCTTAGTAAGAACTAACCTTTGATTTTTTTTTGGGAGTGATTAAATGGGTTTTAGCCTTCAAAATAGCTGACCCTAAAATGGCAATTATCAAGGAATGTAAAACGTGAACATTTCAATTAGACCATTACAGAAAAGAGACAGAGAGAGCGAGAGAGATGCCCTCTCCCTCTAATCCAAAGAATTGTCTTGGAAGAAGGTCATTAGGAGCTTTCGAACTAATTGAGTAATTTGCTCACCTTGATTGCTTTCGAGGATAGTGGATGTGGATGTGTGGTTCTCGGGACTCTCGGCACACACACACACTTGTACACTTGCATCCTTGTTCACACACACACACACACTCACACACTCACATGTGCATGTGCCGCCATTTGCTCGTTCATTATTTCGCACTAATTAACGTTTCGCGACAAAAGGTGGCGCTTTATTTTTACAACTGCAACTGCGTTTTACTGCTGCTACCCAGCTGCAACAGTTGCGACACTGCAAGAAATTGCCCCTTAGTTTTTAGAATATTTAATACAATTTTCTATATCTATAATTATAATATATCATTTCATATTATTAGTGGCGGAAATAGAATTTAGTTTTGTGGGGATTTGAGAACCATTTTTTTGTTGCATACTTTTTGAATACCCAATTTATCCCCCACAGCTTAAACCAGGGATTCGCGCATGAATATATTATGTATTAATTATGTTAAAGTTTGGTGAGCAAATTACAGACAAAATTATCTGGTAACAACTGACTAATATATTTTCTCCAGTGTACTGCCACTGCTGCTGCTGCAAGGAATATTGCTGCCACTTGAAGGCCACTCAAGGGGCGGGTTTCGCCTTAATTGCTGTTTATGAGCGGGTTGGCCCAGTAATTAAACAATTTCTTTTGGCCCGGCGAAAACAGTTTCACTAACGGCGCCAAGTAGTAGTAAGTTGGCCAGAGGTTGGCTGAAAGCCCACACACACATGCGAAACGGCCACCCAAAAAAACAGAGCCATTAAAAAAAAACAAAACATGGTGCTTATTGAGAAATACAAGATGACAAATAAATTAGCAAGTTGTTGATTATATGTATGTTGGATCTGCGAAAGATTGAAGGCGTCCTTGGCTTTGGTGGGGCTCCTCCCCCTCGGAAATCCCGGGAAATCCTCCTAGACCTTCTCGAATGTATTCCGCTCGATGTAGTAGGGCGCCGCTCCGACCTGCTTGCACTTGTACCGCAGTTTGCAGCACTCCGGGAAGGGTTCGCTGGGCAGGATGCGCTCGCCATGATTGCAGTTCTCGATGCGCAGCTTTCCGCATCTGTAAGGAACCATAATTACTTTAATTATTAAATTGATAATAAATATAAAATAAAAAAGAAGAAAAAATAATACAAAAAATGGTTTTCGTATTCAATTAAATTAAATAAAGCTATATTTAATTGCAATTCCTAGAAAATACAATTTTCTAAATATACAGAAAAATAATAAAACGAACAAACATTAGTAATTGCCTTTAATTGACATTTATTTTCACGTTGGTTCCTAGAAACATGAAACCATAAACAAATTTTAGTTCCTAAAAAAACTACTTCAGATTTATTCCTAGATTTCTAGCTAAAGATTTTACAAATCCCAGCTAGAAATTCGGTAAAATTAATCTGATTTAAAATTCTAGGAAGGCAAATTACTCAGTGCTTAATTTGACCGACTAAACCTTGAGATTGCAATTAAACCCTCCATCTGATTATGATGTTAGGGAAAGTGACACATTGTTTGGCATAAAGCCTTTGAGTTTCAAAGATGGCGAAAGGCATGAGATCAAAGGAATTCCTAGACTCGCAAACTTTACCATAGCGTTAAAATGTTACCAAAAAAACACTTAAAACCTGAAGAGGAAAACCCATTTCGGATCTAGGGCAAAACTTTTAGTTTCCCTCAATTTAGTTTTGTCTCCCCCACGAAAAGCCGCAATCCAAAGGACCTGAGATGAGAGACGCCCAGTCGCCCCCACAACATTCATTTAGCTCTCAGCTCTCAGTTCTCAGTTCTCAGCTCTTTAGCCTGACCTAGAAATTACAGTCTCATCTTTTGCGCTACTTGGCGAACTCGAAACTAAAACTAGAAACTCGGCGAGAAGTCGCTGTCGCAAGTGGTTGGCATAGCGTCATCTTCGGCATTAAGTTGGGTGTGTGTCTTATCAGTGAGAAGCGTGTGCCATAAAGTACACTCGGGAAAAAAGTGTGGAATTCGGAATAAATTAAAAAATTAATAAAAATGTTGTTTGTGCTGATATCAATTTGAAATTGTTATAAATTACACTTTTATATGGATATTCTTCAATACTATTTTTTAGAAAAATAAATACATTTCATAACTATTTGACTTTTAATCACAAATAAATAATTATCTAATTATAAAAACAATAATTTACAAAGTTTATTGGAAACGGTAAATTATTTTTAAAAAGTTTTGAAGTTTTTTTTATTTCTACTCAGAGAAAATGGTTCAAGCACATTGGTTCTTACTTATTTAAATGTTCTCAATATCTCAAAATGGTAAGAAGTAAAGATTTAAATGGTGTTTAGTTTTTGATAAATATATACTAACTACTAGACTAATCGATTAGTTGTTGAGATAAACAATTATTTTATATTCTATTTTTAAAACACAATTAGAATCGGTGGAATTCCCACTGTGTACCCTTTTTTATATTTCAGTAGTTTGCCTTTCTTGACCGGGTCAAGGTACCCTGAACTCACCCCTCGATAAGTATTGAGCCATCCGCGTTGCACGTTAGCCGCTGGCAGGGCGAAATGCCATTGTTGACACCCAACTCCAGGACGTCGCCGCGGTAAACGCACTTGCCGGGATTATCTGATGATATATTTATAAATAATACGCATATAGAGGGATGATAGACGGATCCGCTCACCTGCATCCGGTGGAATCAGGCCCGAGTAGCCGCTCACCTGAGCCAGCATCGAAAAAAGCAGGGCGCCTGCTGCGATTACTGTTGGAATTGCGAAGCGCTCCGGAGACATTGCGACCGTGTTCGTGCTCAAAACTGGACTGACTTGGACCCGGACTCCGATCGGCGTTGTCTACTCCGCACATAGGGCATACTCGTTGAGATTGCCGAGCTGAGTCGTCGCCGTCACGCTTCCACTGAAATTGCGGAGAGATTCATCAATTGTTTTTTTTATAATCTACCCATTATTCGGGGGCTATCGATCGATTTTCATTCGATTTTTAATAGAATCTTTTGATATTGAAAATAAACATTTTAGAAACAACTCAGAATCCTTCTGAAACCTACATTTAAAAAGACATTAAACATCGAATATTTATTATCATTTTATTTATAAAACAAAGATTGGGCTATAACCTCATAAATAATATAAATTGCTAGGAATCAACAGAATTATTAGGTAAATTGTTCATCATTAAAAAAAACAACTTTGCATATATCTTTTGAGATCATAAATATTCCAAAATCAAATATTGGGTATCCCATAGTCGAGTCACCAATCAGATGGGTTCGTTTGTGTTTTTGGTTTTGGGCTCGTTGATTATTGTGTATTACTATTTAATTGAAGACGCCACTTCGCGCGGCAACTCATCTCTATTTCTTGATACTTGATTCTCTGGCAAACGTTGCGGGGTCAGTCGGTTTATCGGCTTTTGGGGCGGCGGCGGCCTTTCATTACAGCACTTTAATGCCTCAAATTGTTCTAGAATGTTTGCACAATTAATGGCAAAAGCGGGACAGAGAGCGGCGAAATCGAAATCGAATTCGAAATTGAGAGCTGTAGATAAAGATAGAGGGCCTACGCGATGATGGCAAGGGAATCACATATTGCTAATCTAGGGCTGGAAAAGTACAGTGACACATCAGCTTTTCAATTGTTTATATATTTTTTTGTATTTAATTCAATAATTTTAATAAATTGTTATCTTTTTGGAAATCTTTTATTTATGGGTGCAACCACAAATATGACGGTTTAATTTACGAAATCGAATGCAACTTGAAGAAAGGCACCTTATTTGACTCAATTAAAAATGCATAAATACGAGTTGACGGAAATCGCTAAGAACGCCAAAGTTTTCCAGGATGTGAGGAAAAGTTAAAATGTAAATACTTATATTTTCCTTTACATTTGTATGTTGTTTAGCTCTTGAAAAGGTCTGGCCCAAGGCAGCTACATATTCGAAAGATGAGTTTTCACTTGGCCACATTGTCAATATTCTCGGTTTAATCCTCGCTTGTTGGAAACTTTCTAGCTAAATCTAAGGACTACGTGCAGAAATGAGAATGTTTTACTCCTTTGAAGTATTACGTTTTAATCTAATTAAGCCGTTTCTTCGCTCCATTCAATTGGGGAAAGTACGAATTCGACGAATGTGGGCAATGTATTGGCCAGACCGCATTTGCTGGTGCTTTTACGCATTTAAAGAACTAGTTCAGTGGCAAATCTTAATGAAATGCATTCGTTAGCTTAACCCGCACACAAGAGCAGACAAATGTTGTGGCAACTTGTGCAATCCAATTGAGACGAGTCCTTCGACAACCCCGCACAATGTTTGCCCTGCTGGCTATTAAATTTTTAATCAAGTTAAAGTGTTGTCAAACACTTCATTCAGCCAGTTCGGTTCGGTTCCATTCAACCAGCCCGTTCCCGGAGTTTCCATTTCCCATTTACCATTTCCCATTTTTCGGTGGCAGAAACAGTCAGAAACAGCAGGCAGACAACGTAGGGATATCAGATATATATATACATAGTATGTGGCGATATGGGAACATGTAACTTGCCGCTCCTAACTCCCCTTCGACCTTCTTTTCCATTCATTTGGTGTCGTGTTAGTTATGCATGCATTCATTCGTTCATTCAGCGACATTCATTTCGTTTCATTGCATTTTCTTACAACTTTCCATGGCATATGCCCCACCGCCACCCACTAACCCACCGTGCACCACAGCGGCATAACCGCATTGTAGGAACCACTTCGCCCACCATCGCTTCCTTTGGCTGCCGCCAATCCCTGTGGACACTTGTTCGTGTGCTTCCCCTTTATGATGTAAGGCTTTCTTTGCCGGTTTCTTTTTGCCCCTGATATCCCTTCTATAAAGGGTATATTCGATTCATTCCGATTGTCTCGGCAACTACAAAAGCTGAAACGAAGGTATTCTTCTACTTATTAATGCCTATCCATACATCCAAAGATTGTTTAAATCGGACTGTCCAATCAAAAGTAATGAGCCTTTTTGGACCTTTAACTCTGTACATTAAATATGCTGATGCTCTTATCATAATAAATAAATATTAAATAATAATTTAATACATCTTATGTTACTTAGCTTTTCGATGCAAAGCCATAATTATTTTATTAATCATAAATAATAAATACAAAATATGATTGAATACTAAATCACAGGGTAACCGATGCTCGAACCCCCTTAGCTGCCGAATACTGTGCCTTTCCTGTTCGCCTTTGTGGTAAATGAAATGCAAATAAATTGTCAACTGCAGCTAAATAAAATTTTAATTTATAACGGGTTTGACTAGCTTTCATTGTGTAAGGGAGAGGTGGACAGAGGGGGTTGAACTGCCAAGGGTATATGTACGTATTTCCCCCAAGAAAGGTAAATGCAGCTGAAAACCATCCAAGTAATTGAAACGGAAGAAAGATTTCCTTTGTCATTCGAATGCTGTAAATATTTATTGAACTCTGTGATTTCAAATGGCAGTAGACGATGTTTATAGTAATGAATAAGACAATGCCAATGCATATGGAATTGCATGAAATATTAAGTGGTTACTGGTATTTGAAAGGCACACGGAACAATACATAATAAGCAAACTTGGACCGTTTTAAACTAGATGTAGAATTTTCCACACTTGAAAAAAAAACAAGAGAGAACGCTATAGTCGGGTTGTTGTCCCGACTATCTAATACCCGTCACTCAGCTAAAGGGAGTGCGAACGCTGTGTCGGGTTGGTGTCCCGACTTATAATCGTAACTCAGCTAAAGGGAGTGCGAGGGAGATAGATATATAATTTTTGATTGCGTATAACTTTTTAATGAATGGTCCGATTTGAAAAATGTCTTCTACATTTCGATAGGTATAAATATACACAACAAAATTGCATTTATACTTCTCGCAAATCTTTAAAGATGTGGGCGCAGGACCCATTTTAAAATCGTTAGTGGGCGATTGTGGGCGTTAGAGGGGGCGTGGCGCTCGGCTAAAATAAACTTGCGCTGCGTAGGAAGCCAAAGAATATGTGTGGGAAATCTCAACCTTCTAGCTTTTGTAGTTTCTGAGATCTCAGCGTTCATACAGACGGACAGACAGACAGACGGACAGACGGACAGACGGACATGGCTAGATCGACTCGGCTAGTGACCCTGATCAAGAATATATATACTTTATGGGGTCGGAAACGCTTCCTTCTAGCTGTTACATACTTTTGCACGAATCTAGTATACCCTTTTACTCTACGAGTAACGGGTATAATTAAAAAAAAAACACAATCAAATATATTAAAGATAACTTTCTAGTTTATCTCAACTAACTTTATTAATTGCCATCGAAAGAGTTTTTTTATCTTTAAAATTTCTTAAATTTTATTAGAATTTCTTAAATTTTAATGTGATATTTACTTTTGGAGTTTACTGCTGTTTTAGCGGGGCTATTGACCTGCTAAATTCGATAAATATCGATTTGCCAAGGTCTTTGGGAACCGGAGAATCACCCACCTTTTTCGGTCTGCTCGCTGGGCACCAAAGTCGCAACTGCATGCGTTGGACAAGTGACCACAAAAGTGGGTTCGAAGCCCCGCATCCCCATGTAGGTTTTTATTTTTTTTTAAACGCGACGGGATGACAAACATGCACACAGGCAGCCTCACAGCTAATTCGCATTTGATTATTTAAATTAGCGAAATGAGTGACAGGCAGTGAGGGTGAATACACGCGCTCAAATTGAATAGTTTGTGCGGCCGATGTCCGAAAAGATCCAAATCCGAATCCAAAAATAAACGGCATAGTGGAGCGGAGCGACCTGGAGCAAATCGGACCATCGAGCAAATCGGCTTTGTTAGTGCTTTGTTAGACCGCCGAACTGCGAGACAGCGAGACATCGAGACTGGTAGACTGCGATTTCGCATTTTTAGAAAATGTATTCAGTGCAGGGGCGACATTCGCAGCGGCAACGAAAGCGACAGCCATAGCACACACACCATATACCACATATCTGTACTATCTGCAACACACACTCTGGCACCTGGCACCCATACATCCCCAGATCGAGAGAGAGGTGCATTTAAGCGAAAGAAAGTGGTCGAGAAAGAAATAGCAAGATATCAAGATAGAAAGATAGAGAAAATCGCTGGGAAAAGCTAAGCAAAGTGCGCGCCGGAAATGGCCAAATTAGTGACTTACATCTTCATTGTCAGCTCGCTGGTGCTCTGGTACCTCCTCCTCTTCGGGGGCAGGGGCGTCAGGGGCGTGGAGGCGACCAACGGGCACGGGGGGCAGCTGGAGGGGCGCGACTTCCACCACCATGGCGGCAGCCACCACATACGCCGTAAGTACACAGAGAAAAACGAGGGAAAAGTGATGGAAACTCAGCGGAAATCCTGGAAAAATCAACGGAGAATGTAAATTTAATGACATTGAATTGAGATCCTACAGAGCTTTGTCCTTGATCTTAAAACTCCTAAAAAAAGAAAAAACCGACGAAATCTAAAAAAAAAATTTGTTTAATAATTTGAGAAATAATATGTGATTTTTTTTAAATACATTGCCAATCCTAGAAAAATGTATGGTACATCTGACAACGAGCTTTTCAAGACCCTTCGAATAAAAGGGATTTTTAAAGATAATGAATATTTATATATAATTAAAATGTTGGTTTAATGGCCAAGTGCTTCGTTTTTGATGTCTTATTTTTACACATCCTAAAATCTATGGTTATTTTTTTCAGGTAACATAAACCACTGCTGGCGGCGCTACGATGGCTACAATCTGCAGAACACGGTGGTCAACAAAAAGGAGCAGCTGAAGAAGCCCTATGGAATATTGTGCAACTTCAAGTGCACCTGGTTCTTCACTGTCAGGTGAGTCCTGCCGCCATTAGCCGATTCCAATACTCATCCCCTATTGTTGCAGCTTCCCCACTTGCGAGTTCATCTACGATTATAAGTTATCCTGCGTGCTGTTCACGTCACTGCCCGACTGCACCAGCGTCAAGTGTACGCTTTTGAATTACTTCGAGTAACTAGTGTATCTATTTAAGTTTCTTTTTTTTGATAGCATAAGTCTGATTAATACTAGATTTTATATGGACATGTAGAGAGACGAAGAGAAAAGAGAGGAAGTATTATTAAATCAAACAACTAATTTATGAAAGCAAACTGTTTTATTTATAACGAGGAAACAATTAAGCCAATGGAGTTTACAACCAGGCTAACAAAGGATCCCTTTGGTATGCTAATATCACATGACCTTAGTAAAGTTATACTATGGAAAGGGAGTTTGAGCGTCCCTCAAATAAATGAAAAAACAAGAAAAAACGCTACTATAGTATTGCACTGCTTGGATTTTTATTTTTGTTTGCTCATAACTTTTTAGCGAATGGTCCGATTTGAAATGTCTTCTACATTTTGGTAGGTATTACGAATCCAAACAAATTTGCATTTTCACCTTTACTAAATCTGTAAAGATGTGGGCGCAAGAAAGATTTTAAAATCGTTTAAGAGTTAAGGCTCAAGGGTAAGTTTATAATTTCCCCATTTAATTAAGTGTCACAGAAACTGCTTAAACTGTTTGAGATTGACCAGCCCTACGATAAATCTGTCAACCATTGTCTATCCCAATCGCATATCGGATTAGGAGTAACTAACTCCGGTAGCTGGTAACATATGCAGAGTCAAAGTTTACGGCTACTGTCTCACTTAAAGTTGCCGTAAAGCCAAAGAGTCAACAGTGCTGTTCGCACTCCATTTGATGGCAAAGTTGAAAAGCCACAAAAGCTATCAATGGACCTATCCAAACCAGCCGACTCTTTGTCTGGGGGCGGCGGGCCACGCCCAATTACCTGGCCATACATACCTGTAAGCTGGCCAAAAAGCAATCCACTTTTTGTAGTAAACAAATTTGAAACACTTTGTTACCGACGTCATTTTTTCCACCGCCTCGCTTCGCTTCCCCCTCTTTTTGCCAGCTCCCCAGTTCCCGGCAGCTTTTTAGCCTGGTTAAAAGCGATATATCCGCTCAACTTGATGGCCAAAAACGACGCGGCTTGACGGGGGAGTTAACCAAACTTGGTTAGTCCATGGCGATGGCGATGGCGATGGCAGTACCTGAACCCGAAACTAAACTCCTGGCCCCCGCCAACAGCCGCAAATAAATCGTTCGACATTTATAAGCCAGTCAAAGTTATGCCAAAGCGTTTCCTGAAAATTTGTGTACCCTGTTTTTGCGAGGTAAGGGGAAAGGGTAGAGGGAAAGGTATTGAAATGGGCAGGGGGTTGTCAGGTGCTCGCTAAAAATAAGATAAATTATGTGGCTGTAGTCAATGGAGCTGTTAACTCGCGCACCTGCGCCAAGGGGCCAAAAGGGTTCCCATTCACCAGTCACTCGCTCCTCCCCTTGGACCAACTAAATGCTCCACAATTCTAGAGTGGGTCGTGAAATTCGAAAAGAGAAGAGAACTCACACGCTTCAATTTTGGCCCGGGCCAGATGGGGCCGCACTTTAATGGAATCAAACGAAATGGCATTGATCGCTGAAGGCCAACGGACCCGCACCAGAAGGCAGAAGATCAACTCGATTCGGTTTCGTTTGGCTCGGATCTGTCAGTCAGTTGTGCGAGTATTCGTAACTGGGATTTGGGTCGTGGTCGTTTCGCTGTGCGTTTAGATCACCCTATAAAGAGCATAAATACATACGTACATACGATATGATGGATGGAGATCTCGGATCGCTTGGGGAACTACGCGTAGTGCGTAGTTTGCTTTATTGCATTGCCTGCGTTGGCGGTGGCTTCTATTTCAATGTTGATTGGCAAATTACGGCAATTTCGGGGGGCTGGGAATTAGATTATTTTTAAATAGTTATAAACAAATTAATTGCGCATTACGACGAAAATTGTGCAACCATCTGTTGGGGCAAACTGAAGCAGGCATAGCAGAGTGCCCATGTAAACAGATCACAATCAATTATGGAATTTAACTCTATGAAAATATGCGTATGTAAAAGCAGCAGAATGAATAACAGAATTTCTAAGGCCTTACAAGAAAAATATATCTTTATAAATTAAAAACGCCACAAATAATTTTTATAATAATACCAACAATTTCTTTCAGTACAAGTTTATCTGGCTGTCTATTAATCAACTCATACAATGCGAGAATAGAAATATGATTCATTACGCATCGTAATATTGCAAACGTTGATATTCTGCAATTGATTTGATTGATTGATTAACTGATTGAGTGATTGACCGATTATGCCGAGTTTAAGTGACCTAGCAAATACACTTAACATGTTGCATTCCCTGAGTTTTCGCATTCATAGCGCCCCATCACCATCCCCATTCCATACCGCATCGCATTCCCCGGCCAGCCCCTTCTTCACCTGAACTGGGCGATAGCTGACTGATTTGCCACACAAAAGGTGCCAACAGCCGCAACTACAATCCCATGAGATCCGAAACTGAAACCGAAATGGAAACCGAAAACGAAACCGAAACGGAAAACGAGGATTGCAAAGTGTGACTGACTCTCCCTATTGCTTTCGGCTAGCACTGAGAAAAACATAACACTTAATAGAGAATTGGCACCGAGTGCACAATTTACTGTTAAACAAATTTTTGGGAAATAATTTATGTATGACATGAATTAATGGCGCCCAACGTGGGGCATCACTTATGATGCATGGTTGTAGCTATTGTACTTTCGCCGAGGCAATAAATTTGGTGTTATCTAGACTCGTATTATTTTTTATTAAGAGAAATAAAAAATATGCAGCTGAGCAACCACACTTTGTGAAACAAAATATATTATTGGAGCCCAACGTGGGGCATTGCTAATAAGTTTCGTTTATAAATTTAGTTAACGCAAAAGTTAAAGGAACAAGCAATTATATCTTTTAATGGGGAACAATTATTTTATTTGTACTTATTTTATTTAAGAAACATTTTTTTCTCCGTGTGGTAATCATATTAGAGAGCAGGAGGTGCAGAAAATGGAGAAGAAGGAGGCAGATGGGGTCGCATACCCACACAGCCGCATGCGATAATTTATCAATTGGCATCAATTTAGGCGCACAACAGCTCAAACTCGTGGCATTTCTTTGCCGTTTGTTTATTTGTATTATTTTATTTTTCTTTTTCACTTTTTCGTCCCATTTTGATTCGCTGGCTTGAAATTCGCTGGCGATTTTCGGCACACTCGCGACATCCATCGGTGGCGGCGGTTAAAACCGCGCCGAGACATTTACGCATCGCATTCGAGGCATCCGAAGGCGTCCGAAGTCACTGGCTTACATGGCAGGCTCAGTTTCGGATTCAGTTGGTTTATCTTCAGCTCCAGCCTCTGATTTAGGTTCCGATTTCGGCGGTGACGGCGGTTATATTTACGATTGTTGTGCAATGGCAAAATCGATAACAGAAACAACGACGAGAACCACAAAATCTACGACAGCATCCATAACTGCAATACACACACGCAAAAGCACCACAACAATCGCATTTGTTTTGCTGTTAATCCTCTGCTGTTTATGTGATTACAACTATGGAAGTATGTAGTCTCAATCACCCTCCCCAATGTTTTTTTCTGTTTTGATCACGTTTTTTTTAAGTGGGTGTTTTGTGGTAAAAGTTCAATGTGACGTCATCAATTCTACTAGAAACTAAACAATTGATTATTTCCGTAACTCGTTAAAGGTTTTTACTATTCTAACCTCAAGACAAATAAAGCAATAACACAGGACACGGCTAAATAAAAACACCCCTAACTGTGCTATTATTTTTTTGAAATTTTTTCAATCAAAGTGCACAGACAAATAACAAAACAAATGCAGATATATCGATTTATATCTGAATAGTGTTTTAAATATATTTTTTAAAATATGCATCAGATACTTATATATTCTGTACTTCTGAAAACTAAAACAAGGGAAACTCAAATCGATTTCTTAAATTGTTTTTTCCTGTAAAACTTATAGATTCTTAAGACCCAAGTGCACTACCACCCATATCCATGGTAGCCAATCAAAAATAATCCTACTGAGCTTTAGTTTTGAATCCGATAAAAACAATTTACCAGCGATTTCCATTCTGCTAAAGTGTTGTAGTGCCCCAATGTCGGGTAAGCCAACAGAAAATTGAAAAGTGAAGTCAGACAAATGAATGGGGAATGTTTTGGGCTTAATTGGCAGTTGAAGTCCTTGCGCAACAAGGACCCTGGCACACAGATTAGTCACACACACACGCGATGGTTAAGTTCAGATATAACTGTTACCCATTTTCAGGCTGGGCATCACAATGCTGGAGGAAGCACAATTCCGGCTCGATCCAAACGCCAGATGGAGAATTTAAGCGACCCTTCGGCATACTCTGCACATATCGCTGCTTTCTCTGGTTTCCGCCAATGTAAGTTATGCAATCGCAATCACCACCACAACCACTCACCCATTACCACCACAGCCACTCACCCATTACCCATCAGCAGTAGGAACAACCATAAATAGCAACCACCCACTGCCATTGAAATAGCCAGTCGGAACATGCAATTTGCAATTTATGCACGCCTCTGTTATTTTGTAGTGTGAATTGCATTTTAAAATAAACTTGTTTGGCTTTTGCTTGGGGTTTGCTCTTCGGACTTGAGCTCGCCACCTCCTCTATGTGCGGCATTTGAATTGCATAACAATTAAAATGGCTGGCAGCATTGTTTCGACTCGTGTGGCTTTGCTATCGACTCGCTATCGGAATAAATATTTCATCGGCGATTTCATGCATCCGCACCAATGCATCACATCACCTCCATCATCCTGGAATCATGGCATCCTGCATCCAAAATGGCTCCTTTGTTGGCTCTCACTGTTTGCCTTCTGTTCGTTCGTTGCAACTTCCAGCTATCCGTACTGCGAATTCATATTCGATCTGCGCTTATCGAGGCACTTCACATCCTTTCCGGACTGCTACGAGATTCGGTGCAACGAGACGTTCTCCTTTTTCGGCAAGGAGCCCCACTACTGACCCACTCGGCTACCGCTGAGCCACCACTTCCCCTCCCTCTTTTTTTTTGAGTGCTATCTGTGACTAAGAATTGTATGCTTCAATAAATATGGGTTACTGCATAAAGCAATGCATTCGTTTGTCTCTGTCGAAAGTGTGAATATTAAGAGCACTTTACGTCTTTGTTTTGGGTGGATTGTGGGTTCTCGTCCTACTTTCAGACCATTTAAATAATTAATTGGTTTAAATTGTTAGTCGATACTGCAATTTATTGGCATACAGCTATTTAATTAAATGAATAGAATTTTTTACAGATTAAAGCTAAAAGAAGCATTTACAATAACCTAGAGTGTTTTATCTTGTAGGAATAATTACCTACCTCATGCGTGGATTATGGATTTATTTCTAATTTTGTTATTACAATAAATTTCCAATCGATAGGAAACGGAAATATCATATCATATCCTTTCTGAACTCGTTATTAAATTTTCAATCGAAGGGCATTTAAACTTGGATATTTTATTTTTTGGCCATTTTTCGCAAAAAAACATTATTCTCGGATGGGTGATATATCACCCCCAACGCAGTTGAAAAAATAAAATATTTCTGTTATTCAAAAAGAATGCCCAAAAAAAGATTGTTCCGATATCACCCCCCACAACAAAATCCTAGCTCCGCCACTGACCTACCCCCTTACCATATTTTCTTCTGCGTTCTTCTAGCCAAGTTAAGTATTTTCAGCCCACCTTCAGCCAGTGGACTAGCCCATGTTATTCTATGTAAATAGTGCCCTCCAGTGTCAGACAATCATTCGGGCTGATTGCTTTAAAATCTCACATCTCCTGGCGTTTATGATGAATGGTTCTGGCGACCGCTCTCCACCTTCCACTCGAAGGACTCGAGATCCTGTGAGAGGTGTTCATTGCTTTGGCGCCAAGCTGCAGGCAATTTCCTTCACTTTCCATTTCGGCTGGCTTTTAGTTTATTTCCGGTTTCGTAATAAAGGACAAGCAAACAAATAAACAAAGGGCATGGGACAAAGGGACCAGATACAGGATACTGAGCACTGGATACTGGATGCTGAATACTGAAAGCAGCCGGAGAAACAGCCGCCCAAACAACCTCATTCAATTCACAAATATTTGCATACAAATTAGCATTCTAATTGACTCTCGGGCCCAAAAATAAAGTAACCAACTGGCCCCTGGGGGGGCGTGGCCGAGTGGGCGTGTGCTCTTCAGTTCGCTTCATGTGATTGGCAAAAGTGTCCGCGGAGGGGGATAGATATCCCATTGTCTTGGCGGATCCTTGCCAAGCTAGCAGCTAGCCCATCCTCCATGGTTCCCTGGTTACCTTTACACTGTGAAAAATCAGCCAAGGACAATACAACTTTTTTAAGGTATTTTATTTACATTTTCCATATATTAATAATGATTAGCAACGAGAAAAAGAGATTAACGGAGATCAACACAAAGAAGAATCGACGTGTGCCCAATGCAAGATAGGCGTGTGACCGCTTGCATGCTTTTTATTGGTTTAACCAGGACCAATTTAACTTTGAATCCTTAAATCTAACCAATGAATATTCCGCAGTGTTTTTCGACACCCTTTCCTAATGCTTAGCCGCTCGAGTTAATTGTTTGCTTAGTGTCATAAAAATACAGTTTACGCCTTCCACAACAACACGTCCAGGTGACCCCCATGCCCACGCGCCCCAGGGAACCCCCGCCGCTCCAAGGATCTCGAGTTGGTCTAGCAGCAGCGATGTGGCTTAGTGGAATTGGCCAAGCGGAATGGGGCTGGAAAAGAAAATGGAATGGGAATGGCAATGGTAAGGGAATGGGGAAGTGGATAACAGCCACGTGCAAACAAAAGGTCGTCGCAGACAATGTTGTCGCTGGAAAACTTTTAACTTTTACAAACTTAATTGTTGCCTGCTCTAAATATATAACACAGCAGGATCCACCAGCTTTGGTGGATGGTGGGCGGTGGGCGTGGTTGCGGCCAGGCACTTGGGTGGGTGGAATCGCCTTTGTATACTGGCGTTTTGCAATTTATGGCACTTTGTCTGTTTAAAGTTATATTTAATACGTTCACAATGGGGATATTAATATGAATATTCTAAATGAGAATTTCAACTTTCGCAAATGAAATTTAAAATTCCTCTAAAAATGGCATAGGAAAGTAAGCATTAAAAATTCCTGTAAATTTTCTATTCCAATATTTCGTTTGAAAAGTTATTGTGATTATGGCAACAAAAGAACTGAAGATTTTATTAAAACAAAGAAATTAAATCAGAGCGTCTTTTTGCTGGTTTCTTTGGAGCACACGCAACCCAAGTTGGCCCATGCATGTACACCGCGTCGTATTCGTGATATTAAAAAAATAAAACCAAACTTTGCGAACAAACCTGAAATATGATTAATTCCAAAACCGCCGCAAGTATGCCCACAAAGCAAAAAGTCCTAATAAATTAAATTAAGGCGTCTCCCTGGTGATTTCTGAATGGCAGGTTCACCTGCGTACTTCAGTGCGCAGCTAATTCCAGAGCCTCACCATTCCTGCCGTACATCCCTGCGTATACGTGACGTATGCACGACGTGAGCTGCGATTTGCGCTCGATGTAGGAAATGGGGAATCCCCAGCTAAAAGAAAAAAAAAAGTTAACTCGGCGCATACGTCAGCCTTGAATAATGCGGGTAAGTTGGGAATTCGAAACTGTTGCAACTCCGGCAAATAAATATTCAGAATGCAATTACGCATGGAATTTGCTAGCACTTAGCGTGTCGCTTTGCCCACTTGCAGTGCCCTCGTTGCTCGGCAGCTCTGCTGAAAACTTATTTAACTTTTTACGATGTCATTTGGGAAAGTTTGTAATCATTTTCGTTAGTGCATGCTTCAAAAATGGCAAAAGAAAAGAAGCCAAGAAATTATTTATACGATTTTCAGACAGTTGAAAGTGTACGACCGAGTATAAATAAAGCGCTTCCACTGCCGCTGTCGTTTCTTATTCCTTTCGATCCAAAAGAGGCCAAAAGAGAGGAGTTTTCCCAGTTTATCCGTTTTCTCCGTTTTCCCAGCGAGTCTCGCGTCTCTCCAACTGCCAGTCGAAGTTTTCAAAAATGTTGTTTTCCACTTCTCCCGCGTTTACTCGCCCAGTGTTTTTATACCCGTTAATCGTAGAGTAAAAGGGTATATTGTATTCGGGGAAAGTATGAAAAAGGTAGAAGAGCGTTTCCGGCCATATAAGGTTTATATTTTCTTGATTAGAATCACTAGCTGGGAAAACTATAAATGTAATTTTGTAGTCTTTATTAATACCTTTCGAAATGTAGAAGAAATTTTTCAAATCGGACCATTCATTAAAAAGTTATGGCCAAATAATACAATTCAAGAACTGCAAGCAGTCGCTTTGCTCGCACTTTCTTTAGCTGATTAATGGGTATTTGATAGTCGAGGTACTCGACTTTAGGATTCTCTCTTGTTTTTCTTCCTTTTCTTCTCCCTTTTCCTGCAAAGATCCTGAGCCAAAGTTTTGAAGTATTAGTGCGTGCAGCGATTCGGGGAGGTCGAGAAGCAACTTTTACTTTCCATCCCGCTGCAGCTTGTGGCTGCCGCAGCCGTTTCCTTCAGTTAGCCAGTTATCCAGTTACCGGCTACAGCCGCAGGCCAACTGCTCACAGCAGCTGCCACCGAAAACTTTGGGCCAATCCCCATTCCCAATCGCAGTTCCAATCCCAATCCCAATCTCAATCCCAAGCCACACTGATAATTTCCCACTGTTAGTTGCAACAATACAGGAGTCTATAGTATAGATTCTATACAATTGCTTAACGGGGCGAATTCCTTTTTTTTAAAAGCTATTTTCAGTCCATATGATTTTTTCAATCATCTTACTCGAGAAATGACAAAAAAACGGTGCACCAACTAAGACATTATTTCCTAATGCATCGTTGAAGTTTTCCTTTGGTTCTGCTTGCATGGGACAGCTCGGAAAAAAGCTTTTAAGCTACTTAAGGTTGTTGGCAGGGCGATGTTTCCACAGGGAACGGCTGCAGGGGGCGGGATAAAGACCCGGCTAATGAGTTGACAGACCACGCCCCCCCAAACAGTGACGCAAAAAAAAGAAAACAGTAAAAATGGAGGGGGCAAAGGGCAAGGAGCAAAAAACAGATGGGTTACAAAAACTCGCAATTTGAGAATGAATTGGGAAGCTGGCTTCAAGAAAGTCCCCCAATGAACTCGTTTCATATGGGTCAAAGTGCAGTCAACTTCAAAATAAATTAACAATGAACTTGTTTATAAGCAATTTCTTTTAAGCAAACTCAAATTGTATTGTAAAAATTAAACTGTTTATTTAAATAAAGAAAAGTTCAATACGCGGAAAGCTAAATATTTGGGATATTTAAACAAGATATTATTCAACGAGTAACGGGTATAATTTGAGCATTTTTATTATTCTAGGCATTTCATGATCACTTTTTAGTTCAACATCACTTTGCAGCACAATCAACGCATTCCTTCGCAGGCCCTAAAAAATAAACAGATCGCAATTCCCATGTGATGTTGGCATTTTTCAGTGGCCCACAAAACTTGCACTTGACATTATTGCGATTGCTGGAAAACAAACGATTATTATGACAAACTGTTTCGGTCCAATCTGGGTTGGTTTCTCTCGCATGGACTTGGATTGAAATGGTTTGGATTGGATGCGATGGGATTGGATGGGGGGCATTAATCGTGGGCGAGAGCTTGGGGCATCGGTCTGGGTAAAACGCAAAATTTGCATTGCAATTTTATTCTTGATTTAATCAAGTGCCGTGGCACAAACGCCAATTTAACTACCCACACACACACACAAACATCGAGTCGCAGGGCAATGAGAATGCTGTCAGACGTTGCGTATACGTAATGCCGACTAAATAATGCCCGTGTGCCTTTGGTTTGTGTGGCATTATGGCATTATGGGATTATGGAATGGTGTGAGCTTAGCGCGTAGTTTGCACCAGCCAGCCGAGTCACCGAGATGTACCAGCTGGAGAAGATCTGGGTCCTGCTGTGCCTGACCCTCGTGGGTGTCCTTGGCTTCGGCCAGTTCCACATGAAGCACTACCAGCTGCAGCGCAACTACAACACGCAGGAGGATTCCGGCGAGAACGACAACAGTGTGCTGCGTGAGTGTTGCCCTTTGTGGGGACAAACTATCTATCCATTGTGATCGGCACACTGAGGGAAAAGCCATAGAAAAGAAATTATTTAAAGACCCTGAAAGTCAGAAATGAATAATTTTTACTTTTTATACGACTTTAAATGTGTCTGGCCTCCACATCTTTAAAGATTTCGAAAAAGTATAAATGCAATGCTGTTGTGCTTATTTAAACGTATCGAAACGTAGAAGAAATTTTTCATATCGGATTATTCATAAAAATGTTATGAGCAAATAATGCAATTCAAGCAGTGCAAGCAGTCGCTTTGCTGCATGCATATCTCCATCTCCCTCGCACTTCCTTTAGCTGAGTAACGTTTTCATAACTATAGTAAGTAGATTAAGAAAATATCGGGTATTTTGTTAAATCAGTTGTAATGTATTACATTTAATAATAATATAATATTACGTACATAAGTTATGTAGTAGTGGCACTTCAGGTATGCAGCATTATAAGTTAAGTTTGATGTATTAAAAATGTAACAATATTTTATTTCAGGAACTTTTCGCCGCTGCATGTGGGAACAGTCGAAGTTCCTGCCCCGCCGCCTCGTTCTGCTGAGCCTGTGCTCGAATCTCTTCTGCGAGAACAATCACATAATGCCTCGCTCCAGGTCTATTTTCGTAGTGGAAAAAATGTCTAGGCCGAATGAGTAGTTGACCAATGCAATTCTATCTAGCTAAGCATGTGCACTCCCCCCAGCTTCCAGTTCCCGGTTCCCATTTCCCAGTTCCATCCGAGCATGTCCAGACACAATCCCTCCCTAGATTCAATCTAGTAATTTTAATTTTAATCTGAACTAATGCCCCGTCCCCCGGCCACGTGGCCCGTTTGTGTCTCCTCCAGCTGCCTGGACATCCTGCCCGACCAGTGCGAGCAGGGCGATGAGGAGGAGCTGATGTACAAGCCCTTCCCCGACTGCTGTCCGGTTTACTGCAACCTGAAGCGTCGGATGCAGCGCCTGCGCACCATGCACTTCCGGCACCGCCTGCTGCGCAACAAACAGGACGGCTCCTCGGGATCCGCCGGCGGTGGATCCGCTGGCGGCGACGGTCCCAACAACTCGCTCCTCAGCGAGTTCGTCTACAACAACTACTAGGACGGATGGCCGAACTGGGACATGGACGATGCGAGGACATCCCAGCAAATCGAATTACTGTGCGATTTGTGAACTGGTCAACTTGTACTTTTGCCTGACAACTAACAACTGACTACTGGAGTTCGCTCACTGAGCGGAAAGTGGATTTTATTAATCTCAATCTCAACTTATAGGCTAATAATGTAGGATATCATATAATATATAATCTGGTATTTATCAAAGTAGACGTCTAGGCCTTAAAATAAGTGTGTTAACATGTTAACTTGATATCCTCAATTATTGACAAACAGATTGTATTTGCTGGCTAGAGATTGTATTAATCTGGAAATATACACCCAAAAAAATGATATGATATGAAACGATGATCGATTTGTTGTTATGTGGTATACATTTGACTTGATATGCGGGTAGCTCAATTCGATATGCTTGAAATGTTTCTCCCTCCCACTCATTGCTGCTTCCTATCTTTTTCGCTAAAAAATATCACAAATTTACCATGCGCATATCGATTTGAACCCAAAGTGTTTATTTTTGTGTGTAAGTGTCAAAAATGCGACAATTCCGATTTTTCTTCAACTATTCAGCTTTATTTCGCCAGTGTCGGCTGCTTGGGGGCTCCACTCCATCGAGAACTTACTTTTTCGCAGTGGAATCTCCCCAATCGAAGTTGTCACTTGTTTTTTGGCCATTCGTCTAGACAGCCTCTCGAAAGGGTCTGTCCAAGTAGATGGGCTTTTTTCCAACGCTGTTCAGAGGCCGTGACCAAGTAGCTGCAGCCCGTTTTCCCCATTGGGGTTTTTCGGGGTCTCAAGAGCTGGCCTCCTCGAAAATGCCATTTCAGGACATTCCAGGACATTCCAGGGTGTGTGGGAAGTGGGGACATATCCTGCAGCGCTGCTTCCTGTTTCCGCTTATCGTTTTAACACTTTTATGGAGCAGATGCAGCTGCAGAGCCTCGGAGCTTCGGTGGCCGTGCTTCTGTCTTCATTTTTATCTGCAAACAAGCAATAAATTTTATTTTAATAAGCAACACTTTTGATAGCCAGTGTTGAGCTGAGCAGTCCTCTCCCTCACATCCTCACATCCCTTCCCTTATCGCTGCTGCACTTGTTCTTTGGCTTGTCCTTGTCCTGCCATCCTTGCTATCCGTATCCTCGCCGCATCCTTGCTGTGGCGCTGCAGTAAATACAAAGAATACTCGGCATCATCGGCTCACCGTTAGCTGCCATAATGTTGCGGTCCAAGGCAGAGGCGCCGAGCACTGGGGGTAGTAAATATATTTCGGTACTCTTGGAAAGGAATCAAGGAATATAACGTAGATAGTGTATGAAATAAATTGAAACTTGAATGATATACACAACATTTTCCAGTTAAATCCTGTTCTCACTCTTCTTTTAAAGGCCACATTGATAAGCAATCAGTGATGCATTTTAGCTGTATTACCGATAAACCGATTGCCTCTGCCTATCGAGCACAACTGTACCTTGCCTGCCTTTTGTTTGAGCAGAATCAAAACAGGTAAACGTACAATAAGAGTGAATGGAAAATTGCAAACAATTGCGAGTCATTTTCGAGACTCCTGGTCCTTTGGCTGCCACGTCAATGTCCTTGGCTTTGTGGCAAAACATTACCCCAGATCCAGACCCCGATCCGGAATCCAGGACCCAGAATCTAGAGCCTGGGTCCTGATAATCCCCATGGACCCGTTTGGCCACCCACCGCCTCGTTTACTTTGTGTGGCTATAGCTGTATCCTGGCACTGCGACTCACCTCCTTAAAGCTCCCATTCCGCCCATCGTCTTATTTTTTATGTGGCTTTATGCGGCAACATCTCATTGTGCTCCATACGTGTGTGTGTTTTAGCCGTGTATGTGTTTGTGTGCGTGGCGCCTTGTCGTCCTTCTTGCAGCCATTGTTGTTGCATCTGCAGCTGATGTTGTTGTTTTTTTTACTTTGTTGCACTTTGAAGATTATTGCACAATGCAATTTATATTTATCGTACGCTTTTAGTTCTAGCTGCTTTTTGCTAGATTCGTTCTAAGGCAAAGTGCTTATGCATTTCTGCACAAGGTTTGACTAGAGATTCTAAAATAAATGTTTTGATTAAAAAGATAAGTGCTAATAACTAATTTTGGTTAAATATAAAAATGATAAATGGTTTATATTTTATTTGATAGTATAAATACTTTGGGAACACTTTAAAATAGTCTTACAAGTATTCGGCTAAGATTATTATTTCAACGATCCTATTGAGTTCTTATTCTTATTTTATTTTATTATTTTATTTGAAATTCAAATATCATAATAATCGAGATGAGATGTTCGGGTTCTAGATTTTATTTCATTGCCCATTTATTCCATTTTTCTGTACAATTTTTACATTTATTTTCGAATTTGAATATCTTAATGATCACGATCATGTCATCGAGATGAGATTTTCGAAGGGCATTTAGGCTTCATGCTCTCATAGTTTCTTTGATGTTTTTGTTTCATTTATGTCCTTGGTGATGTCATATACATGGTTGTCTGCTCGCATCTACATGTATGCATATATGTATGTACCTACGTCTGGTGATTTGTGGGGCGTGTTTCAGCCCCTTTGTCGTCATACATACCTACATGCCATACCTGCAGTCGGCAGCGGAAAGTGCAGTTGTGGGTGGATGTGGGATGGGGGTATCTACTTTATCTGCATGTGGCCACATTGTGGATGATTATAAAAATTCAATGCATTCAAAATTGTATTTTTGCCTTGGCAGAGGCGTCTTAGGGCAGCTTTTCTCTTCAAGACAAAGGATTTTGTGCCCAGATAGCATTGTATGTCGGTTGCCTCCTTAAAGCCCAGACTTTGGTCTTTGTCCTTGTGACTTGGCAAGGTATCCCCGGTTGATGTTTGGTGACAATTCTAATGACTCAACGTCATGGCGACCTTTGGTGAATCGAGTGAAATGCCAAAATGTCCATTAATTAACATTGGGTTGAAAAAGTTCTGGTTCTGGTTGAGCTACAGCTACAGCTTCAGTCAGGGGACAATTCATCCCAGTGGCGGATTTAAGTTTTCTTTGTTTCGCTCCCGTTGCCGCCGCCGCCGCTTTTCCGACTTTTCCACTTTTTCCTGGGCGCACAATTAGGCGGCGCGGACTTTTCTGGCCTGAACTCAAAACTGTTGAGTTGTCGGAGGAGCACTTTGAGTTTTTCGCTTATTGACATTCTTCAACAAAAAATTGAAAAGGCGGAAGAAAAGTCGACGAAGGACTGAGGCGGAGAGCACTAAATAACTTTTGAAGGAAGTTGAAGTTTCGAATCAATAATGACTAGACAGATTTTCTGCAAGTGGTGTAAGCTCAATTGTAATAAAACCAAGAGTAAATCAAAATTAAAATATCTAACTTTGTAGTTATACACCCAAAAAAACTGTTTATAAAACGATGATCAATTTAATGGTATTTCGTATCAATTTGACTTTTCCCCCTGCCACTCTTGTAACTTTAAGCGCTATCCCGCTTTATTTCAAATTGAGAGGATTAGTTATTTATGTCGCAATATTGCTTATTGATCTTTTTCGAAGTCAGAGAATCTCCGAGAGGGAGAAATCGGTATTGCATGGTAACCTCTAGATGGCGCCATTATAGTTCAATAAATATCGAAAAATAAAACATTAAATCAATCACTTGATAAAAAGCCTTCTGTTATTTTTATTTTGAGATACATTTTTACTTTAGGGTAAACTCAGTTAAATTACAAATAGTTGCGGTGGCTAGCAGCCCATTTTGCTGAGGGCATCGGCGGCAGCCAGACCCATTTCGTTTTCCGTGGATCCTTCGGGTTCCAGGCACAGGATATCCCGGCTGACTTGGAGCAGCTTGACGACCTCCTTGAGTCGCCGCTGGAACTCCTGACGTGAGATCTGTCCACTTTGGATGGCCGACTGGGCGAGGACCATGACGGGGGCATGCAGCTCGTACATGATGAGTCCTGCATTTGGAAAGCATTTAAGGGTAACAGATATTTTCTAGGAAAACGGATAGGGAACCCACCTCTCAGACGCGTTAGTCCCGGATCGAGTACGTCGACTATTTCCAGGAACTCTCGGCAGTAGCGCTCCTTGCGGGCAATATCCTCGGGCGACATTTGCGGCAGCAAATATCCTTCGATGCGGCCGTAGATCTGGCACAAGGAATATTTTGCGGAGAGCAGGAGGTAGTGGTTCGGTCGCAGGACATCCCGATATCTGATTAATTAGTATAGGGGAGCCAAGAAAATAATAGAAAATATTATTTCCAGTTTCACATGCATTCATCGGAAGATATATGACAAAGTAAGAGAATTTTAAAATGAAAGAATATTAAAATATTTAGCATTTGATAAAGAATTTCTTCTTTTGCAAAACAGTAAAGCTGTCGCACTCGAATTAGGTGGCCATTTTTTCCATTTTGTGACTGAACTGCCGAATCGGGCTAAAATGATTGTTCAAATTAGTTAAAGCATGTATGTAAGTGCAGATTTTTCTTTTTGCTTTTTGTTCATAAATATTCGCATTTGTTGCATTCGCATTTTTCTTTTTGTAGATTAATCCACGCACCTTAGGAGAAAGTTCTCCAGCCCGGGAATGTCGTGCACATCGATGGCCTCCAGGTCATCGTTGATGCGGTCCAGCTTTCGCTCCACATCCTCTGCCCCGATTTGGTGGGAGCAGCGATCGCAGCTAATCGGAGAGGGTGAAGAAATAGTCAGATTTAAGCCCGCTCGGCCCAGGGATAATATATATATAGGCCTTGGGGACCAAGGCCAGTGATGGGTGCGAAATTCGGGTTTTGACAACTTAATTTCATCTAAGATTCTTTACCAATCTAAAAGTCTAATTTTCCTAGATAATTTTCATTTAGATTTTCCTATATAATTTGTTCTTGTCTTTATTATAATATATCAATTGCAATATCCTATTAAATGGATTGATATATTAAATTTGTATCTTATAATTCTTATAATATCTTTATAATTCTATTAATGAAAAATATCTAAACAATCATAAATTCTAAGGAAACATTACATGTAAAGCCCTAATTTAAATTATCGTGTAACCTACATGATTAAAATTTGAAATCTAATATATTTAATTTAAATGTCCAAGATCAATTGGAATAAACTATTTAAAAGGATTACTCCCCTAGTTTTTATAATTTTATGTCGAATCAAAAATCCAATCCATTACAAATTTGGAGGAAACATTAAACGTAAGCACCAATTGGTCATCGTTTAAGCAAAATAATTAAAATATAAAATTAAAAAAAAATATTTAATTTTATAATCTTCAATTTGATTAACATCCCAATAAATGCTAGCCTACATGTGTCATTGGAATTTCACTGCCCACCACCGCTACCACCACCGCATCTCTATCTCTACTCACGCCCAGTCGCCGGTCTGCTCCAGGGGATCCACCGGCCGTACCGATCCCGCCCGGCAGGTGGCGCACACGAGGGCGCTGCAGTCGGTGCCCAGTTCGCGTGGATCGGCGCAGCGCCGGCAGCGGCACCAGAACAGCTTGCCCTCGTGCATGAAGGCGCGCCGCTTGAGGGTGCCCTGCAGCGTGTACGCATAGCTGAGCGTCAGCGCTTCCCGCTCGCGCACGAGCCGCGAGGTGCGCAGCAGGATGCCGAAGGACTTGGGGTCGTCCGTGTGCGCCGTGTTGGGTGTGCAGTCGTGCGCGAGCAGGAAGGCGCTCGGATATAGCGTCCGCGCCTTGGCGCCATTCTGGCCGATCTCGAAGCAGTTGACGTCCAGGATGCCGCACACCTCGTGCACCTGCTCCGCCTCCAAGTCCTCCAATTTCCACGTGACTCGCAGTCGCTGCACCACCTTCTCCTCGTAGTGGCGCCACAGCACGGCATTTAGTCGCCTCTCCTCCGTGTGCGATTCCATGCGGGCGATCAGCGCAAACTGCTCCGGATCGTGCTGGCGCAGGAGGAGGATGCGCACGATCATCACCAGCTCGTAGAGGTCGCGCACTTCCGCCGGACCGGCGCGATCCGTCAGCAGTTCGCCGGCGACCGCCCGCCGTTCGGCGTACAGTTGGCACTCGGTTTCGGTGTGACCATGCTTGCGTTTGAGGCCCGCGCAGCTGGCGCCGCAGAGTGGCCAGGCGCAGTGGGAACAACGGTATTGGTCCGTTTTCAGGGTCACCGGCTGATAGCAGCCCAGGCACACGGGATCGCCGCTCACACAGGGCCCAATGGCCAGCGGCTCCTCGCGGATGAGGGTCTCACCGGCCTCCAGCTGGCGGCTGGCCACCAGATATCGGCCATATATCTCCGATTGGGCGACACGAAACGGAGCAGCCTCCTCCTCCTGCTCCTCCTCCTCCTTAACCGGCTGCTCCTGCTTGTCCCTCGACTGCTGACCCCTCTGGTTTTTGGCTCTGTTGCTGTTCTTGTGGTGATTCTGCGGGAGGCACGAGAAGCACAGGAGATGAGAGCACTCATTAGTGGTGGCGTCCGTTGCTAATTGTATTCTAATTGCTGTCCCCTGCTCTCGCTCATTAATCACCGGTTCGGCCCACTGTCACCCCCCAACAGGCAGGCCACTGACCCACCCACTTTCCACTGCCCCACTCCTCACCGTTGTCAACAGCTGGCACTTAAATGCCACTCAGCTGGCCGCAACAGGTGCTCGTTTGCACGACGCCCCCGCCCATCGAGCAGTCCCAATCGATTTGGCTTGAATGGACATGCATCGGGCCGACATCCTGTGCCGGTTGAGTTTTTAGCCATTACTTGACAGGGTTATTAGCAAGCTATTTAAACCAGAGGAACTATTAATGTGTTTAAGACCCGCATTTACTAACTACTCAAATATATCAAATGTAAGTCTATAGTTTTACTGTATTACAAAAGGTTAAATAGTGCAAAAACCACATTAAAGATGCGAATTAGATAATCATCAGATAAAAACGGGAAAGAAAGCTAACTACATTAGTTTAGCATTATCAAACAAATTACAATTTTAACATTTAAGCTATTTTAATTTATATAGATGCATTAATTCATTTTCTTGTTGGTGTCTAGTTTCTTCGGAAATGCTTATACAAAATTAGCTTCATTACATTTCAGCAAATGTTTCAGTACTCTTTGTAAAACGTTGCCAAATTCTACTTTTAGCTCTGCAATTGCATTTAAAACATATGTAAATTGACTCATTCCATAAGATACGTACTGGATTGTTGCCAATGTTTTGTAATATCTTTATTTTATTTTATACTTAAAGTGAGGAAAAAAAACTAACTTGAAGAATATTTGAGATAAACATTTAATTCTCTGCGTAGCCATTTATAAAAATGTATCAAAATTATTTCAGTATTAAATCAACAGGGAACTCTTGGCAACCTCGTTCTTTCTCGTTTTTCCTGACGTTTGACCTTCACAATTAATTAATATATATTAAGCTCTTCAGAGCGTACATCAAATGCAATGTAATTCTATAAAGATGTGATTTTTTTTTATAATTGGGTAAAATAAACAAACGGCCTATCCCTTAATCATGTTGTTAATGGACCCGAGACCTGCACAAATAAATCTGTGCATACTTATCGGACAATTAAAAGCATTGGTTAATCCACTACTAATTGATGAAGCTCATTTTTGTACCCTGGCAGTGGGTATTATAATATAAGTCACGAGCCAATATAATATATAGTCTCGTTGCTTTAAATCTATATGCATACAGCGCACTAACAATAATCTTTTTTCTATTTCGGGTGGTATATATGACTTATAGTATTAGAAGTAAATAATACATAATTTTTAAGAAGAATAATTTGTTGTTATGGGATTTTCAGAATTTAACATTATATCGTATGGTACTTATAAGAAGTGGAGAACTAAACTATAAGAGTATTTATTTTTCGGCTTGCCGAATACAGCTTAATTTCCTTGACAAACATTTAAAAATGTCACTTTCAACACCAAAAGGTTGACAAAGCTCTTGTATTAAACGACATTTGATTTAATGGAATGTCTTGTGCGTAATTTGTGGAACATTTCCTTGGCCATCAGGGCTGCGGATGCAATGTGGCTACCGGCGGCCCAGTGATATATTACCAGGCATTGTCTGAGCTCCTAACCGATTTCGATAATGATTCATGGCCAGTTTGTGTATGGAAAATCAATTTCCATACTTCTGGCTTCGCTCAACGCCTGCATATCGGATTCATTCATATCCGACTTATTTATAGGCGGCGACTCTTTTGAATATCGCCGAGCACACATTGCGTTCCGCTCCGTTCCGTTATAAATAAAACAAAACACAACACAACAATGTGGCATCGCACCACCATCGCCTCATCGCCCCACCACCCAACCACCCAACCACCCGGCACAGTGGTTCACTCTCCGATTTCCTTTTCATCACCACAAAAAAAAAAGAACGGAAGAAAAAAGGCGGGCTATACTGAACACAGAATATCCAAAATAGATTTGTGTTGTTTTGTCGGGTGGTTGCGGCCTTTCAGGAATTTTTATACGACTTGATGGTCTCCGCGATTGTAGTGCACCACTCTATGTGGATCGGAATCGGATCTCGATTGTAACTCGTGGGCCTTATTTGCTTGGTCAATAAAAGCTCTCCCACGTGCATATATAATCAGTGCACATAAAACAAATTCTGGAAATTAAAGATTCATAGATAGATGGAAAGAGCGATTTTCCAAAATATATCACATGATATGTATAATCAAAAAATCCAGAAAAAAATATACATTTTTCTAAAATAAATTTTCATTTGTGAAAACAAAGATAAAATTTTCTTTGTGTGTATGTAAATGTGCTTTTCATTTCACTGTTACTATTTGCAGTTGTCTGTGTGGTAAATTAATTTTTAATTATGCATCCGCCCCGCCCACTACCCACCGCCCATTGCCACGCCCTCTGCGCTACCTGCGGTGTTTACTTTTTTTCTTCCCGGCATCGCTTTATTTGTATTTAAATTTGATTTTATTTTATTTTATTTATTATTTCGCCCGACGCTGCTTGTTAATTGATTTTAATTGATAATTTTTACGCGGTGCACACGAGTTATTTAAAAGGCCGCTCGCATTTAATAGATATGTTTAACAACTCGTCAATTAATCGTGCCTGTAAATCGCGTCGAATAAATTGTGTCAGCAGATTGCAGTAAAAAGAAAAACAAAAAAAAAACAGACAGTAAAATAAGTAAAAATAAATAAATAAAACTTCTGGCCACGCGTTGTTCGAGCCGCGACGCACAAATTGCAACTGTCGAGTTGTCGTCGAACGTCGGACGTCGAAAATCGGGAGACGGCGCTACGCCCAAGTTGTTGGCACACATTCAAATTCAAATTTAACGGGCCCGGCCAGCCCACTAACACACACACAGGCACCCTGACAGACACACACACACACTGGCACAGTTGATATATTTTTAAAAATTTATGATATTGAAAACATTTTGGCCACAAGTCCACTGAGAGCCGCGCATCTGATTAAAAGTTCGCGGCACCTCAATGCCACTGTCAAGATGAGTTAAATCGCTCATATATATCGCGATCGAGCTCTCATCATTTATTTCGGATATTTCGGATTCGTTTTGGGACCTCTGGCAGGCCAGAAATAAATCAATTTGATTTCGACTGCGAACACACAATTAAGCAGCACTATTAAGGCGAGAGAACGATGCAATTGCAGTGGAGGAAAAATAAACATATTTTGGTTGATTTTAATTTCTGAAAAATATGTACATAGTACGACTTGCATCTTAAGAATTTTTAATAAAAATCTCAAAATTTTTTTGATGGCTAATTTAATCAGCATAAGTTTCGAGAAATATAGCTGCTTTGTTCCCATTTTTAAAAGCAGCTGCTTTAGTATTTTATATTAATTAAATGTACTTATCAACACACTAAAAAACCCACCGGGATTACATTGATATGCGCATGGTAAATTTATGGTATTTATACTGATCAAATTGATATAAAATAAAATCATTTTGCCGGTATCTCTTTTTCGGAGATTCCCTGAGAGGAAGAATTGATACCACAAAGTATCAAATTGATCATCGTTTCATATATTTTTTTTGTGGGTGAACCGATTCGAAATATGGAAAGTATAATCAATTTTATGGACTTCAAATATGCAATCAAAATAATTAATTCAAAGTGTTTGCCCAATAGACTCTCTTCAGTATGTCATGGCTTTGGGTCTTAGGGTGCATTAAATGCCTGATGGACAAAGGGAATAGATATGACCTTTGCAGGGCATGATTGTACTAGAAAACCCCTGGCTAACACATCAAAACCGGCCATTTAATAATTTATTTTTACCTGAAATCTGTCAGAAGTGGCCAGGCACATATCTGCAGATGTGCATCCCAAGTGCTCACCAGGTATTTGGAGGCCTTGCCACCCACAAATCCCCACCACCCACCGCCCACTAACCACCCAAGCATCGAGCCACCCAACCACACAGCAATCTCTGTCACATATATCTGCGGGGCTAAGTTTCGATTCTCTTTGGCCATGAAGTGTCCGGATCCCGGAGCGGAGTCCGATGATAAATAAAATTGCTTTTCAACCGACTCGCCACTAGATGGCCAAAATTCTGGCTGTCAGTGGCAACTTAAGCCGACTTAACAAAGTCCCGGCCTGCTTCCTGTTGATATTTCCAAAAATTTACCAGCCAAATGCTTGCGATTTATGCAATTTTGTTTTTATGGTGTGTCAAAAGTGTTCATAGAGTCGTCATCGTTTTATAACCCAAACCCCCATCCCCCATCCCCCATCCCCCATCCCCCATCCCCCGTTTTCATCTCTATGTGCGAGGGCATTTCAATTAGTTTTGAAACGATGCCGAAGGCCAGCTTTTTAGTTGCAGTTGCAGTTGATGTTGCTTCTTTTTGCTGCTGCTGATTTTAATTGTTTTCATTGCATTCGCCTGCGGGCAGTAGGGAAAACAACTAGACCAGCATCGGAAATGATCTAGATTCGGCAGGGTCTTTCGGCTCGAATTTTGCTTACCCATTTACCATATCTACCATATTTTGTAGATGTAGTAAAACCAGCGAAATGTGTAGAAAATAAAAATAAATACTTTATATAAAAAAATAATTATTCCGAAATTATTATAATTATAATTATTTTCCAAGAAATAATGTTCAAACCATTGCGCAAACATTGAAGCAACTGCAATGTAAGTAATTACATTTTAATGATGTTTAGGTAGGCATTTTTAATGACCAATATTAGCTCTTCGTCATGTATGGCTTTTAATTAAGAGCTACTATTAATTAATAAAAAATAATTCATGGCAAACAAAATTGATTGAAAAAGCGAAAGGTCAACGGTTAGATAATTACTGAACCTATTCTGCATTATTCGTGTGTATATGTGAAAAGCCAAATTATGTAAACATTTTGCGTAATTTATTTTTCATTTGTTTACCCAAATTGATTCCCTATTCTCTATAAAGTGAAATGTTTATTTTCGCAGTTGCCTTTTAGTCGTAGCTAATAAAGGTTGAAATTATCACATTTCGAGACTTTTTGACTCGAAAACGCATCTTTTCAGACGAAGGATACGGATAATTCGATGTTACTCAGGTGGAAAAGGCAGCCGAAAAATATGCAGTGCTAAATGGCCGCAGGGGATGCATCATGATGGTGTTAGTGTGGGTGTGTGTGGGTGTCGGCCATCTTCCATCCTCCATCGCCGTGCATGTGTATTGGTGGCACTACTGTGCGGAATGACATCAAATTTGCATGTATTTATGTACATAACCTCGCACGCGTCCGCTTTGTTTATGATCTGGAGCGGAAACGAGACGCATGTGGCATCCACACGAGGACTCGCTTCGACATCCTCCCACTCCCCCTCCTGCCACCCTGCCACGCCCCCTGGAAACACTTGCCTCGCCCGAAGGCGCGCCAAATGCGCGACACCCAAAAACAAAGTGAACCCTTCGACAAAAGCGGCCGAATCGGAGGATGCCCAGGATGAAGTGGATGGGTTGTGGGACGGAATGGGATGGGGTGGGATGTCCTGGGGCAGTGGCACAAGTTTGCCTATGCGGCAAATATTTGCCAGTCAGCTGGGGCTAAAGTCGCTGATACACTCAGAGAAAGCAGGGAAGCTGAGTGTACTATTAAGTCTGCTGTGGTATTTATCAATAAAAGCTAAAATTGTTAGGTATTTTGTTAAAAATTATTAACTTACACTGAAGCCAAAATAAAACTGCATTTTAAACAAAATATATATAAAAATTCTTCTTAAGTTTGTTATTCGTTAAGGACTTTTTTCATATTAATTTGTTCATATTATAAACTAACTAAAAAATGTCAGCAACAAATTCTATTTATATTTAAAAATTTACCTACGAATTTAATAATTTATTTCTTGGCTTTTGTTTAATTAAATTTAATACATGTAAAGATAATTTAAATTTTTTCGTGTGTTGCCCGTCTGAAACTGTGTATATTGTTGTTGATGACTTTCAGTGTCAGCATAAACGTCTCTCCATTCCGGCCAGTTGGCCCCTCGCCCATTCTCCTCCAAGTTTCTCCAAGTCCAACTCCAAATCTATGCAAGTATGTCAACCTGAATCCATTGTCTGGTTCGGGCCCAGTTAACTGCACTTCCCAATTTCGCACACGGGAGTGCCAAGTCCAACATTAAGTTGGCTGTAATTGAGGCAGGTAAATGCATTCTCATTCGGCAGCTCTTTATTTGGATTTATTAGACACATTAAGGAGGAATAGGTGCTGCTGACTCACCACTCAATGACTATGACTTGGAGTCAGGCATTCTAATCATTTTCTATAATGCCGCAGACTCAAGCTCCTCATCATTACTTCTAACTTGACTACTAAAGGTTCTGAAATTAGGGAGTTTCTGATTCAGTTTTACGAGGAACTTATTGAAATTTACATTTTTATTTAAATTTATATACCATCATTTATTCTTAGATTTGTAAATCATTCTATGATTTTAAAGGAATATTTTTAATTATATTTAAATTTAATTACATATGTTAAGGAACGATTGAAGCTATAGAACGATAGCTAGATGAGATTGTAGATTGATTCCTAAGAAACCCTAAGAAATCCCCACCCCAGGATCCAGGATCTCTTTTCCCATTTTTCTGAACCTGAACTCGAGCTCTTTGTAGCTGATTTTCCTCGGACGCATTATCGCTGTCGTCATCGCCATTTGTTGTGGGTTATCACGGCAGGTTGTCGCCTGATATTACGGCCATATGGCGATGGCGATGGCCTGCAGCACTGAAAGGAACTCACCACTGAGCAGGTCCTTGCAACCGATTTCGGAGGTTCTAAATGGGGAGGTATTTGGGGTGCTGGGGACACAAACGGCGCAGCGGCGGCGCAACTGCAAGGATAATGCCGAGTGGCGAACGCAGCCGAAGGACCAAAGCCGAGGGGCCACGAAGGACACGAAGCTCGGCTGCCACGGAGCCTTTATAATTCACCACGCGACCAGAAGAAGGCACAGTCGTCGACCGGCTTTCGCAGCGTGCGCCTCGTAACCCCGGAATTTTGGCCGTGTTTATCTTAGCCCAATTCGAACGTAACGAACGTAAGCCAAATGCTGTCAACACGTGTGGGGACTTCCTTTTGTTTACGTGACAAGGATCGCTTGTTGTGCGTGCGGCGACTTATTGGATTTTGATATGGAACAGGATGGGCTTTGGATTGGGATAAGGATATAAGGCCGTCCTCGTTCCCCCGAAATGTTTTGTATTTTTTTTGTTGAGTGAAACTTGAAACGCTTGTGCGCGCGAAAAGGAGTGAAAAGTTATTAATCATTAAAGGACATTTATGTCGCGTGCTGTCACACACACACACACTCGCGCACACACTTGCCGCAAATTTAGTTTGCCTTGTGGTTTCTCTTGTTTTTTGTTTTTTTTTTTGGGCTGCGGGTCGCCGCCGCTTACGAAATAATTTATTTGCCCTCATGCAGACAAGCAGCGTCGCATAATATTTATTTTCGGGCCCTCGCACCGTCCGAAAGTCCCTGGAAAACTCATCAAAGTCCTGCGCCAAATTTAAAACAACGCGGCAAGTGAATGCTTTCGAGTGGATGTTTTTGTGAATGAGTGGGTGAATGAGTGAGTATGAGTGAGTCTGAATGAATGGCCGAGTGCAGTGGAAAGTACTTTCCTTTGTCGCGGTTTTTGGCGAATGATTGACAGATCTCAAAGTGAATCCTAAAGGAGGCAGTTGGCATTGTGTTCCATTCAAAATTAGTCAATTGGAAGATTTTAGCGCTCTTCCTCTGCCAATTTCAGAATCAAACGGTACTTTTGATTGTATTTATAAAGTGTGGGTTTTTGAAAATTTTAAAACAGAAATTCTTAAAAAATAATTTATTAAATTCTTAAAGTTAATTTCATCAAATTCATCATTAACTGTTGTGTTTAATTTATTTTCCCTAAAAAGTTCAAGTTTCTTCAAAAGCATTGAACACATAAATAATCCTTTAGCTTAAGATCAGTTTCATAGGAAGTCGAGTTCCTCCAATTGATTTCGAGTGATTTCCGCAACATTTCGATTCAGGTCAGTTTGAATCCCCTGGAACGCGCGATTCCAATTCACTTTGCTTTCACTGAATTCACGCGTTGTTATCCCCACTTTGCCGGCTATAAAAAGACCCGGAATCACTCCGATCGAATGAATCCCCGCCAGATTGAGTGCGACTGTTTAAATCACACGGCGCACACTGCCAGTGGAGCGCCATTTTACGAGTGGATTGAATCATCCGGGTCACATGGAGACGTGGAGGACTTACGAGCGTCGCAACTCGCGAGTTCCTGTAGACAAAAAAAGGAAAGGAATCAGGGCGGCACGGAAGAAAATACATTTCTAGTTGGCACAAGTTCTTCTAAATATATTTGAAACAACCACATTCAAAAATGATATTTGATATGAAACGATGATCAATTTAATATTATTTGAAATCAATTTTAACTGATATGTGGGCACCTCAATTCGATATGCTCGAATTGTATACTTTCTTGTGTTTCTCCCTTTTACTCATGTAACTTTAAGCGTTATCTCGATCTATTTCGAATATAGAAAATGTTTACTTCTTTTTCGAAGACAAAATGATATTACTTAATACGAATGTTACCACTATTGCCTGGTAAAAACGATATGAGTATGCAATACCAGGCATTTATCATGCACATATCGATTTGATCCCGTTTTTATTTTTTCTGTACCTTTTTATAAGACTTATTGGAAAATAATTCTAAAATAAGCTACTCGACATTAAAGATTTTTCCCAGTGCAGCTTTCGGGACTGGATTGGATTTGAACGCCCCACTTGGGCGCTGACACAGCTGTTAATATAAATTTCCGCTGTCTGTTGCGATTCGCTTTGGCAACGATTTATGAAAATTGAAGTCTTTGTTTTATTATCCCGGACACGGCAATGGCAATGGATGGAGGTGGACTCGCAGGCGGAGATGGACTCGGATTCGGGTTCGGATTTGGAGTTTCGGAGTTGGAGTCGCGCGTCCTTCTTTGTTGCCATTTGCTCAATATTTTATGCAAAGCAGGCCAGTCCTTCGGCGGCAATGATTTACAGGCAAAAGAAGGTAGCAGGCTAGCTGGTTAGATGGTTAGCTGGTTAGTACGTTAGCCCTCCCCAAAGCGACCTACTTTGATTTCGTGTTGGCCGTGTTTAGAGTTCATATTTGTGCGTTGTCGATTTTTGTGTAATGCCTTTCATCGTCCTGTGTTTGTTTTTCGCCTTTTGTTTGCCTTTTGTTGGCTCCGATTTGGCCAGGACCCGAGGGCCCCCGCTCTCGAATCGAATTGCTGCCCATAATTCAATTTTAGTTTTAATTTCCGCTCTTGGGCGTAAATTGCATTTGCATACTAATACATCGGTGGGTGGATTTTTGGGGTTGGCCTGTATCTGTGTGTGTGTCTGTCTGTGTGTGTGTGGCACGGACTCAAATTCGGAAAATCAAATACGCAGGCCAAATCCGCACATAGACCGCATTTCGATCCGATTCGGCGAGACAACGACGATGTCGATGCTGCTGCTCCTTTTGGCCGGGCAGCTCCTGCTACTGCCCCTCGTCGCCGGCGGCTCCTGTCGGGAGGCGCAGCTCTGCTGCAATGGCCGCGACTCGTCCTGCGTCGTCCAGAAGGCCCCCATTAACGCAATCATCGAGGACCTCAGCGACAAGCCCTGCTACTGCGACCACGCCTGCCTCAAGCTCGGCGATTGCTGCGACGACTTCAAGGACCACTGCGGAGGTGAGTGCCATCTATTTGCCAGGGTAAACTATAGAAAATACATGAGTGTTTGCCAATACTTAATCCTGTGTAAACGGGAAAGGATATCTGATGACGAAAGTTAAGGACTGCGTACTTGATCTAAACTTATATTTATGTCGTTGGTTTTTGGCTGATTTTAGTGACATAAATCGAAGTACAATGAACTTTTGATTGCCCTTTCATCGCACTTAAGTTACAGTTAGAACATAACATTATTTTAATTTATTATTTATTAACTGTTTAATCATCAATTTTATAGAGTTGTCATTTTGCCAGAAAATTCTGTCGATAAGTTTATAAGAATTATATATTATATAATTCATTATGCCAATTGGTTGCATTTATTAAAACCTCTAGAAATATATGAAAAAATTTAAAAAATCGGACCATTCATTAAAAATTTACAAGCGAATAATGGGTATCTGATAGTCGAGCTGCTCTTGCTATTTATATGTTTATGATATTTCAAACTATTACTATACCTCACTACTTTGGGAAGTTAAATTATTTGAGTAAAAATGCATTTCTTAGTTTGAATGATTTGCAAAGTTTGCGGATGATTGAGCCATGTTTGGCTTGCACAAAATTTTGTTGCAAACTAATTTAGCAAATTGCAAATCTCGAATGAAATTGAACAGCGTAATTGCGATTGTAATGATGGGTGAATAGTATGGGATTTATTTTTTGGGAGTTCATTATCAAAGCCTAAACTTTAGTGATGGGCAAACCATAGTACATGTGTGTATTTCTAAGTCAGATTGAACGCGAAATGCCCGACATGAGTGCGGTTTCGGATGCATATGGAACTATGGAGGGTATATCCTGGCAGACAGACCGACAGACTTACGCACCACACACACTCGTACGCAACTAGGACTACTGTGGTCGTAAAAAGGCCAACTTAATGGCCATATCCCGGGCTAAGAGTCTGCATTCATGGCTCGTTGGGTCCGCATGGCCTGCGAGCGTGTGTGTACAGATACAATTTGTTCTTCTGCCCTTTTTTTGTGGAAAGTACAATAGCTAAAGGGCTTTAATTTTATTACATACAGCAAATAAAGTCAACGAACATGCGGCGGCCTTCCAAATTAAATAAGACGCAGACACGAGAGATAGGGACTTGGGCTGAAGTTGGAATTTTTCGTGCCAGCTGCGGCTACAAGTTGAAAGATGCCAAAAATAAAAATAAAAATAAAGACAAAAAGGCAGAAAGAAAATGCAAACGAAAATAAAAAGGCAAACTACGAGGAGCACTGTTTTGGTGTTTTTGGCAGTGGGTATGGAAACGGGCGGAGGTTCCCCAATTGGAATCCGGAGCTGGTTCCGCCGCAGAAGGCGCCACCGAAAGTTTACTTAATTCTGCATTAAATTTGATTTCATTTCCCGGCGCACTAGAGCTCGATCCCCATCCTTTCTCCAATTAAAAGTCTCCAACCAAGTCCGTCCATCTGGCAACCGGAAGTTGCCATAAACACGGATCCGTCGAGAATGGAGATGCGATGATGCTGGCCAGACAATGACACCCATTTGATGTGTCTGCCGACTGGCTGGTGGATTGGGATCGGGGATACCGGGATGGTAACCCACCTCCTGGAAAGGTGCGGCCAAGGCCCGCGAGAAACTCGAGCTGTCTGACAAATGAGTGGTAGTAAATGCCTGCCGAAAGCTAGAACACTTGTGCTCCGACAGGCTACACTTAGGAAAATCGGGCTACAAATTATCAAAGGAAAGGCCCAGTTAAAACTATTGAAAAGCTCTCAGCAAAGCTAAACTTATATATACATTTTTCTCTTATATTATTTTAAAAAACATGTAAATAAAAATATAAAAAGCCAGTATACATTTAAGAACATAATTCTTAATTTAAAAACTTTTTACTTCCAAAGGCAATTTACAAAAAAAATATAAATAAAACAAATTTGTTTTTTAAAATAAAAAAGTCTAAAAATTGAAAAAAAAAACTAAATTTAGAAAAATAAAAAAAAGTAAGAAAGAAAAATTGTTTCTAAATTTAAGAACAATCGTTATAAAAATATTTTCTATGATCAAACCAAATTTACAATAAAAGGGCTTACTGACATATACGAAACTCTAAGTTTAGCAACTAGAATGTAACTAATAACGATTAATTGAAATTCATTTAGGCGAAATGCAGAATTATTCACATAACTGCTTGGCGAATGTGAACGTGAATAAACATTTTGCGGATTTAATCGGTATTTGAATAAATTCTCTTTAAACATCCCCGGACTCTTGAGCGCTCCTTCAGACTTTGTTTTTATTTTATGGTCGGTCTGCCCGGTTGGCTCGAGGATTAAAGTTGAACGTCTATAACTACCAATTAAGTTGGTAAATATATAGTCTTATAAACAGACAGACAGAGAAACGAGGCAACAAAGCAGACAGAAACGGAGGATGTGTCTGTACAAAGTAAGGAAAATGCGTATGAAGCGATAAATGTCAAGTTAAAAGGGAAAACAAGGCTCGAGGGGTCGTAAAGTTGCCGGGCAAAGGGTCCAAGGACCAAGGACTCCATCTCCAGATCCCCATCCCCATACTGAAAGGTCCTGGGATAAGGATCCATGGAGCATCCGCTGGCAGTTACATATGCTCCTCTCCGCCGGCGGCTCAATCAATCAAAGTCCTCTTTGTGTGGGAATAAATGAATGTAACTCTGGCAGATAACATTCACAGTGGCGCATATTGATTCGAAATATCCCGAATATCCATATCCCACAGCCCATTTCCCATCCATTAAAGCGTCGATGTGGTGGCATTGGCGAGCAACAAATGGTCAACAAAACTGTCGACCGGCCATTCATTAGAGTGGCTGGCATGGCCAACTCATCAAACTCCCATAATTCACGCTAATTAGTTCGACGAAAGGCAACAGGCGATGCGTTGGCGGGTCCTGCGTCCTGCGTCGAGGATATCCTGCCCTTCTCCGAGCCTCGCTTTTTTATTTCAGTATTTCGCCCGTAATTGATGACAACCATTTGAATGTGTCTGCCCGCCTCGGTTTGTGTGACCTTTTATCCCGAGGAGCACGGCCCATTTGGAGCCGCGGGGGTCCTCGTAAAACAGTTGTAAAAACCGAATGAGCACTGCAAATCAACAGTTTTGGCCCCTGGATTAAGTTATTATTTGTAGCGATTTGGGGAGCGGGATTTAAATATAATATACATATGCGTTACACTTGTCAATTAAATTATTATTAAATGACTGTAGTGAGACAATTGTATTTAAATAATATTATATTGTAGAAACATTCTTAATTTTCTTTTGAAATTTCATATTTTTATACCAGTTACTTAAAGATTTAAAAGGAAAGAAAAACTATGAGCAAATAATGGAATGCAAGCAGTGCAAGCAGTTTACTTTTACGATATCTTCATCTCCCTCGCACTCCTTTTAGATAAGTAATGGGTATCTGATAGTCTTGCTTTAAGCTGGTAATTATAAGCGATAACCATTGAAATACTTTACAACCTTTGTTTGCACAAATATTTAACATTTCTACGAATGCAGCCCTTAAAGGCCTCTGAAGTTCTCTGCTCCATTCTCTATCCACCACTTTATCCCCTTCCTTGTGGCAAAAGGAAACCAGTTGAAAGCGTGAGCCTCGGCCAAATGAAACACATTTGCGTCAGGACTTATCAAATCAAATAAATCAGTTGGAGAATAAAAGGCAGTGGGAGCGCACAAAGGATGCCGCAATCTTCGAGGTATTTTCGTTCTTCCGCCAGGAGAGACACAGAAACTGGGGTTAGAATGTTTTCATATTGGGCCACTGAGTTGTTTGGTCGGTGGCGGATTAGGGAGATCATCGCTTGAGCGATGACAGCGATCAAAACTTTCGACAAGCCCATCGGGCGCTTAAAATTGCTGGCTAAAATTGACAGCCAGCGGGCCGTAATGAATGAAATGGCTTTCAAAAACGGATTTAGGTATTAATTATAATCAAACTGTCGGCACTCATGCGGCGGAGCTGACGACGTGCAAACAATGGAGGGTCTGTAGGTCGGTTTCTATCCCCATCCCAGGCGGGACTTCGGGTCGGGACAGCTTGTGTGCGGGCTTAGTGATAATATTGTAATTATGTATAATTGAAATGTTCCCAAATGGCCACCCAACACACACGCGATGGCCCCACTAAATAACTAAATACTTACCCAAGTCTTTTGGGCCCGACGAACTTTGAGCGGCTTATTAATTTCATTTAGCGTCGATTAATCGCCCTCGATTCTCGGCCCATCAATTTATGGGCCATGTCAGTCAGCCGAAGTGCGTCGTTTGGGTTAATTGCCATTATAGACTCGTTTTTGCATGTTATTCTCGTGGTTAACAATCGCTTTGACATGCAGTTAACACATATTTCGAATCTCAGGGGACATGTTTTTGGGCGCCATTGTCTGCTTTTATTGCTAAACTTTAAACACTTGGCGTAAATTCATTTTGTGTAGTCCTTGGTTATTCAGATTAATTTTAATATCAACGAAGGACTGTGAAAGATTATGCATCTCGAATTTAAATATTCTCTTTTAACACTTCAGCAACTTAAATTAAAAATCAAAAAAATTTCGCTCAAAAAATAATTAAATTTTAATTAAATTTAAATTATTTGGTATTATAAAAGTATTTTTAAGTATATATATGTAAACTTTGTTTTACTTTAATTGGGTACAATTCAGATAGATTTTTTTGTGATGATTCAATGATTTTTCTATTGTTTTTGTAATTTGTCGTTCATTTTCACTAATCCTAGATAGTATCAATAATATCTATAGTTACAACATCAATAGCCAACATGATCGATTTTTGTAACAACCCAAATATTTCCCATCTTCAAGAAACGTATTTAATGTTTTTCTTACATACTTCACAAAATTTCTCAAAAATCAGCAATGTGAGAAATGGTAATACGACTTAATGTTTAGTCATCTTTAGTTCCTGGACGAGCATTCAATTTCGAGATATCT